TATTTTTATATATAAACGTGTTTTCATACGAGGTTGGCTGTAGTGAACGAGTTCCCTGGAATAAATGTCCTCCCGGTAGATGTGGATCATTTTAAAGGGTGAGTTCATGGAGATTACTGAACCGGCTGCTGTTACGTTGTGGAAACACTGAATGTGGCAGAAGACACCAAAGACTGCTGATACGCCTTTTTCACAGCAGCCATTTTGAGCTGAAATAGTAGGATAAACCCAGGTGTTAACAGTTAAACTGAGTTCTGTTCATGTTTGCTCACTGGAAGACAGAATGACTCAAAACCAAGAGAACATTGAATACATGTAATAGATTTTGATGTTTTGTACATTATTTAAGGTATTTGCACTATAATATTCTGGAAGATATAAAGTTTATCATAGTTACTGTATAATTTTAGTTATTTGTTCACAAATAAAGTCAAAATATTGTTAAATTTGAATCAATAAAGTCAGAAATGTTACTAGAGGTTACGGCTCTTATATAATACTGCAGGGGGTACCTGACATTTTATTTAAAAGAATAAACTAATTACAAGTTCTATATATTTTTAGAGCAATCGTTAGCTGCTGTGAGCTTCTTCCTCTTTATATTCACTTTATTTTCTACCTGAAATGTTTTGTGCTGGTCAGGAGCTACTGGGCTTTTTTCCATTTTCTCTTATTTGGAATCACATATCAGCACTTTACACATTCAACGTTGTTTGATAGAATTCATACTTTGCAGTCACGTGATTACCATGGTTACCTGGCGGGCAAGAAACATATATATTTACATATATCCGTCACCTTACACCGCACAAAAAATGAAAGCCTACAAAAAACCTTATGCCAACTAGGCTGTATCATATATGGCTAGCAGGATGTCAAACATTGTAGCCCACCTGCTCATCCACTCCACATAGCATCAGACAACAGACAAGAGCAGCTGGGGCAGTGAAATGCCTTTAATCCTGTTAGCAATCTTTTAGGTTGTAACGTTAATGTAGTAGTAATAACTGTACCATAGTATGTATGCAAAGTAACTGTAACTAAGTGAGTAGACGCAGTACAACAGTAACGTGTGTGCTGTAACATTGTTCTTCTTCTCATCATATCATATCAAATCAAGTACATATGATATATATATACTTTTGTATAGTAAAACTGGTGACGTCCTGGCAAGATCCTTGATTAGTTTACTGGGTTTCGTGGGAGAACGATGTTCTTGCCCGCCAGCTAGTAGTTGTGACGTCACGTGCAAAGTATGAATTATACAATGATTCATCTTTACAATTTTTTTGAATATACAAATATGAACAGAACATGGGATGTTTCAAAATGGCATGAAAACATATTAAGAAGAAAATAAAATAATAAAATTACAAGAAGACTGTTTAGGAGGAATTCACATTTTCCATTTTTCCCAAATTTCCTCAAATTTAGTTTTCTCTAGTCTCACAGAAAAGGTAATTCTATCCATTACAATTTATATATATTACTTAATCCAGACTCGGGTCCAGGTGGAGCAGTCTCAGTGTGTCTGCAGAGATTGTAGAAGGACGGAGCAGCAGCAGAGCGCTCCAGATACACTGATGATACTCTGTCACATCCAGAGGAACACACAGGGATGAAAGTGGACTTGACATTGTGTCTGACAGTGGAGCTGATCTCAGAGCAGTTCAGACTGCAGCACTGAGAGTCGTCTCCACTGGTTGTGATTCCTCTGTCAGTCACTGCTGGATGAAGCTCTCCTCTCCACTCTACCTCCCAGTAACATGGCCCAGTCAGAGCTGATGCTGCTGCTTCAACCTCTCTGGATCATCAGGACACAGCTGATCCTCCAACACAACCTCCTTCCTCACTGCTCAGAGTCTGACTGAGATCACTTCCATCTGAGGAGAGAAGGAGACAGACAACAGCAGTGATAAATCAGTGTTTACAGAGACTTCCTCCATCAGCACCTCCAGTATAAAGACCAGCAGGGACTTCAGTCCAGTTCAGACCAGCAGTGGAGCGGCTGTGTAGTGTAGCCTGCTTCCTTTCAGCTCTCATGTTAACGTATTGGAGTGAACACACTGAGCTGAAGCTCACAGACCTGCAGACACTTTGGACATCAAGTCTGCTGACTCTGCAGATTTCACTGAAGTACACAGTGGAAATAAAGTGCTGAGAGTCCCTGAACGCATCATTACTGCAGAAAAAGAGAGACATTCACTGCCCACTGGAATGATGCATTTACTGCTGTTAGGGTTCAAAGCTGATAAAAACCACAGTCTCAGTCACATTTGAATGTTTCATCTGAAATCTTACAGGACAAATGTGTAAATATTCAAACTATTTGGACAAACAAGAGACAAATGGACAGATATATATCTGATGTTAAAGGTCCTACATGTTCATACAAAGACTGAACAGCAACACATCAGCTGTGGGTACTGGACTCCAGCAGAGGTCCTGGTCTGTACAAGGACCACATGGTCACTAAATGTAATGATGGTTGTTTGCAGGCTTCAGTCAGACTGATCTCAGAGCTGTGACAAAGACCAACTGATCAGTTGTTTAGTGTAGAAATGAGAGAACAAACAGTGTGAGATCAGACTGGATGAATGAGGACCACTGTCTCTATACATCTTGTAATGCTGTCAGCTGGAATCCACTTTATTTCCTGAACACATGAACACAACAACAACAGTCGTCTTCACATCAACTCAAACACATGATCACAACAAGCTTCTGGCTCTCTGATTGGCTGACTGTTCTCTCTCTGTCTGTCTGTCTGTCTGTCTGTCTGTCTGTCTGTCTGTCTGTCTGTCTGTCCAATCCTGAAGCCTGTCCCCATTCTCCTCTCACAGCTTCACTGAGGAAAGCAGCAAATACTGGATCTGTGTTTAGTCCAAGACTGCTGGAACCAGCATGGACTGACTCAGACCCTCTACTGACCTCAGAGTCTGCAGTCTACAGTGTGGACTCTCCACAAGATCAGACAGCTGCTTCACATCTGAATCCTTCAGCTTGTTGTACATCAGGTCCAGCTCTCTCAGATGGGAGGGGTTGGACTTCAGAGCTGAGCCCAGAGAAGAACAGCTGATCCCTGACAACCTGCAGTCCCTCAATCTGAATAAAGAATAAAAGATGGAAGTTTAGAAGACAATGTTCCTGCTTGAAATCATTCAGTGTTTAATAATCTGTTCAGAGCTGAAGAAGGTTTACAATGTACAAGTTTAGAAAATGGAAACTCCAAACACCTGAACCCAACAGGATGCAGGTTGCAAACTGTAAAATACAAAGAGTGAAAAAGAGCTCTCATTAATATTAATGACAACGTGCTGCTGCTTCAATAAAGACGTAGTGACTTAAGCTCTTAACCTCTGCCAGCTCCACCAGTGGCTCCATCTGTACAAACTCATGTTGTGCAGCCAAACACAAAGAAAAAGCCACAGAAAGTGATTGAAGATTCCACTATTAAAGATAAAATGCTGTCATCTTGAGTGTAAATATTCAGTCAGTAGAAACGTCACATATCATCAGAAAGGTTTGGTACAAGCTGATATGTTTATTGTCTGATAGAGAAGAAAATATGTTTCTGTTTGTATTCAGAGGATCATGAGAGAAAGGTGGAAATGAAATGATGAAGAGCTTCAGAGAGAATCTACCAGTGTTGAATTATTAATGTTTTATTAAATATGTTTGAAAGATGAAGCTCAACAAGAAGCTCAGTGTTAATCAGCATAAAATCTTTGTGGTCAAACCCCCTCAAAACTGAGATTTTAAAGTTTAGAATAAAGTTTTAGAATTATTAACTATGGTTTAACATTAAATATTTAAATTGTATTATTATTAGATTAGAGATTACATTAAAATAAACATTATCCAACAAACGTTTTTCAAATATTTAACAATCTCTTTTCTGAGATTTAAACTTGTTTTTTCACCAGTGCATGCTGGGATTTCATATGTTCATCACCAGACTTGTATGTGTGAATACAGACGACAGCTTCAATCAATGTTGTAAATACTCTAGTCATCAGCGTACCTGTGTAGTTATTTATCAGTTCATGTTAACTAAAGAGACGAGATATTGGCATTATTAGTTGACACAGCAACCAATCAGGACACCAGATCACAGGAAAGGTTGGCTTTAAAACTTCCTCATACCAAGTGTGAACTGGATCAGACTGGTTTCTGCTGCTGTGCATCCAACTACTGGAATAAACTGCACAACGAATTCAAGTCAGAGACACTACGAAGTTCTCCTGGTTGATATTCATAATGTTTGGTTTAATGTGTGAGAGATGAACGCTTTGTGTGACTGAACTGTTGTTGTGATGTTGTACGTCTGTAATTTGTTCTCAGCTCTGTGTTGTAAAACAGATCCTGATCTTAATCAGACTTTCTGAATAAATAAAACTGAACTCACTCACCAACTGAAACTGCCAACATTGTAAGTGTAAACTATAAGTGTGACATACAAATGTTATTTTCAAGTGTTTAAATCTTTTTTTAGTTTTAAAATCTGAGTTCAAACTTTAAAAACTTATTTTCAACCATTTAATCTTTTTTTAATGTCATCAAATCTGAAGGAGATTTTACTTCATAAATATCAACCTGTCTGCACTTTACTGTCAGCACAACTTAACATCAGATTCATCTCAGCACAGAAATAAAAATGGTGTCTGACCTCAGAGTCTCCAGTCTACAGTGTGGACTCTCCAGAAAACCACACAGCAGCTTCACTCCTGAATCCTGCAGCTTGTTGTCACTCAGCTCCAGCTCTCTCAGATGGGAGGGGTTGGACTTCAGAGCTGAGACCAGAGAAGAACAGCTGATCTCTGACAAACTGCAGTCCCTCAATCTGAATAAAGAATAAAAGATGTGAGTTTAGAAGACAATGTTCCTGCTTGAAATCATTCAGTGTTTAATAATCTGTTCAGAGCTGAAGAGGGTTTACAATGTACAAGTTTAGAAAATGGAAACTCCAAACACCTGAACCCAACAGGATGCAGGTTGCAAACTGTAAAATACAAAGAGTGAAAAAGAGCTCTCATTAATATTAATGACAACGTGCTGCTGCTTCAATAAAGACGTAGTGACTTCAGCTCTTAACCTCTGCCAGCTCCACCAGTGGCTCCATCTATACAAACTCATGTTGTGCAGCCAAACACAAAGAAAAAGCCACAGAAAGTGATTGAAGATTCCACTATTAAAGATAAAATGCTGTCATCTTGAGTGTAAATATTCAGTCAGTAGAAACGTCACATATCATCAGAAAGGTTTGGTACAAGCTGATATGTTTATTGTCTGATAGAGAAGAAAATATGTTTCTGTTTGTATTCAGAGGATCATGAGAGAAAGGTAGAAATGAAATGATGAAGAGCTTCAGAGAGAATCAACCAGTGTTGAATTATTAATGTTTTATTAAATATGTTTGAAATATGAAGCTCAACAAGAAGCTCAGTGTTAATCAGCATAAAATCTTTGTGGTCAAACCCCCTCAAAACTGAGATTTTAAAGTTTAGAATAAAGGTTTAGAATTATTAACTATAGTTTCACATTAAATATTTAAATTGTATTATTATTAGATTAGAGATTACATTACATTAAAATAAACATTATCCAACAAACTTTTTTCAAATATTTAACAATCTCTTTTCTGAGATTTGAACCTGTTGTTCCACCAGTGCATGCTGGGATTTCATGTGTTCATCACCAGACTTGTATGTGTGAATACAGACGGCAGCTTCAATCAATGTTGTAAATACTCTAGTCATCAGCGTACCTGTGTAGTTATTTATCAGTTCATGTTAACTAAAGAGACGAGATATTGGCATTATTAGTTGACACAGCATCCAATCAGGACACCAGATCACAGGAAAGGTTGGCTTTAAAACTTCCTCATACCAAGTGTGAACTGAATAAGACTGGTTTCTGCTGCTGTGCATCCAACTACTGGAATAAACTGCACAACGAATTCAAGTCAGAGACACTACGAAGTTCTCCTGGTTGATATTCATAATGTTTGGTTTAATGTGTGAGAGATGAACGCTTTGTGTGACTGAACTGTTGTTGTGATGTTGTACGTCTGTAATTTGTTCTCAGCTCTGTGTTGTAAAACAGATCCTGATCTTAATCAGACTTTCTGAATAAATAAAACTGAACTCACTCACCAACTGAAACCGCCAACATTGTAACTGTAAACTATAAGTGTGACATACAAATGTTATTTTCAAATGTTTAAATCTTTTTTCAGTTTTAAAATCTGAGTTCAAACTTTAAAAACTTATTTTCAACCCTTTTTATCTTTTTAAGCTTTTAAGGTAATCAAATCTGAAGGAGATTTTTCCTCAGAAATATCAACCTGTCTGCACTTTACTGTCAGCACAACTTAACATCACATTCATCTCAGCACAGAAATAAAAAATGGTGTCTGACCTCAGAGTCTCCAGTCTACAGTGTGGACTCTCCAGAAAACCACACAGCAGCTTCAGTCCTGAATCTTGCAGGTTGTCGTTGATACTCAGGTCCAGCTCTCTCAGATGGGAGGGGTTGGACTTCAGAGCTGAGACCAGAGAAGAACAGCTGATCTCTGACAAACTGCAGCCACTCAATCTGAATAAAGAATAAAAGATGTGAGTTTAGAAGACAATGTTCCTGCTTGAAATCATTCAGTGTTTAATAATCTGTTCAGAGCTGAATAAGGTTTACAATGTACAAGTTTAGAAAATGGAAACTCCAAACACCTGAACCCAACAGGATGCAGGTTGCAAACTGTAAAATACAAAGAGTGAAAAAGAGCTCTCATTAATATTAATGACAACGTGCTGCTGCTTAAATAAAGATGTAGTGACTTCAGCTCTATATCCATCTATAGCTCCATCTATACAAACTCATGTTGTGCAGCCAAACACAAAGAAAAAGCCACAGAAAGTGATTGAAGATTCCACTATTAAAGATAAAATGCTGTCATCTTGAGTGTAAATATTCAGTCAGTAGAAACGTCACATATCATCAGAAAGGTTTGGTATAAGCTGATATGTTTATTGTCTGATAGAGAAGAAAATATGTTTCTGTTTGTATTCAGAGGATCATGAGAGAAAGGTGGAAATGAAATGATGAAGAGCTTCAGAGAGAATCAACCAGTGTTGAATTATTAATGTTTTATTAAATATGTTTGAAATATGAAGCTTAACAAGAAGCTCAGTGTTAATCAGCATAAAATCTTTGTGGTCAAACCCCCCTCAAAACTGAGATTTTAAAGTTTAGAATTATTAACTACAGTTTCACAGTAAATATTTAAATTGTATTGTTATTAGGTTAGAGATTACATTACATTAAAATAAACATTATCCAACAAACTTTTTTCAAATATTTAACAATCTCTTTTCTGAGATTTAAACCTGTTGTTCCACCAGTGCATGCTGGGATTTCATTTGTTCATCACCAGACTTGTATGTGTGAATACAGACGACAGCTTCAATCAGTGTTGTAAATACTAGACAGTTCTCCTGGTTGATATGCATAATGTTTGGTTTAATGTGTGAGAGATGAACGCTTTGTGTGACTGAACTGTTGTTGTGATGTTGTACGTCTGTAATTTGTTCTCAGCTCTGTGTTGTAAAACAGATCCTGATCTTAATCAGACTTTCTGAATAAATAAAACTGAACTCACTCATCAACTGAAACTGCCAACATTGTAACTGTAAACTATAAGTGTGACATACAAATGTTATTTTCAAATGTTTAAATCCTTTTTTCAGTTTTAAAACTTTAAAAACTTATTTTCAACCATTTAATCGTTTTTTTAGTGTCATCAAATCTGAAGGAGATTTTACCTCATAAATATCAACCTGTCTGCACTTTACTGTCAGCACAACTTAACATCACATTCATCTCAGCACAGAAGGAAAAAATGGTGTCTGACCTCAGAGTCTCCAGTCTACAGTGTGGACTCTCCAGAAAACCACACAGCAGCTTCACTCCTGAATCCTGCAGATTGTTGTTGTCACTCAGGTCCAGCTCTCTCAGATGGGAAGGGTTGGACTTCAGAGCTGAGACCAGAGAAGAACAGCTGATCTCTGACAAACTGCAGTACCTCAATCTGAATAAGGAATAAAAGATGTGAGTTTAGAAGACAATGTTCCTGCTTGAAATCATTCAGTGTTTAATAATCTGTTCAGAGCTGAAGAAGGTTTACAATGTACAAGTTTAGAAAATGGAAACTCCAAACACCTGAACCCAACAGGATGCAGGTTGCAAACTGTAAAATACAAAGAGTGAAAAAGAGCTCTCATTAATATTAATGACAACGTGCTGCTGCTTCAATAAAGACGTAGTGACTTCAGCTCTTAACCTCTGCCAGCTCCACCAGTGGCTCCATCTATACAAACTCATGTTGTGCAGCCAAACATTAAGCATAGTGTTAGTTCAGGCAGGCCACGAAGTCAGGCTCGGCTCTCAGTTCCAGCTATATCAGAAGATCACAGCTAGTCGTAAACACACATCAGCTGACAGCTCAGCTGATTCCCTCAAGCATCCAATTGGCAAATATCATTCATGGCGCCTTATTTAAGCTGCTTTAGCCTGCCTTTCTTTGCTGCTTCCTCTACAAACCGTTTTGCGGGCTGCCCCACGGGAACGATCAGACTGTTTGTGTGCGCTACTTGTTGTTTTTTTTTCTTTCTATCTGTCCTGCTGCTCGTCATGTCTGTCTGCGGTGAGGATCCATGGCGGATCGGGGCAGAGGAAGCCAACGAGGAGGCTGTTCTCCCGGCATTGATGATTAGCAAGCACCTGGGCTCCTGGAGGTGTTGTTTTGGAGCAGCATTGCAGCTCCAGTGGGGGCTTGTCACAAGGAGCTGTTCGCGCTGTTTAGGGAGAGTATCTCTTGTTCTTGGACAACATCTGCAGTTCTGTCTGGCTGCTCTGTTTCTGGGGAGTCTGCAGGGGGGAGAGGAATTGCGCAGGTTGCGCAGCGGCTGGCTCCGCCTGCCCAGCCGATGACAGCCCCATCTTGTCAGCTCTGTCCAGCATCCGGTTGTCGCTTGCCACCATGGGTTCAGGGGGTCCAGGTTCTGGAGTTTGGTTCGGCACGTTCGGCCGGCCCGTCTTCGTCCGCAGTTGGGCTGTTTCCCTCCTCGCTGTCTGCAGGTAGAGCGCTGGACCATGACGTCATCGCAGCGTGCTTTGACGGCATCACATTCCTGCCGAGAACGCTGGAAATGCAGTCCCAATCTCCACAGGGAAGGAACGAAGCTGCCTCTCAAAAGGGGGCATGAGAAAATAAAGCCTTCAACCCCAGTGAACGTCCCTGAGCTGGGGAAGGCGCTAAGAAAGCATCCTAAATGCTGTTTAGTGAATTATCTGATTACAGGACTGGTTCAAAGAATTTTAGCTGGGCTGACTTGGTTGCCAAAACCTACAATCTGCTTTGAAGAGCGGAGATAGTCGATGCTTTACTGGAGAAAGAATTACAAAAGGGTTCATTCAATCCAATCCAATCCAACTTTATTTGTTAAGCACTTTAAAAACAACCAAAGTTGACCAAAGTGCTGTACAGGAGAATAAATAGGACATCATTGGTCCATTTGATCGGCTTGGAGTGTTTGGAAGACTAGAAAGGAGCTATACAGTTAGATTATATCTTTAAAATATCAGAATTTTTAAATATACTGTGTCTGAGAATAAGTTTGTAAAATATTTATGTTCCTGTAAAAATATTGTTTTAAAGTTTTTATATAAAATACATTATTCCTTTGAAACTTTATTTATAAAAATGTATAAATATTGATTTAACCTTGCAGCCCACTGTAAGATAAATACAGTTTCCTACTAACACAATACAAATAATACAATAATAGAAACTAATTTCAGAGCAAAACTGTTCAGACTGCTGTTCAGATTTAAATTTGGTAGATATACACAGAGGAAACACATGAACTGACCTCAGAGTCTCCAGTCTACAGTGTGGACTCTCCAGTCCATCACACAACAGCTTCACTACTGAATCCTGCAGGTAGGTCCCATCCAGGTCCAGCTCTCTCAGATGGGAAGGGTTGGACTTCAGAGCTGAGGCCACGACTTCACAGTGAGTCTCTGAGAGTCTACAGTCAGAAAGTCTGTAAATACAAACAATATAACATTTAAAATATGACACTTTAATTATAAAAACAGAATTTATGCATTTAAATCACAAAGAACATTAACATGAGCTGTGGCTCAGCTTGTAACTGCACTCGTATGTATTCACTTCAGTTGTATGTATGTATACAATCATACACAGAACAACATATAGCAAAATATGTCCCACTCAGTCCCATTTAAGCTTTAAGTACTAGGATCAGTGGGCAGCCACTGTGCAGCACCTGGTTAATGGTACTGACTGGAGAAATGAACCTAACAACATATTTGGATTGTGAGGAAACTGGAGCACTTAAAGGAAACCCACACAAACACAGGGAGAACATGCAAACTCCACCCAGCTGGGAACCCAGGACCTTCTTGTGAGGCCACAGTTCAACCACTATTTCTCCTACTGCAGTGGTTCCCAACCTTGTTCCTTAAGGGACCCCTTCTTCTATCATTTAGTAAACTGACTCATATTTTATGGATATTTTATATTATATTCAAAACTGTACAATGAACCCAAACAGTGAACTCAGTAACTGCAGGAAGTTTGTGTAAAACAAGTGACTTGGATGAAGTTTGAGCAGATTATTTCTTACTGTTTAGGAAACCTTCTCTACAATTCTCTGTATTATTTTAAAGCCTTTTAACAATCATACAAACTTAATAGGATTTTTTTGGGGGGACAAATTCAGTGTCCCTGATGTTTGGCCATTGTTTTATTAGACAATTTACTTTACATTTAATTTTCTTCACAGAATTGAACCAAATGCAACCGTACTATGTATATTTTTAAAGTTTTCTAGCATGCCTTAAAATCAAGAAGACCTCGCAACCCCTTATGAAGCTTTGGTGACTCGTAGTGGGTCCCAACCCTCAGTTTAACCCACCCACTGTCTTCACCAAAATAAATCAGAATCAGAAATACTTTAATAATCCCAGGGGGAAATTACTTAAATAAATACTTTAATAAAGATAGTTATAAGACAATAGAAGATACTGAATTGGCTTTTAGAAACACAAAAATGCTAATTCATGTAATTACCAATAATCAATAATTATCGATAATTAAGCAGAAGCACGTTTAATACCGATTTAGGAAAATAGTGTATAAGTTTTATACTGTGAATGTGTGTGAAGTGTGTATCTTCACTCTAATACTGATAGCTTCAGCTTTATGTTGCTTTATAAAGTTAATCACATCTGGACTTACACAGCCTTTCTGCAGTTCTTCACAGCTGGAATCAGTCTCTGTCGTCCCTCCACTGATGTGTTGTACTTCTGCAGGTTCAACTCATCCAGAACCTGCTCTGACATCTGCAGCATGTAGGACAGAGCTGAGCAGTGGATCACAGAGAGTTCCTTCTCTGATCTGTTCTCTGACTTCAAGAACTCTTGGATCTCCTGATGGACTGAATCATCGTTCATCTCCGTCAGACAGTGGAAGATGTTGATGCTTCTGTCAGGAGAGATATTATAACTGTTCATCTTCTTCAGGTTGTTGATGGCTCTCTGGATGATTACTGGACTGTTGTCTGTCTGACCCAGCAGGCCTCCTAAGAGTCTCTGGTTGGACTCCAGAGAGAGGCCATGGAGGAAGCGAACAAACAGGTCCAGGTGGCCATTTTTACTCCTCAAGGATTTCCTCATCGCTTTCATCAGGAAGACATCCAGAGTTGAATTAACATTATTTCCCCCAGGAAGTCCTTCAGTACCTCTGTGTTCCTGTTGGTGTGACAGTGGAACATGTAGACTGCAGCCAGAAACTCCTGAATGCTCAGATGAACGAAGCAGTAGACTGTTTTCTGGAAGATCACACTCTCTCTTTTGAAGATCTCTGTACAAACTCCTGAGTACACCGAGGCCTCAGTGACATCAAGACCACACTGCTCCAGGTCTTCTTGGTAGAACATGATGTTTCTTTTCTGCAGCTGTACAAACGCCAGCCTCCCCAGCTTGAGAAGAACTTCCCTGTCAGCCTCCATCAGCTCCTGTGGACTCGTCTCATGTCCCTCATCATACTTCTGCTTCTTCCTCTTTGTCTGAACCAGCAGGAAGTGTGAGTACAGGTCAGTCAGGGTCTTGGGCAGCTCTCCTCTTTGGTCTGTGGTCAACATGTGGTCCAGAACTGTAGCAGTGATCCAGCAGAAGACTGGGATTAGACACATGATGTGGAGGCTCCTGGAGGTCTTGATGTGTGAGATGATTCTGTTGGACAGATCTTCATCACTGACTCTCCTCCTGAAGTACTCCTCCTTCTGGGCATCAGTGAAGCCTCGTACTTCTGTTACCCTGTCAACACATTCAGGAGGGATCTGATTGGCTGCTGCAGGTCTGGAAGTTATCCAGATGAGAGCCAAGGGAAGCAGATTCCCCCTGATGAGGTTTGTCAACAGCACGTTGACTGAAGACTTCTGTGTGACGTCAGACACAACCTCATTGTTGTGGAAATCCAGTGAAAGTCTGCTTTCATCCAGGCCGTCAAAGATGAACAAAAGTTTACAGACAGCGAGCTGCTCTGCTGTGACCTTCTGTAATGTTGGATGGAAAACATGGAGCAGTGTGAGAAGACTGTACTGCTCATCTTTGATCAGGTTCAGCTCCCTGAATGAAAACAGAACCACAAGAATGACATCTTGGTTGTTCGAGCCCTCTGCCCAGTCCAGAGTGAACTTCTGCACTGAGAAGGTTTTTCCAATGCCAGCGACGCCGTTGGTCAGAACCACTCTGATGTGTCTTTGTTGGTCAGGTAAGGCTTTAAAGATCTCATGGCACTTGATTGGAGTGTCATGGAAGGTCTTCTTCTTGGAAGCTGTCTCAAGCTGCCTCACCTCATGTTGGGTATTAACCTCTTCACTCTGTCCCTCTGTGATGTAGAGCTCAGTGTAGATCCTGTTGAGGAGGGTTCCACTTCCTGTTTCATCAGTTCCTTCAGTCACACGTTCACATCTCCTCCTCAGACTGATCTTATGTTCATCTAAAACCTCCTGCAGACCAGCATTCACTAAAAAAAGAAAGAAAATGAGAGAATGATTTTAGTTACCAGAACAATAATTAATATAAGATTATAAAAGTTATAAATTCCACCTGAAATCATTCTCAATCTCTAAAAGTTAGTTAAAAATAACATGAAAGTGATTTTGCATTCATTTTTAAGAGTTTATTATTAAAAGGGAAGAAAGCAACAGTCTGAACCTCAACAGCTCGTCTGCAGTTCTTCATTTAAACTGCTCACTGTGTCTGTTCCTTCCTCCTTTTGATATTTAAAACAGATTCACTAATCAAATAATGCAGAATATGTTCATGTCTTTTTTGTTGACCTGTAGCTGCAAATCTCAAAACCACTACATTTCCTAAAGCTGCTTCACAATAAAAGCCTCCTGCTGGTTTGTCAGTTGAAAACTTTATGTGAACAGCAGCAACAGGAAATGTTAAGTTTGCACCAGCAGTAATTAACAAAGCTCTGATATGACTAAAGTAACAGTAAAATAAGGCTGATATCTGAAAGTATAAACAGGAACACTAGAGTGAGAGTAAACCCAAACCAAAGAGATTCAGTTAGAAGCTACACAAGTACTGAGAGCTGAACACAGAGAGACTTTTAAAAACAAAGCTTTCTCTCTTGTTATCAGCACAGACGTGTTGATTCAGTCAGTTTGATCTACAGACATGGATTTGATTTGAGGGAGGAAAACATCTCAGGTTGGTCCCTGTACCACTAGCTACACCCCAGTCCATCCACTACACTCTGCTATTGCCAATCAGCTTGCTACTCCTTCACTACGAGGGGCCCTACGAGGGGCCCTTACTGCCCTGGCTCCAAAATGATGGAACAACCTTCCCATTGACATTAGGACAGCAAAAACTCTTCACATCTTCGGACTGAAAACAAACACCGGTGCACTGCTGCATGTGCTAACTCTACTAGCTGCCATTAGCTAAATAAGGTTAATTACATAACTAGCATAGAAGCTTTGGACTGAGGAGGTTTTCAGGCCTGAGGTGGGGGACCCAGTGGGGGAATGCTGCTGGAGAGCCTGACGGAGGCCAGGGGATTTACAGTGGCTCCGACCAGGACTCTGACTGCACATATGATGAAGACTCAGCAGGTGCAAGCAGCGACAGGAGAGGAATGAAACGGAGGAAGAGGAGCCAGTTAATTAGTCAGTAACTGTTAACGTTATCCATCATCCATCATATCGATCCGATAGGATTAGTTTCAGTGAAGTTGGAAGTTATTTATTCTGCGTGTTGAATCAGACTGTGTGATGTTACACTGTGTTAAAATAAATTAAGTAAATGTTCAGTCTCCTTGCTGGTTGTTCTGATTCACAATCATTACTGCATTTAACAGGCTGCTGTTCACATATAGAGATTGAAATAATTAAATTCATCAATTCATCATGAACGTACAACAACTAGTCAACTATTGTCTTTCTCTAACGATTACTAGTCGACTAAGCAAGATGTATTACCATGCTTAGAGTTTAATGCAAACAGCATTCTTTTTTTTTTGTAAATTCTATTTATGCAGATTTTTATACATACAGGCACACATGATACAAACAAAAAAGACAGTAAACCAGACAATTAAAACAAAACAAAACAAATAAAAAAAAACATACAGCCAGCACTTACTCATTATATAGAAAAGAAAATGTATAATTATACATGTCGATTCACTGAACAGATGTCCCAAAAAGTCCACTCACACAGATTGAGTCAAGGAGGCCTGAGTCGGAGGGGAGTGGCAAAGCCTCAGTATGGATAACTAGCAAAAAAAAAAAATGTAATAACTGATGTATTCTATGAAAGGGCCCCAGATCTTCTTAAACTTATCTTGGGAGTTAGACATAGAAAACGGAACTTCTTCAAGGTGTAAACAGGAAACCATATCATTTAGCCACCTCTTGAAGCAAGGAGGGGAAGCTGACTTCCACTCCTTTAGGATGACCCGTTTTGCAATGGTCATACCAAACATTAGGGCTTGTTGTAAAGCGGATGGAAGAGCCAAAGATCCGTTGGAGCAGCCCAGTATCACTAAGAGACAGTCAGGAACTAGTTGTCTATTATAAACAGCACTGTACAAACTGAAAATGACAACCCAGAACATTGTGAGCTTAGAGCAGGACCAGAAAAGATGCCCAAAATTTCCATCAGCGGATTTGCATTCATCAAAAATGAGGGAGACAGCAGGAAAAATTCTGTTCAGTCTCATCTTGGAATAGTGCAACCTATGAACTACTTTAAAATGAATGAGCTGAAGTCGAGCATTAATAGAGCATGCTTTTATCCTATTTAACCCTTTCACCCATAGCTTGTCAAAGATCACTTCGCCGGTGTCCTTGATCCACGCCTCTTTAATATGAGAGAGGGGGTTGCCATAACGAAGAGGTTAACAAACCGAGAGATCAAATGTTTGGAGGTGGGAGGTCTGGTCATAATATCATAAAAGTTATGTTGTATGGGGGTCGCATCTTGGCGAGAAAAGGATTGCTTGACAAAATTCCTTATTTGTAGATAACGAAAAAAAATTGATTAGTAGGGAGTTTGAATTTAGCCTGGAGCTGGGCAAAAGATGCAAAATGATTATCAATGTAGAGATCCCTGATAGTAGTTAAACCTTTATCTGGCCAGTGCTGAAAGACAGCATCCATCAAACCAGGCTTAAAACAGGGGTGTTGACATATGGAAGCATGACTTGACATTTCTGGGAGGTTCAGAATTCCCTTGATTTGCTTTAAAATTTTAATCGAGTTGCAGAGTAAGAAATTATTGCGTAGCAATTTAATCTTAATATCAGGTTTTGAGAATAGAATGGCTGACAAGGAGGCACCAGTAAGTGATACAGCATTACTAAGCTCACTCTCAGGCCATCTAGGGCTGGGCCCACGCTCCTCTGCACCCCCAGCAGTGGACTGATTCCAGAAAACCCATGCTCTGACGTTACAGGCCCAGTAGTAATGCCGAAAGGCAGGCAGGCCTAAACCACCCTCCTCAGTGGGCTTCTGTAAGTGGGCCTTTGACATACGAGGGGGCTTGGAGGCCCAGACAAAGGGCATGATAATAGAGTAACGTTTTAAAAAAGGAAGAAGTGAGGAAGATGGGCACATTCTGAAATAGATAAGTATATTTAGAGAGCACAACCATTTTAACAATGTTGACACAGCCAATCAATGAAAGGGGGAGAAGTTTCCATTTATCTATCATGCACTTGAGCCTGTCAATCAGATCCATATAATCAAGTTTAAAGAGAAGTTCTGGATTTCTGGGGATGTTAATCCCCAGATAAGGAAAGAGGTCATGGGTAACTCTGAGGGCAGATTGAGAAGAAAACTGGAGTCAAGACCGTTAGACAGAGGCATAAAAACAGATTTCTCCCAATTTATAGTAAACCCAGAGAATCGCCCAAAGCCATCTATCAGGTTAAGAAGGGGTGAAAGGGATGTTTTTATATCTGAAAGAGTCAGAATTACATCATCTGCGTACAGACCGATGGTACACTTAGATGTGCCGCACCTTAAACCAGAGATTTGGGGGTTGGCTCTAATGGCTATGGCCAGCGGCTCAAGAGCTAATGCAAAAAGCATTGGAGAGAGGCAGCAGCCCTGCCTGGTGCCACGGTGCAAAGGGAACGGGGGGGACCTTTCGTGGTTGGTTAGTACGTAAGATTGGGCACCAGCATAAAGCATTTTTAATATATTCATAAATTTCGACCCAAAACCAAATTTGTCAAGAGCAGCGAACATGTATCTCCACTCTACCTGGTCAAAAGCCTGCTGGGCATCTAGTGAGATCACAGCAGAGTGGGGCAATTTAGTTGAATACATTAAATCAACAAATTAATTAAACACCTTGTGTTTGAGAAGGAAAATCTATCGGGGATGAAACCTGATTGATCAGGATGAATTGAGGTGCCAATATATTTGTTTAACCAGTTGGTCAGGACTTTTGCAATAATTTTTTGGTCAGAGTTAAGCAGACTTAGGGGACGATACGAAGAAACATTTGTTTCGTCTCTCCTTTTTAAGAGGACACAGATATGGGTGTCGTAGAGGGTATGAGGGAAGGTGCCATTCTTCACTGAGCAATTGACCATCCGAAGACAGAGGGGGCGATAACGTCAATGTGCGTCTTGTAAAATTCTATCCCAAATCCACCTGGACCACATGCTTTGCCACTGGGAAAAGAACAAATAGCATTTCTAAACTCCTCCAGCGTAAATTCAGAGTCCAATTCTAGTCTTGTGGACTCAGAAAGGACTGCAATGTCTAAAGTATGGAGAAAATTGGCAATGTCTGTATCCGTGGCAGTAGATCTGAAGTATGTAGCTGGCTGTAAAAACTGAAAAATCTGTCATTGATCTGCTTGTGATCAGTTAATAGCTGACCAGTGGATGAGGAAATTTTATGTATTGCCCTATCAGATATGACGCCCTTCAGTTGCCTAGCGAGCAATTTATCAGCCTTCTCACCCAGCTCAAAGTGCTTCTGCTTTAGTCTACGAATATAGTTCCCAACCTGCTCGCCCAGAATATGGTTGTATTCATATTTCACTTTCAGAATAGAGCTAAGTGTGTCTTCAGGACCTGTGTTTCGATAGTCCTCCTCCAGTTCAGCTAGTTCAGCCTCAATATCAGTGCGATGCCTGTGCCTGGCCCTTTTGCGAGACGACTGATACGAGATGATGTGTCCTCTTATCGCGGCTTTAAAAAGACTCCCACAAAGTAGAATCTGAGACAGCGCCATTGTCATTAATTAGCAGAAAATCTGCAATCTTGGTTGATATCTAGCCACTGAACGTGTCATCTAAATATAGAGAGGGGTTAAATTTCCAACTATATTGAGGGGCATAAAGTTTGAAGTCAATCACCAATGAGAGGGGTGCATGATACTATAATTAAGATACTATGATAAGTTGAACTTATTACATTCGAAATAGGTCTAGAGTTAACCAGCATATAATCAATTCTTGTGTAACTGCCATGCACGGGGAGAAAAAAGAAAATGTCCTTTCTAAGGGATGCTGGTGCCTCCAAATGTCAACCAGGTCCAGAGATTTGGTAAGGTTATTGAGTACAGAGACAGATTTCAATAATGGGGCCACGGACGAGGAGGACCTATCCAATAGCGGATCAAAATAACAATTAATGTTGCCACCGATAATTATATTGTGATCATTGTATTCCGTGACAAGGTTGAATATTTTACAGAAAAAAATCGGGTTATCGAACTAAAGGGACTGAGTTGACCGTACCGTAGTATGAACCTCCCACCTGGATGGGTAGTCTGCGATTTGAATACAAATGGGATGGTTCGCCGAACAAGAATGGCAACCCCCTCACCTTGGAGGAAAAGGTAGACTGGTATACCTGAGACACCCACACAGATCTTAAACGGCTCTGCTCTGAAGGTTGGATATGGGTCTCCTGCAAAAAAACAATATCAGACAACAGGGACTTCAAATGCGAGAATACTTCGTTGAAGAGCCCTGCCCATACCCCCTACAATTCCAAGTAGTAAAAGTGATGTGACTCATCCCTGACCTTAGTGAGTAAATGACATAGAACTATGCAGAGGGACAGAAGGTGAAGTTTGACATGTGACATACAAAGGGCTGGCAAAACATCAAGTGACAAAAATGACAGTTGAAGAAAGACAAATAAAACCCAAACAAAACACAAACCCGTTAAAAGAACTAAGCGGTACATCGCCCTAGCTAACAAGGAGGCTGCCAGGTAACAGAACCAGCCAAACTGCACACTGAAAAGCCCACTTACCACGGAGCCCCGTGCGCATCTCCAACACACTAACTAATGTTTAAATTGCACCCACAATAAAGTACTCAGTGTAAGCGATATTCAGAACACACGCTTGGTGAGATATAACAGGTTGGAAGGTATAAACGCTGCAGCATATAAAACATCAAACTTAAGAAAAGACAATAGAAAAATATGTGTATATATGAAAAGGTAAACGCTTAAATAAATACACATAACCGGGAGTATCAATCAATATTAATACAATCCGAAGGTAATAAATAAAATTGTTCCAGTGCTAGATTTATGCACCCGAGAAAACACACTGTGTGAAACGCTATTTAAACACATAACGTTACATTATGCTGCATCAATGATCAACTAAAAATAAAAGTGTTAGATCTGAACATTTATCAAAATGCTGGATAGGAAAATATCTAATCCGAATATATATATATACATACACACACAATAATAGTAATATATAATATATAGGGTTTAGGAGTCATTCGCTGGGCCTAAAGAGTTGGCAAACCGTTCAGCATCGGCTGGTGACACAAACATCTTCGATGTGTTGTTGTAGTCGACATGGAGCTTGGCTGGAAAAACGCAGGGAACATTTAACACCAGCTTCGGTTAGCTGCTTCCTCGCGTTTGTAAAGGCTTGTAGTCGGGGAAAATGGAGACTCTCTCACTGTGGTATGGTGCATTTGTTTTGTCCACCCGACTCGATCTGCGAGTCGGTTTCCAGAGTTACGAACCGGAAGTTGCAAATAGAAAGCTTCCGAGGACGTATAAACGACTCCTGAAGTCGTCTGAGCTCAGAGGACCCCGAGTTCAGTTACCAAGATGGCTACTCCGAGCATCACACGTAGTAAACATTGTGGTTTTCTACTATTTTAAGCACTTTTGTCTTTGTTGTAACCAAATGAAGAAGTCGTACACACAGCACTGTATACTGTTACCTATAGGCATGTCGCTACAGTCTTATTATGTGTTAAATACGCCTAATTAGTTATTTTGTAGCTTGTGCAGCTGAAATTGGCTAGAGACGCTCCATGTTGCTATGACAACAGTGCCGAGTCTTGAGCAGAAAGCAGAGCAGTAGCCTAACGTTAACATTAACGTTAATCAAAACGGAATATTCGGATATCAAACTGTGTGATATGATTGTGTAATATGTGTGATGGGTAGCGTTCCCTCCCCACTCTAGTTTAGCCACAGCCTGCAATCATTGATTGTCAGCAGGTGAGGCTAATCACTTCTCAGTCCTTAAATGTAGCTGTGTAGCAGTCAGCAGTAGGTTTTGCCTCACCCTACCCTGACTCTACATTTGTTTGAGGGATGCCGATGCCCAACTAAGGTATGAATTGTTCTTGGCTTGTTTGTCATATAGTGGGCGCATGCATTAAGTTCTTCCCTCACATCTGTGCAGGTGTAATGGCAGGAATATGGGAGCTAATTGAAGGTAGTTGCTGCTCCCTCCACTAGAATCCTAGTTGGATAAATTGTTCATGTAACCTCGCAGGTATGTTAATCTTTAAGTTGTATGTTTTGTTTAATATTCTTCTTAGTGGTCTTTAGATTTTAATGACTGAAACATATGTTTTTTTATTAAAATATATATATATATATATATATATATATAATTAGTATACATGTCACCATATATTTTGTATGTGTTTTCTTTACAGTAGGAACTGGAACATGGTGTCTGTTCCCATGACCTAGTCCTCTGGCTACTGCTGTTTTTGCCCATCTGTATTTATTGTATATGGTTACCTTGTTTTACTGTGTAGATTGTTAATTTTTGATAGTTGGCCTGTGTTTTCTTGGTTAATTTAGTTGTCTGATTTATTGATCTTCTTTCATAAACCAAACTTGTGAGTTAATGATATAGTGGGGCTCTTTTTAGTGTTTGTACAGGTGGGCTGTCATACACTTACAGGTGGTGGGTTACTGGGTGGAGGGTTTCCCCCTGTTTGGGTTCTATGTGCATGCTTACGTTGCTGTGTATTCTAACTATGTGCTTTATTGTTTTGCAGTGTGTGTGTGTATGATCCCTTCTTCCCTGTATCTACTTGTGGTGGTGACCCCCCTTTCTCTCACTCCCTCATTCCTGTAGGCCTCCCTGACAGCCCCCCGCACTGGTAATTATCTATTTAGTGAATATAAGTATATTTTGGTAATAAATCGTAAATTTTAACCTGTCCCAAATTGTTATTTATGAGACTGAAATTAAATCTATGTAAATAAATTTAGTGGTTGAAACTGGAAATTCACATCTCTGCTCCTTTTCTCTGTACTATAAGAACCTGTGAAAGTGGGTATTCTCTGGGTGAAAGTCCAAGGGTGGCGTTGTCGCACTTGCTGTCAGGGTCCTTAATTGCCCTGGTCACATATGTAATGAACATGTGAAATCCGCGGGGGTGTTACGTAAACCAGGTAATCACTATAAACGTTACGAAACGTCCAAACGGCCTATTGCAACCAAGCTCGTCGTGTTGTGTGCCAAACAGAACGCAAAATCCCGCAGTTACTCGTTTTCAAACACGGATGTGACGTCGCTCTTGAGCTGCAAGTCTCAATTACAAGACAAAACGAACACAACAGTAGTGCAGGGGTGCTTGTTGACGGCTGAGTCGTAGGTCGATCACGTCCCGGTCGTTGTGGACCTTGGCAATGATGATCCGCGGCCGCTCATTAGGCTGTGGCTTCGTCTCAGGCTACGGTGGGCCCGGTCAGTTTTTACGGGTCTGCTAAAGTTGTCTTGGCCAGGTAGCTCTGGGATCGGCTTAGAAACAATTCAATTGCATCGAGGCGGCCCTCCAGAGATTTCTTTAAGCCATCTAGCTCAGCCTCGTGGTTAGCGATACCCGCTAATATAGCATCGTTACTAGTGGCCGACAAACTCGTCTTGGATGTATCCCTCTGACTATCGTCTTTCTTAGGCACCCACTTCCGACAGGCTACAGCACAGTTTTAAGGACAACCCAACGTAAAATAATGTTAAAGTGCAATGTTATGAAAATAAAATTAAGGAGATGGAAGGAGACTCGGAAAACACGTCTACTCCATACAAACAGCATTCTGACTGATTAATATAATGATTGCCTTCATAAAACCGAAATATATTAAATATAAATTCTTTTGAACTCTAATTTTCTCACAAACAAGAACACGTAATAAGTGGTACAGAGGAGATATTTATGCTGGAGCAGAAAAACGTAGCTCAGATTTAAAAAGTAAAGATATTTCTAAAGATCTTAAGTGCTGTATGACACAACTAATGTATTAAATAATTGTGTGTTTTCAGACGACACCAGCAGACACATTTACAGTCTTACTTTGTACAGTGCTGGACTCATTGTCTGTCTGCAGTCCAGCTCTTGTTCTGGGTCTTTCTCCACACTGGGGACAGGAGGAGTCTCCTGGTGAACCAGACTGGTCCCAGTATGAGGTGATGCACTGTCTGCAGAACCAGTGTCCACAGCTGGTAGAGACTGGATCCTTCAGGACGTCCTGACACAAAACACAGCAGGACAGCTGCTCCTCCACAGGAACTCGACTCCTCTTCCTCTCTCTGTGGAGACATTTCTTTATAAGTAAACTGATTTGTTGACTGTAGTTGAAACATATCAACATGTGGACACTGACTCTGTGTAGAAGCTCAGATGGTCACAGAGAACAGTAAAAGTGTCGTTTCTTTTCTGTTTTATTTCCTTTATTTTGACTCTCCTGCTTTCATGAACACTAATTAACACTTCATGTCTGTCTTATTAAACACGTAGTGATCAGCCTGTAATCAATCTGATTTTAAACAGTATCTACACTAATAGTTCTGCATCATTTTGTGTTTGTCCTCATTACTTATCTTCATCAGGTCAGTTTACAGTAAAAACAGTCTCTTACTGTGTGTCTGAGGGTCCTTTACTGAAGCGTAGAGGTTGATCTTTGGACCGGTCACTCTTCATAGACAGACAGCAGCTGGACACCGGAGACTCTGCTCTCAGTCTGTTGGACTGAACTCTGCAAACATCAACAGTTTTTTATTCACATCATGTGAATCCTTGATAAATTCTCTGATAACAAAGTCATTGAAGAAGCTCTAAATCAGGTTCTCAACATACGGCCCATAGTGGCCCTGAAACATTTTGTGCCAACCCCGAATGTGACATGAAATGCATACATTATGTTTAAATTAATCCATGTCAATACTGTCCAACACGTTCTCACTCCCAGCTCATCAAATACTGCTGCTTCATCAGATAGATAGATACTTCATTAATCCCCCTATTGGGGAAATTCTTCTTTTCACTCTTTTTATTCTTACACACACACACAGGCTGAAATACCCACTTCATTCACTTGTGGACATGGAAACAAACAGGGAGAGAGATGGTGGAGCGATGGGCTCGCTATGTTAGTGGCGCCCATGAGCAGTTTCTTGGGGTTAGGTTGCCTTGCTCAAGGGCACCTCGGCAGGGCACAGGAGGTGAAACTGGCACCTCTCCAGCTACCAGTCCACACTCCATATTGTGGTCTGTGGGATTTGAACTTGAACTTTTGTCAATATGAACACGTTCACATTCATGTTCAGGTGTCACAGAGAAAAAGTACGAACTGAAATTCAACCTGTTAGTTGTCAAATGTTTGCTAAATAAAACTCTGGAGAAGCAGCAGTTAGAGAGTATTTCCATCTGTGCTGAGCAAGAGTTTTGTGCTAAAGGAATTAAAGGGCTGTCCCTAATAAAGGCAGCGAGAGTTCAGAGATTGAGGTAAATAAACGCCAGGGCTGCTATTAAGTTAAGTATTAAGTTTTATGGTACATAAATACATAACTTGTTCTCCGTCTGTTGTACTGAACTCTGCAAACACCAACACATCATGTGAATATTTGAAGATGTCTCTAATGACAAAGTCATTTAATGAGTCATAAAAAGTTTGTTACATTTAGTTAATTAAAACATTTTAGTAGAACTTTTAATGTACAAACACAAAATCCACAAAACAAACGAGCCACATAATTGAGTTAATATCAGTGCTCTTACTGTGTGTCTGAGGGTCCGTTACTGAAGGAGATAGGTTCATTTTTGGAACGGTCACTCTTCATAGACAGACAGCTGGACACTGGAGACTCTGCTCTGTCCTCCTCTTCCTCCACATTAACACTCATCTTCAGTCTGAGAGTCAAACAGTAACACTGACTGTGAGTTCAGACTCAGGAAACAAGTTTGTTCATGAGACACACAGAGAACGGGAAGTAACACACACACACACACACACACACACACACACACACACACACACACACACACACTCACAGTATACAGTAGAATAAACACAGTCAGTTATTATTCAGTCAATCAGCACTTTGTGTCCACAGATCAAACTGTTGAGTTCAGTCCTGTACAGTCCACAGGGAGAAAACTGACTCACACACAGTAAAATAATAATAATGTTGTATTAACACTCACCCTGCCTCACCCTTCTGCTGTCGACTCAAAATGGAGTCTGAACCAACTGAACTCTTTCACTTTCAGGTTCCCTTCTTGTTTTTATCTACCATCTACCTGACAGTTTTGCTCCTCCCCTCTCCATTTACAGGAAATCAGCTCTGTTTATATCTCTGTGTGTCAGTGTGTTTGTGAAAGTCTCTTTTATTTGAACAGAATTAAAATGAGTTTCCATATGTAGGATTCTGAAGGATTTCACATATTATTTGTATTTATTAATCACTTTTTATTGCCAGTGTGTGAACAGGTTGTAACTTAAAAGCTCTGAGTTAGGACACAGCCACTGCAGTTTCTGTTTAATCCACATGAGGGAGTCGGTGCTCTATTTTAGGGGAGGTTCATCCTCCAAAGCAGACACTGAGTATACAGCACTGGGGAAGGCAGACAGACCACCCCACCTCCAGCACTTTCAGTCCAACACCATGCCATCACGGGGCTGCAGATGTGTGCCACATGGACGGGAGGAGAAAGAGAAAGAGACAAGAGGGAAGAGTTTTGGATAGAGAAGTTAAAAACGATAACTATAAAATGATTTGATATTGTAAACTTGCCTTTACTTGCCTGTTGCTGCTGAAGGATGAAGGGAAAGTGGAAATCCAACACACTGTAACCTTTAGACCTGAGGCCTGCAGGCAGAATAATATGAGGGAGAATGAAAAACGTCCATCTAACCTCCTGTTTGTCTGTCGTCCTTTATGAAATATTGACCAAACTGAGCTGCTGACACTTATTGTCTCTCCCTTTGTGTGTTTGTGTGTGCGGAGACTTTCATATCTTTACGATTTGGATTATGCATGTGATTATTGAAATACCATAGTTATATATTAATGTATATTATAGATATAAATACCTTAGAAAAGAAGTAGTAGTAGAATTATTGCAGGATGGAATTTATGTTTTTATTTAAGTATTTAAGTTTTATATTAGAAATGTTCAGTTTGGGTCTCCAGCATTTAGATGCTAGACAGATTCTAACTTGCATATGTTGGACAATCAGCATAATTAGCTATAGGGACAATATTTCAGCAGCTGATGGCTGATTTGGACAAAATATGAGTGGTAGAAAAACATCAAGCAGCTCCAAACCATACTGAGGATGGCTAAAACTTGCTTCCCTGCAGCAGCCATTTGGATCCCGCTCGTCAATTCTTCCTCCAACCTGGAACAACAACCCAGAAACAACCAGGGGGAAATAAATAATCACATCAGCGAGAACATGCCACACATTCCACAACTACCGGACGATCAATATAACACAAAATCAGACAACATCCACTGGACGGATGACACCGCGGTTGTAATGTTTAACCACTGGCTTCAACATTTAAACTGAATATCCCCACAAGCCCCAAAGCAAACAGAAGGGGAGGGGAACAAAAATATATTCATATAATAGATATATATATTAATAACACACTGCCGGTATGAACGATGAATTTAATTCAGCAGCACTCGTTGGATACAGTGATGTGTGTGCATGAGGTGAATCCATACATCCTACACCACTTCCACCAGAACAATCCCATAATTCAACTGGTTTTCCTCTACGTCATTTCCTCACTGAGTAGTGATGAGAACATCGGTTCTTTAAGGAAATTATTTCATTTTGTTCACCTGGACGCTATAGCTAGAAGATGTGTGTGTGAGCGGCGAGTTCGATATGTTCCACAGGATCTCTGAGCTTTTTACTCTGATACATAAACTCTATTAGATTTTCTACTGACTGAATATTTACACTCAAGATGACAGAATTTTTATTTTATATTTAAAAGATCATTCATCCGATCGACTTCACACTTGGCGGGGTGTATTTCTGGAGACGCAAGGAGATGGAGAGTCCAATGTGGTTGCAACTTGGACACCTGACACGTTCAATATGAATAAACTTTGGATAAACAGGTGAACAGCAGCTGGTGACGTCATTGGGAGCCAGAGTCTGAGGGTAGTAATAGAAACTGTGCAGAGTGTTTTGGTGTCATTTATTGGCTACTGCTCTGTCCTCTGCTGTGTCTGTTCACTGTACAGGACAACAACTCTGATAAACTACTGCGCTAATTAATTAATGTTAGTTATGTATGTATGATCGCGCATCACCAATGACAACCTCCACACTGTTTTGCGGATTGCTTCAGCACAAGACCTAAAACCAGACATTGATACACTAACAAGGGGAAAACGGTGTCAGGCATCCGGTCAGAAAACAAATATGTGAGCATTTTTAAAACCTCACTTAAAAATACAATGGAATGTTTTTCCACTAAAAAGAACAGTTTAATATGTGTGTAATTTAATGGTTGTGCTTGCATTTTGTTTTGTGTTTGTTCTTTTCAGAACATGATCAGTGGATGAGGATGGTGTGTGATATGGTGTCTCGGGGTGATCAGGGACTTATCAACCTTACTCAAAACTTGATCAATATATTTGTGAACTGAGACAACCCTTATTGTTATTTTGAGTTAATGACACATCCTACTTTGTATGTGCAGAAATATTCCCATTTTGCTTGATGTTATTGTTGAAGAAAAAAATATTTTAAATTAAAAATGTTATTGTTTTTTATTTTATTTACTTATTTAATTAAATATAAAAAAAATGTACTCTGTTCACATTCATATTTCTGGTTAAAACATTGCCAGTTATAGACTGTTCAATAAATATTAATCCTGTTTGGTCCGCACTGTGACTGTGTTTTAAATTTAGCCCCTTGTGTGACTGAGTTTGACACCCCTGCTGTAGACGGACAGAGCAGCAGCAGAGCGCTCCAGATACACTAGCTCTATTATTTCCTCCTCAAATGTCTCCAGTTCTGTCCACAACTCAAAGAGAAAAAAACAAATATTCTCATTTGTAAAGTTGAAATTTGAGAATTTGGACGTTTTTCTTGAAAAATAATTAATTATTAAAATAGTTGTCATTGAGTTGAACTGATGCCAAAGCACAGAATCATTGAGACGCTGAGTAAACAGACAAATTCATAGCTATTTCATATGGGATAGAACAATAAGTTAAAATAGAGGTTTAGATGAATTATTTCCAGTGAATATTGATCAGAGGAGTTTTCCTGATATTGTATTTCTCTCTCAGCTCTTTGGTTGATTTGCAGGCTGTTGATCAGAGTGAGGGCTCTGTCTGTAACTTGTCTTCAGCTCCTCTAAGTTTAGATCTTAAATCATCTAAAACTGTTTCATTTAGTTCTCTTCAATGGAGTGAATGACAGTTGGAGAAAAAGGTATATTTTATGTTTTAAAGCTTTCTTATAAATGCTGAAATCACCAGTGAAGCTTTGGCGCCCCCTAGTGGGCAGATTGGAAACCGGAGGTCAGAGACACCAGACCTGGACTTTATATCTGGACTCAGTGCCGTCCACAATGTCGTATAGGGGTGAAGGTGATGACAATTCTAAGGGCCCACAGCCCATTAGGGCCCACACGCAGCCCCCCCAGTTGCCTCTATGACTAAATTATTATGCATAGACTTAACTAATATATATTCATACTAATGAATCCAAGCTAAAACAAAGCCAAAAAGTCACGCAATATTTTAATTTGAATGTTTTCAGTAACCCCTTTGTCCCCTTCTTAAAAAATGGTTTGGTCCACGGTTCGTTCTTCCTCATGGGAATTAAGTGAGCGAGCGAACTCCAGCAGAGAGTGAGGGAGATCAAATAAGATGATGGCCCCCAAAAAACACAAATCTGGACCCCAGAAAAGACTTGAGAGGGAGGCCAGGAGTAGGAGCAGCAGAGCAGGGGCCCAGGACATCAAACATTTTTCTCTAAGAATGGTGACGTTAGCTGTCATCGGGTGAGAGGCGGGCTACACTCTGGACAAGTCGCCAGTTCATTGTAGAGCAGGGGTGGCCAACCAGTCAGAGACTAAGAGCCACATTTTTTACTGTGTTACTGCAAAGAGCCACATCATATTTTTTTCTCTTTTTGAGACCCTCCCTGCGTGGGGGGCTCCTACCCTTTGCTGAAAATGTGTAGTCCCCAGGCCCAAAGAACAAAGCATGCCATTAACAGCCACATAGTCCATATAACAGTGCCATGCCTGTTGTCATCTTTCACCAATACTGACTTTAATGGTGTCAGATTAACACTCCTTACCATCTCACTATCACTAAGGACAGCAACTGTCGATAAGGTTCCTGTAAAATTATCCTTCCTCCCTGGTGGTCTAGTGGTTAGGATCTGGTGCTCTCACCGCTGCGGCCCACGTTCGATTCCCGGTCAGGGAATGTGCTTTCGTACACGTTTCAGGTCCAATTCCGAAATAAAAGCTGCTTCACTCTAACTAGGCTAAGCGAGCTAAGAGCAGTTCCCGACGGAGGAGTCGAGCCTTCGTTGCCTCCCCTCATGGTGCAAATTAGCGGGTTCACCCGGGTGTGACGTTCACATCAATGCCGATCAGAGGTGAAGCCGATTAATATCAGGTGTTAACGGGTTTCCATAGGTTTTTTGGGCAGTGTGAAAATGGCTATACACAACACAAAATTCGATATGAGCCACGGGTTGGCCAAGCCTGTGAGCAACGACTCCTAGTGTAGCTAACTGAAGGTTACTAATGTGGAGGCTATCTACAGCGGACTGTTTCACACATATTATCACTGTCTGACAGTGCTCCAGTAAGCACCCACTCAGGGGCCGTCTACACGAATACGTTTTTTTCAGAATCCGGATAAATACTTTATCGTATCGGCCTCGTGTCCAGACGGATACGGCATTTTCGGGGTGTGAAAACATTATATTTTGGAAACAGGTCCCAGAGTGGGAAAATCCGAAAACACCGGATTGCCCGGAGTCGTCTGGACGGCGAAAACTGATTTCTTCCGAAACGATGACGTATTAGCCTTCAACCTCAGCCGCCACCGCTAGACGCGTCATAACAACAACAACAATGGCGGACTACTACTACTTGTTTGTAAACAGCGCATGCTCCATGGCTTCTCTTCCGGTTTTGGTGTATTGGTGTGGCGGCGTCACAGCACCATATACAGGCCTGGCATATGTACTACAGCGTTTTGGGTCGTTTCAGTGAATCCGTGTGGACGCAGATATTTCTGGAAACGACGCCGTGTTTACGGAGATTTTTTTCGAAACGGCATCGTATTGGGTGGGGCCGCGTATTCGTGTGGACCCAGTTACGAGGCTGCATTCAATTGTATTATGACGCATTCAAGTTCTACTCAGTAATTATGAGCATTGGGCGAAGGTCAATTACGTTATCATGATGTGTTCAATGTGGTCTTGTGATTGTGATTTTTTGTTGTTGTTTTCACAACAATATAAAATAAAAGACACCATAATAGCTGACAGTAACAACGTAAAAAGACAATTTAGAATTTGAGTCCTTATTTTACCCCAGAAGCTCTGCAATGTCCGCATTGACCTGCAGATGACATATAAATAAAGTTGTGTTAAAATGTCTCCTTTTTCTCTGTCAGATCGCGATATGGGAGCTCGCCATCGTGCTCGCGCCCACTCCATCCAGATCATGAAGGTGCAGGTCATCGCCGCCAACAAGTGTCGCAGACCCGCCATCAAGCAGTTCCACGTGAGTGTCCAGACGGTTTCATGTTGTTTTACTCGTGTCAGCGGGCCTCCACGTTGTCAGCTCCAGTTTAAAAACCCGCCAGACAAAAAAGCCAGATTTCCAGCTTCCATCTTCAAACCTGGCGGTTCTGAAACTGGCGACAGACGCGTTAACGACCGCAGGTTTAAAAAGAGTTTGGTTGTATGTAGCTGACCTTTTTATTTCCTCTGATTCCTCCCGCAGGACTCCAAGATCAAGTTCCCGCTGCCTCACAGGGTCCTGCGTCGCCAGCACAAACCCCGCTTCACCACCAAGAGACCAAACACCTTCTACTAAAAGCATTGTTTCATGTTGTGCGGAAAAAATAAAGAATCTAAACGAAGAGCTGTTGGTTCCTTTATTTTTATATATAAACGTGTTTTCATACGAGGTTGGCTGTAGTGAACGAGTTCCCTGGAATAAATGTCCTCCCGGTAGATGTGGATCATTTTAAAGGGTTAGTTCATGGAGATTACTGAACCGGCTGCTGTTACGTTGTGGAAACACTGAATGTGGCAGAAGACACCAAAGACTGCTGATACGCCTTTTTCACAGCAGCCATTTTGAGCTGAAATAGTAGGATAAACCCAGGTGTTAACAGTTAAACTGAGTTCTGTTCATGTTTGCTCACTGGAAGAGAGACTACAGAACGACTCAAAACCAAGAGAACATTGAATACATGTAATAGATTTTGATGTTTTGTACATTATTTAAGGTATTTGCACTATAATATTCTTGAAGATATAAAGCTTATCATAGTTACTGTATAATTTTAGTTATTTGTTCACGAATAAAGTGAAAATATTGTTAAATTTAGATCAATGTTACTAGAGAAAGCACCAGAAGGACAGCGCCCCCTTTGGGTGAAATCAGCTTTAACAGTTCCTAAAAGTTGCTGCGTCTCAAAAGAAAACTGTAAGATTTTCTTTATTTCCCAAAAGAGTGAAGGACAATAATGATCTGTGTTAATGATGTTACTGAGTCAATGTGAGCAGATTGTGTCTGTAGATTGAAGAGAATCAGAGTCTCACTGATGGTGGAAATAAAGGTTTTATTTCCTTAAAACAGCAGTTTTTTGAATGGAGTTTGGTGTCACAGTGTGGAGCAGAGGGGATTTGAACTTTAATAATTCACATAAACTGAGCTCACCAATCTTCTAATCATGAACCTTGTAAACAGTAGAAAGTAATAGGAAGTGGAGATAAAACCCTCCTGCTTTATTCTTCTGTGGGACACCAGTTAACACGGTCACTCTTTATACCACAACACCGGTAGTGCAGTCTTCATTTACATTTTAAATGTGTTTAGACTGAAACAAGAAGCAGGACTCAAATGCATGATTCACACACGGGTGCTTGATGTAAAACAGTGTTAAATTGCCAGAAAGGAGTTGGTACACAGAAGTCCAAAAACAGAACAATGTCGGGGGGACATGTCGGAGGCGGACCACCACAGGGTTGATGGGGAAGGGACCCACAAACCGAGAAGCTACTCGGATAGGGCAGGAGTCCGCCAGGGATCTGATGTCCTCTTGGTATGAGCCGAGCTCCTCAAGAGTATCTGACGGACCCACTCCAGATCCACCGGCAACAGCGTAAGAGAGCCTGAGTAGAGGGTTGACCAGAAGATGAGTGGCGTGTGCGTACTGAACCCATATGAGATGTTTACTACAGGAGGATGGGTCCTGAGAGACATCGTAAACCCCACAGTTGTTGATTATAGCGATTCAGTTCAGCAACCTGATAACGGGTATACAGGGACTAGTTGTGATTCCTCTGTCAGTCACTGCTGGATGAAGCTCTCCTCTCCACTCCACCTCCCAGTAACATGGCCCAGTCAGAGCTGATGCTGCTGCTTCAACCTCTCTGGATCATCAGGACACAACCTCCTTCCTCACCGCTCAGAGTCTTAATGAGATCCCCGCCATCTGAGGAGAGAAGGAGACAGACAACAGCAGTGATAAATCAGTGTTTACAGAGACTCCCTCCATCAGCACATCCAGTATAAAGACCAGCAGGGACTTCAGTCCAGTTCAGACCAGCAGTGGAGCGGCTGTGTAGCGTAGCCTGCTTCCTTTCAGCTCTCATGTTAACGTATTGGAGTGAACACACTGAGCTGAAGCTCACAGACCTGCAGACACTTTGGACATCAAGTCTGCTGACTCTGCAGATTTCACTGAAGTACACAGTGGAAATAAAGTGCTGAGAGTCCCTGAACGCATCATTACTGCAGAAACAAAGAGACATTCACTGCCCACTGGAATGATGCATTTACTGCTGTTAGGGTTCAAAGCTGATAAAAACCACAGTCTCAGTCACATTTGAATGTTTCATCTGAAATCTTACAGGACAAATGTGTAAATATTCAAACTATTTGGACAAACAAGAGACAAATGGACAGATATATATCTGATGTTAAAGGTCCTACATGTTCATACAAAGACTGAACAGCAACACATCAGCTGTGGGTACTGGACTCCAGCAGAGGTCCTGGTCTGTACAAAGACCACATGGTCACTAAATGTAATGATGCTTGTTTGCAGGCTTCAGTCAGACTGATCTCAGAGCTGTGACAAAGACCAACTGATCAGTTGTTTAGTGTAGAAATGAGAGAACAAACAGTGTGAGATCAGACTGGATGAATGAGGACCACTGTCTCTATACATCTTGTAATGCTGTCAGCTGGAATCCACTTTATTTCCTGAACACATGAACACAACAACAACAGTCGTCTTCACATCAACAAGCTTCTGGCTCTCTGATTGGCTGACTGTCCAATCCTGAAGCCTGTCCCCATTCTCCTCTCACAGCTTCACTGAGGAAAGCAGCAAATTCTGGATCTGTGTTTAGTCCAAGACTGCTGGAACCAGCATGGACTGACTCAGACCCTCTACTGACCTCAGAGTCTCCAGTCTACAGTGTGGACTCTCCACAAGATCAGACAGCTGTTTCACATCTGAATCCTTCAGGTTATAGTTGTAACTCAGGTCCAGCTCTCTCAGATGGGAGGGGTTGGACTTCAGAGCTGAGACCAGAGAAGAACAGCTGATCTCTGACAAACTGCAGGTCCTCAATCTGAATAAAGAATAACAGATGTTTAGAATTAAAAAGTTCAGTCAATATGAACAGTTTCATAAAGTCAAGAAGCAAAAACTGAATATTGTTATTTTCTGATAATAAAGTTTATTGAACTATTTATTGTATTTATGTATTTTTATTCTCATTTATTAAAACCATGATGTTAATATCAGATTAAATCCAGAGCTGAAGAGGTTCACAGTGAATTATTCAGTGTAGATTCTTCTTGTTCTATGAAGGTTTTAAATGTGGAGCTCAACATTGCTCTGCCACAGTCAATGGACTAAACCACAGAAGAAGAAAACAGACTTTAGCATTAAGATACTCAGTGTGGATCAGTATAATATCAGCCTTATGTCTGCACTTTACTGTCAGCACAACTTTCACATCACATTCATCTCAGCACAGAAATAAAAAATGGTGCCTGACCTCAGAGTCTCCAGTCTACAGTGTGGACTCTCCAGAAAACCACACAGCAGCTTCACTCCTGAATCCTGCAGCTTGTTGTTGTTACTCAGGTCCAGCTCCCTCAGATGGGAGGGGGTTGGACTTCAGAGCTGAGCCCAGAGAAGAACAGCTGATCTCTGACAAACTGCAGTCCCTCAATCTGAATAAAGAATAAAAGATGTGAGTTTAGAAGACAATGTTCCTGCTTGAAATCATTCAGTGTTTAATAATCTGTTCAGAGCTGAAGAAGGTTTACAATGTACAAGTTTAGAAAATGGAAACTCCAAACACCTGAACCCAACAGGATGCAGGTTGCAAACTGTAAAATACAAAGAGTGAAAAAGAGCTCTCATTAATATTAATGACAACGTGCTGCTGCTTCAATAAAGACGTAGTGACTTCAGCTCTTAACCTCTGCGAGCTCCACCAGTGGCTCCATCTATACAAACTCATGTTGTGCAGCCAAACACAAAGAAAAAGCCACAGAAAGTGATTGAAGATTCCACTATTAAAGATAAAATGCTGTCATCTTGAGTGTAAATATTCAGTCAGTAGAAACGTCACATATCATCAGAAAGGTTTGATACAAGCTGATATGTTTATTGTCTGATAGAGAAGAAAATATGTTTCTGTTTGTATTCAGAGGATCATGAGAGAAAGGTGGAAATTAAATGATGAAGAGCTTCAGAGAGAATCAACCAGTGTTGAATTATTAATGTTTTATTAAATATGTTTGAAATATGAAGCTCAACAAAAAGCTCAGTGTTAATCAGCATAAAATCTTTGTGGTCAAACCCCCTCAAAACTGAGATTTTAAAGTTTAGAATAAAGGTTTAGAATTATTAACTATGGTTTAACATTAAATATTTAAATTGTATTATTATTAGATTAGAGATTACATTACATTAAAATAAACATTATCCAACAAACTTTTTTCAAATATTTAACAATCTCTTTTCTGAGATTTAAACCTGTTGTTCCACCAGTGCATGCTGGGATTTCATGTGTTCATCACCAGACTTGTATGTGTGAATACAGACGACAGCTTCAATCAATGTTGTAAATACTCTAGTCATCAGCGTACCTGTGTAGTTATTTATCAGTTCATGTTAACTAAAGAGACCAGATATTGGCATTATTAGTTGACACAGCAACCAATCAGGACACCAGATCACAGGAAAGGTTGGCTTTAAAACTTCCTCATACCAAGTGTGAACTGGATCAGACTGGTTTCTGCTGCTGTGCATCCAACTACTGGAATAAACTGCACAACGAATTCAAGTCAGAGACACTACGAAGTTCTCCTGGTTGATATTCATAATGTTTGGTTTAATGTGTGAGAGATGAACGCTTTGTGTGACTGAACTGTTGTTGTGATGTTGTTCGTCTGTAATTTGTTCTCAGCTCTGTGTTGTAAAACAGATCCTGATCTTAATCAGACTTTCTGAATAAATAAAACTGAACTCACTCACCAACTGAGATTGCCAACATTGTAACTGTAAACTATAAGTGTGACATACAAATGTTATTTTCAAATGTTTAAATCCTTTTTTTCACTTTTAAAATCTGATTTCAAACTTTAAAAACTCATTTTCAACCATTTAATCATTTTTACTGTCATCAAATCTGAAGGAGATTTTACTTCATAAATATCAACCTGTCTGCACTTTACTGTCAGCACAACTTAACATCACATTCATCTCAGCACAGAAATAAAACATGGTGTCTGACCTCAGAGTCTCCAGTCTACAGTGTGGACTCTCCAGAAAACCACACAGCAGCTTCACTCCTGAATCCTGCAGGTTGTTGTCACTCAGGTCCAGCTCTCTCAGATGGGAGGGGTTGGACTTCAGAGCTGAGACCAGAGAAGAACAGCTGATCTCTGACAACCTGCAGTTAATCAATCTGAATAAAGAATAAAAGATGTGAGTTTAGAAGACAATGTTCCTGCTTGAAATCATTCAGTGTTTAATAATCTGTTCAGAGCTGAAGACGGTTTACAATGTACAAGTTTAGAAAATGGAAACTCCAAACACCTGAACCCAACAGGATGCAGGTTGCAAACTGTAAAATACAAAGAGTGAAAAAGAGCTCTCATTAATATTAATGACAACGTGCTGCTGCTTCAATAAAGACGTAGTGACTTCAGCTCTTAACCTCTGCCAGCTCCACCAGTGGCTCCATCTATACAAACTCATGTTGTGCAGCCAAACACAAAGAAAAAGCCACAGAAAGTGATTGAAGATTCCACTATTAAAGATGAAATGCTGTCATCTTGAGTGTAAATATTCAGTCAGTAGAAACGTCACATATCATCAGAAAGGTTTGGTACAAGCTGATATGTTTATTGTCTGATAGAGAAGAAAATATGTTTCTGTTTGTATTCAGAGGATCATGAGAGAAAGGTGGAAATGAAATGATGAAGAGCTTCAGAGAGAATCAACCAGTGTTGAATTATTAATGTTTTATTAAATATGTTTGAAATATGAAGCTCAACAAGAATCTCAGTGTTAATCTGTTTTGCAACTTTTTTTGCACATGCACCACTTTCCCGAGTGGCTGCAGTAGCAGCAGCTCTCGCTCAAGTTGAGCGTTTTTCTTTGTTTTCAGTAGTTATTAGTTAAGTAATTTAATTTATTTTCAGTGTATTATTACCAGCAATAGTTGCACTATGGGCACCAAAATTGCCGTGTCTGCTGTGGACTTGTTTTTTCAACTTAAAAACTGTCCGTGTCCGGACACCCCGTGAGCAGCCATGGTCCCTATTGTTTACACTAGGGATCAGCTGATAGCGCTCCGTAACACAGCGGTGCTGTCCCATGAGAAACCTGACATCCCCCGGGAGCTGAGAAGGAGAAGATGGGAGACTCGTGCTGGAGTTCAACGTCATGCCAGGAGAAGACGGTACAGACCTGTCCTCCCGTCCATCGTTATGGGAAATGTAAGATCTCTCCCCAACAAGATGTATGTTGGGGAGACAACCAGCTGTGACCCGCACAGTGAGAGGATGGTCTGAGGAGACTGAAGAAGCTCTGAAGGACTGTTTTGACTCAACTGTGTGGGAAGAACTCTGTTATCCTCATGGGGAGGATATTGACAGCCTCACTCACTGCATCACAGACTATATTAACGTCTGCGTGGGGCACACTGTACCCACCAGGACTGTACAGTGTTTCTCCAACAACAAACCTTGGATTAATCCGGATATTAAGGCCCTGCTGAAGGAGAAAAAGAGGGTCTTCAAGTCTGGAAACAAGGAGAAGTTGAAGTCTGTGCAGAAGGAGCTGAGGTGGAAGATTAGAGAGGGGAAGAACAGATACAAGAAGAAAACGGAGGATCAGCTGCTGCAGAACAACATCAGCGGTGTCTGGAGAGGCCTGAAGACCATCTCAGGCTACAAAGAACCGGACTCCCAGGCTGTGGGGGGACCAGAAGTGGGTGAATGATCTGAACCTATTTTTCAACAGGTTCGATCAGACATCCAACCCTCTCACGGTCCAGCTATCCCTGCTGCAGCCCACCTTGTTTACACACCCTGTATTTTCCCCCTCCATCAACCCCGCCCCCCACCCACACAGCACTCAGATCGCAGCCAGCCACCACTGCCTCCACCTTCACTACTGCCCCCCCACCGATGCTCTCACCTCCTCTCACACCTCCATCCCCCCCCCACACCCCCTAAACACCCTGCCCCCAAGCCCCAATCTGTCCCTCTCTGCTGACCAGTTGAGGAAAGAGCTCGGGAAGATAAAGGCGAAAAAAGGCTGCGGGTCCAGACGGCATCAGGTCCAGGCTCCTCAAATCCTGCGCGGACCAACTCTGTGGGATTGTGGAGCACGTCTTCAACCTGAGCCTGAAGCTGGGGAGAGTTCCACAACTGTGGAAAACATCCTGCATGGTGCCAGTGCCAAAAACGCCGCACCCAAAGGACCTCAACAGCTACAAGCTCCGCCCTCTGGTGGGATCATCCATGGACGCGCTGCAGTTCGCCTATCAGCCTGGAATCAGGGTGGATGACGCTGTCATCTTCCTCCTTCACAGAGCTCTTTCTCAACTGGAAAAGCCTGGAAGCATTGTGAGGATCACATTCTTCGACCTCTCCAATGCTTTCAACACCACCCAGCCTCTGCTTCTGAGGGACAAGCTGGAGCTCTCAGGTGTGGATTTTCACCTCACATCCTGGATTATGGATTACCTCACCAACCGCCCACAGTATGTGAGGACCAAGGACTGTGTCTCGGACATGGTGGTCTGCAGCACAGGGGCTCCACAGGGAACAGTTTTGGCTCCTTTCCTGTTCACCCTGTGCATTGCAGTCTTCAGGCACAGTTCTCCGAACTGTCACCTGCAGAAGTTCTCTGATGACTCTGCCACCATCAGCCTTATCACTTATGACGACGACAGGGAATACAGAGAACTGATAAAGGACTTTGTGGACTGGTGTCAGTGGATCCGCCTCCAAATCAACACAGGGAAAACCAAGGAGCTGGTGGTGAATTTCCGCAGGCAAAGTCACGCCCCCCGACACCGGTGAACACTCCGGGTATGGACATAGAGAGAGTGGACTCTTATAAGTACCTGGGTGTTCACCTGAACGATAAACTGGACTGAACTCATAACACTCAGGCACTTTATAAGAAAGGCCAGAGCAGACTCTATCTGCTCCGGAAACTAAGGTCCTTTGGAGTGCAGGGAGAGCTCCTGAGGTCCTTCTTTGATACTGTTGTGGCATCAGCCATTTTCTTTGGAGTGGTCTGCTGGAGCAGCAGCATCTCAGCAGTCGACAGGAAGAGACTCGACAACCTGATCAAGAAGGCCAGCTCTGTCCTGGGTTGCCCCCTCGACTCAGTGCAGGTGGTAGGAGAGAGGAGGATAATAGGGAAAGCTATCATCAGTGATGGACAATGTCTCCCACCCCATGCAGGACACCATCAGGACACTGAGCAGCTCCTTTAGTGACAGACTCCTTCACCCCAAATGTGTGGAGGAGAGATATCGTAGGTCCTTCCGTCGTGCTGCTGTCAGATTATATAACAACCAGCACTGCTACCAGTAACCACCCCCCATCTCGGCATCAATAATAATAATAATAATGTGCAATAAGTACTGTGCAATCTATTGCCCATATGCAACTGCTGCTGCTACTATTTTGTGTTATTTGTGTTATCTGTTGTGGATTCTTACTGTTTTTTTAACTTGTACATAGTGTTTTTTATTATTTCTCTGCTCTTACTGTTTTATTTATACTGGGTTTTTTCTCTATGCACTTTGCTGCTGTTATATTGGACTTTACCCATTAAGGGACAAATAAAGGAATATCTAATATGTAATCAGCATAAAATCTTTCTGGTCAAACCCCCTCAAAAATTAGATTTTAAAGTTCAGAATAAGGTTTAGAATTATTAACTATGGTTTAACATTAAATATTTAAATTGTATTATTATTAGATTAGAGATTACATTACATTAAAATAAACATTATCCAACAAACTTTTTCAAATATTTAACAATCTCTTTTCTGAGATTTAAACCTGTTGTTCCACCAGTGCATGCTGGGATTTCATGTGTTCATCACCAGACTTGTATGTGTGAATACAGACGACAGTTTCAATCAGTGTTGTAAATACTCTAGTCATCAGCGTACCTGTGTAGTTATTTATCAGTTCATGTTAACTAAAGAGACGAGATATTGGCATTATTAGTTGACACAGCAACCAATCAGGACACCAGATCACAGGAAAGGTTGGCTTTAAAACTTCCTCATACCAAGTGTGAACTGGATCAGACTGGTTTCTGCTGCTGTGCATCCAACTACTGGAATAAACTGCACAACGAATTCAAGTCAGAGACACTACGAAGTTCTCCTGGTTGAAATTCATAATGTTTGGTTTAATGTGTGAGAGATGAACGCTTTGTGTGACTGAACTGTTGTTGTGATGTTGTTCGTCTGTAATTTGTTCTCAGCTCTGTGTTGTAAAACAGATCCTGATCTTAATCAGACTTTCTGAATAAATAAAACTGAACTCACTCACCAACTGAAACTACCAAGATTGTAACTGTAAACGATAAGTGTGACATACAAATGTTATTTTCAAATGTTTAAATCCTTTTTTTCACTTTTAAAATCTGATTTCAAACTTTAAAAACTCATTTTCAACCATTTAATCATTTTTACTGTCATCAAATCTGAAGGAGATTTTACCTCATAAATATCAACCTGTCTGCACTTTACTGTCAGCACAACTTAACATCACATTCATCTCAGCACAGAACTAAAAAATGGTGTCTGACCTCAGAGTCTCCAGTCTACAGTGTGGACTCTCCAGAAAACCACACAGCAGCTTCACTCCTGAATCCTGCAGGTTGTTGTTGATACTCAGGTCCAGCTCTCTCAGATGGGAGGGGTTGGACTTCAGAGCTGAGACCAGAGAAGAACAGCTGATCTCTGACAAACTGCAGCCACTCAATCTGAATAAAGAATAAAAGATGTGAGTTTAGAAGACAATGTTCCTGCTTGAATTATTAGGTTAAAGATCCCGCTACATTAAAATAAACATTATCCAACAAACTTTTTTGAAATATTTAACAATCTCTTTTCTGAGATTTAAACCTGTTGTTCCACCAGTGCATGCTGGGATTTCATGTGTTCATCACCAGACTTGTATGTGTGAATACAGACGACAGCTTCAATCAATGTTGTAAATACTCTAGTCATCAGCGTACCTGTGTAGTTATTTATCAGTTCATGTTAACTAAAGAGACGAGATATTGGCATTATTAGTTGACACAGCATCCAATCAGGACACCAGATCACAGGAAAGGTTGGCTTTAAAACTTCCTCATACCAAGTGTGAACTGGATCAGACTGGTTTCTGCTGCTGTGCATCCAACTACTGGAATAAACTGCACAACGAATTCAAGTCAGAGACACTACGAAGTTCTCCTGGTTGATATTCATAATGTTTGGTTTAATGTGTGAGAGATGAACGCTTTGTGTGACTGAACTGTTGTTGTGATTTTGTACGTCTGTAATTTGTTCTCAGCTCTGTGTTGTAAAACAGATCCTGATCTTAATCAGACTTTCTGAATAAATAAAACTGAACTCACTCACCAACTGAGACTGCCAACATTGTAACTGTAAACTATAAGTGTGACATACAAATGTTATTTTCAAATGTTTAAATCCTTTTTTTCACTTTTAAAATCTGAGTTCAAACTTTAAAAACTTATTTTCAACCATTTAAACTTTTTTTAGTGTCATCAAATCTGAAGGAGATTTTACCTCATAAATATCACCTGTCTGCACTTTACTGTCAGCACAACTTAACATCACATTCATCTCAGCACAGAAATAAAACATGGTGTCTGACCTCAGAGTCTCCAGTCTACAGTGTGGACTCTCCAGAAAACCACACAGCAGCTTCACTCCTGAATCCTGCAGGTTGTTTTTACTCAGGTCCAGCTCTCTCAGATGGGAGGGGTTGGACTTCAGAGCTGAGACCAGAGAAGAACAGCTGATCTCTGACAAACTGCAGTCCCTCAATCTGAATAAAGAATAAAAGATGTGAGTTTAGAAGACAATGTTCCTGCTTGAAATCATTCAGTGTTTAATAATCTGTTCAGAGCTGAAGAAGGTTTACAATGTACAAGTTTAGAAAATGGAAACTCCAAACACCTGAACCCAACAGGATGCAGGTTGCAAACTGTAAAATACAAAGAGTGAAAAAGAGCTCTCATTAATATTAATGACAACGTGCTGCTGCTTCAATAAAGACGTAGTGACTTCAGCTCTTAACCTCTGCCAGCTCCACCAGTGGCTCCATCTATACAAACTCATGTTGTGCAGCCAAACATTAAGCATAGTGTTAGTTCAGGCAGGCCACGAAGTCAGGCTCTTGTCTGATTTCTGTTTCTGTTTCAAATGATGAAGAGCTTCAGAGAGAATCAACCAGTGTTGAATTATTAATGTTTTATTAAATATGTTTGAAATATGAAGCTCAACAAGAAGTTTGTTTCTCTGATAACTTATGTACATGTACATGAACTTAAGTCAGAAAATGAACAGCGTTCATTCAGCAACATCTTTTGACTGTACTGACCAATTCTGAAGCAGATCCGATAAATTCCCTAGGAGGAGTTCGTTCAAATGCAAGGTGAAAATTCACCGAAAATGACCACAGACTTAAAAATGGCCACGACTTTGACGGCACGCCACGGACACGCCCTTCAACGTAGAGTCACAAATTGAACAGCGTTCATTCAGTACCATTTTATGACTGTACTGTACCAATTTTGTTAGATTATATCTTTAAAATTTCAAAATTTTAAAATATATTGTCTGTGTGTGAATGAGTTTGTAAAATATTTATGTTCCTGTAAAATATTGTTTTAAAGTTTTTATATAAAATACATTATTCCTTTGATACTTTATTCATAAAACACATAAATATTGATTTACACTTGCAGCCCACTGTAAGATAAATACAGTTTCCTACTAACACAATACAAATAATACAATAATGCAATAATACAATAATACAAACTAAACTCAGAGTCAAACTGTTCAGACTGACGAACAAAGTGTTGTTTATTTTAAACAATGAAGTCATTGAAATTTAAAACTTCCTTTATGGATTTAAATTTGGTAGATATACACAGAGCAAACACATGAACTGACCTCAGAGTCCCCAGTCTACAGTGTGGACTCTCCAGTCCAACACACAACAGCTTCACTCCTGAATCCTGCAGCTTGTTGTTCCCACTCAGGTCCAGCTCTCTCAGATGGGAGGGGTTGGACTTCAGAGCTGAGACCACGACTTCACAGTGAGTCTCTGAGAGTCCACAGTCAGAAAGTCTGTGAATACAAACAATATAACATTTAAAATATGACACTTTAATTATAAAGAGAAAGAACATTTACATGAGCTGTGGCTCAGTTTGTAACTGCACTCGTATGTATTCACTTCAGTTGTATGTTTACAATCATACACAGAACAACATATAGCAAAATATGTGCCACTAAGTCCCATTTAAGCTGTCCAAAGTACTAGGATCAGTGTGCATCCACTGTGTAGCACCTGGTTAATGGTACTGATTGAAATGAACCTAACAACATATTTGGATTGTGAGGAAACCGGAGCACTTAAAGGAAACCCACACAAACACAGGGAGAACATGCAAATTCCACCCAGCTGGGAACCCAGGACCTTCTTGCTGTGAGGCCACAGTTCAACCACTATTTCTCCTACTGCAGTGGTTCCCAACCTTGTTCCTTAAGGGACCCCTTCTTCTATCATTTAGTAAACTGACTCATATTTTATGGATATTTTATATTATATTAAAAACTGTACAATGAACCCAAACAGTGAACTCACTAACTGCAGGAAGTTTGTGTAAAACAAGTGATTTGGATGAAGTTTGAGCAGATTATTTCCTGTTTAGGAAACCTAAACAATTCTCTGTCTGTATTATTATTTTTTAAAGACTATCATACAAACTTAATAGGATTTTTTTTTTTGTTGGACAAATAAAGTGTTTTCTTGTCCCTGATGTTTGGCCATTGTTTTATTAGAAAATTTACTTTACATTTCATTTTCTTCACAGAATTGAACCAAATGCAACCGTAATATTTATATTTTTTACGTTTTCTATCATTCTTTAAAATCAAGAAGACCTTGCAACCCCCTATGAAGCTTTGGTGACCCGTAGTGGGGGTCCCAATCCTCAGTTTAACCCTCCCACTGTCTTCACCAAAATAAATCAGAATCAGAATCAGAAATACTTTAATAATCCCAGGGGGAAATTACTTAAATAAATACTTCAATAAAGATAGTTATAAGACAACAGAAGATAATTTATTGACTGTAAGAAACACAAAAATGCTAATTCATGTAATTACCAATAATCCATTATAATTGATAATTAAACAGAAGCAGGTTTAATAATGATTTAGGAAAATAGTCTGTAAGTTTTATACTGTGAATGTGTGTGAAGTGTGTATCTTCACTCTAATACTGATGGCTTCAGCTTTATGTTGCTTTATAATGTTAATCACATCTGGACTTACACAGCCTTTCTGCAGTTCCTCACAGCTGGAATCAGTCTCTGTCGTCCCTCCACTGATGTGTTGTACTTCTGCAGGTTCAACTCATCCAGAACCTCCTCTGACATCTGCAGCATGTAGGCCAGAGCTGAGCAGTGGATCTCAGAGAGTTCCTTCTCTGATCTGTTCTCTGACTTCAGGAACTGTTGGATCTCCTGATGGATTGAATCATCGTTGATCTCCATCAGACAGTGGAAGATGTTGATGCTTCTGTCAGGAGAGATATTACCACTGTTCATCTTCTTCAGGTTGTTGATGGCTCTCTGGATGATTTCTGGACTGTTGTCTGTCTGACCCAGCAGGCCTCCTAAGAGTCTCTGGTTGGACTCCAGAGAGAGGCCATGAAGGAAGCGAACAAACAGGTCCAGGTGGCCATTTTCACTCCTCAAGGATTTCATCATTGCACTCCTCAGGAAAACATCTAGAGTTGAATCAACATGTTTTTCCTCCAGGAAGTCCTTCAGTACCTCTGTGTTCCTGTTGGTGTGACAGTGGAACATGTAGACTGCAGCCAGAAACTCCTGAATGCTCAGATGAACGAAGCAGTAGACTGTTTTCTGGAAGATCACACTCTCTCTTTTGAAGATCTCTGTACAAACTCCTGAGTACACCGAGGCCTCTGTGACATCAAGACCACACTGCTCCAGGTCTTCTTGGTAGAACATGATGTTTCCTTTCTGCAGCTGTTCAAACGCCAGCCTCCCCAGCTTCAGAAGAACCTTCCTGTCAGCCTCCATCAGCTCCTGTGGACTCGTCTCATGTCCCTCATCATACTTCTGCTTCTTCCTCTTTGTCTGAACCAGCAGGAAGTGTGAGTACAGGTCAGTCAGGGTCTTGGGCAGCTCTCCTCTCTGGTCTGTAGTCAACATGTGGACCAGAACTGTAGCAGTGATCCAGCAGAAGACTGGGATTAGACACATGATATGGAGGCTCCTGGAGGTCTTGATGTGTGAGATGATTCTGTTGGACAGATCTTCATCACTGACTCTCCTCCTGAAGTACTCCTCCTTCTGGGCGTCAGTGAAGCCTCGTACTTCTGTTACCCTGTCAACACATTCAGGAGGGATCTGATTGGCTGCTGCAGGTCTGGAAGTTATCCAGACGAGAGCCGAGGGAAGCAGATTCCCCTTGATGAGGTTTGTCAACAGCACGTTGACTGAAGACTTCTGTGTGACGTCAGACACAACCTCATTGTTGTGGAAATCCAGTGAAAGTCTGTTTTCATCCAGGCCGTCAAAGATGAACAAAAGTTTACAGACAGCGAGCTGCTCTGCTGTGACCTTCTGTAATGTTGGATGGAAAACATGGAGCAGTGTGAGAAGACTGTACTGCTCATCTTTGATCAGGTTCAGCTCCCTGAATGAAAGCAGAACCACCAGACTGACATCTTGGTTCTCCGAGCCCTCTGCCCAGTCCAGAGTGAACTTCTGCACTGAGAAGGTTTTTCCAACTCCAGCGACGCCGTTTGTCAGAACCACTCTGATGTGTCTCTGTTGGTCAGGTAAGGCTTTAAAGATCTCATGGCACTTGATTGGAGCATCATGGAAGGTCTTCTTCTTGGAAGCTGTCTCAAGCTGTCTCACCTCATGTTGGGTATTAACCTCTTCACTCTGTCCCTCTGTGATGTAGAGCTCAGTGTAGATCCTGTTGAGGAGGGTTCCACTTCCTGTTTCATCAGTTCCTTCAGTCACACGCTCACATCTCCTCCTCAGACTGATCTTATGTTCATCTAAAACCTCCTGCAGACCAGCATTCACTAAAAACAGAAAGAAAATGAGAGAATGATTTTCATTACCAGAACAATAATTAATATAAGATTATAAAAGTTACAAATTCCACCTGAAATCATTCTCAATCTCTAAAAGTTAATTAAAAATAACATCAAACTGATTTTTACATTAATTTTAAGAGTTTATTATTAAAAGGGAAGAAAGTGACAGTCTGAACCTCAACAGCTCGTCTGCAGTTCTTCATCTAAACTGCTCACTGTGTCTGTTCCTTCCTCCTTTTGATATTTAAAACAGACCCATTAACCAAATTATTTAGAATACGTTCATATCTTGTTTTGTAGACCTGTAGCTACAAATCTCAAAAACACTACATTTCCTAAAGCTGCTCCACAATAAAAGCCTCCTGACGGTTCATCAGTTGAAAACTTTTATGTGAACAGCAGCAACAGGAAATGTTAAGTTTGCACCAGCAGTAATTAACAAAGCTCTGATATGACTAAAGTAACAGTAAAATAAGGCTGATATCTGAAAGTATAAACAGGAACACCAGAGTGAGAGTAAACTCCAAACCAAAGAGATTCAGTTAGAAGCTACAAAAGTACTGAGAGCTGAACACAGAGAGACTTTTAAAAACAAAGCTTTCTCTCTTGTTATCAGCACAGACGTGTTGATTCAGTCAGTTTGATCTACAGACATGGATTTGATTTGAGGGAGGAGAACATCTCAGGTTGGTCCCTGTACCACTAGCTACACCCCAGTCCATCCACTACACTCTGCTACTGCCAATCAGCAGGGGGACCCAGTAGGGGAATGCTGTTGGAGAGCCTGACGGAGGCCAGGGGATTTACAGTGGCTCCGACCAGGACTCTGACTGCACATATGATGAAGACTCAGTGGGTTCAGGCAGCGACAGGAGAGGAATGAAATCGAGGAAGAGTTGCCAGTTTGTAGCCAGTTAATTAGTCAGTAACTGTTAACGTTATCCATCATCCATCATATCGATCAGTCCGCCAGGATTAGTTTCAGTGAAGTTGGAAGTTATTTATTCTGCGTGTTGAACAACCAGACTGTGTGATGTTACACTGTGTTAAAATAAATTAAGTAAATGTTCAGTCTCCTTGCTGATTGTTCTGATTCACAATCATTACTGCATTTAACAGGCTGCTGTTCACATATAGAGATTGAAATAATTAAATTCATCAATTCATCATAAACGTACAACAACTAGTCAACTATTGTCTTTCTCTAACGATTACTAGTCGACTAAGCAAGATGTATTACCATGCTAGGCTTTATCATTTTGAAAAATCTTTACTTGTTTCAACTTAGAATTTGATCTGCATGATGAGATGTGTTTGTCAGTTAGAGAAGAAGCAGACATTAGCAGTGTCTCTTGTCATTTCTCAGGCTGCTTTATGGCGGTTAGTCTGTGTGACTGATAGAACTTACTGCTTTATAGAGTTTAATAGTTTTCTGTCTTCATCTATGACGACAGACAGCAAACAGCATTCTGACTGAAATATATTAAATATAAATTCTTTTCTGAATTTATGAAACTGTGGAATTTTCTCACAAAGAAGAACATGCAACAAGTGATACAGAGGAGATATTTATGCTGGAGCAGAAAAAACTTCAAAAAGTAAAGATATTTCTAAAGATCTTAAGTGCTGTATGACACAACTAATGTATTAAATAATTAGTAGTGTTTTCAGACGACACCAGCAGACACATATACAGTCTTACTTTGTACAGTGCTGGACTCATTGTCTGTCTGCAGTCCAGGTCTTGTTCTGGGTCTTTTTCCACACTGGGGACAGGAGGCGTCTCCTGGTGAACCAGACTGGTCCCAGTATGAGGTGATGCACTGTCTGCAGAACCAGTGTCCACAGCTGGTAGAGACTGGATCCTTCAGGACGTCCTGACACAAAACACAGCAGGACAGCTGCTCCTCCACAGGAACTCGACTCCTCTTCCTCTCTCTGTGGAGACATTTCTTTATAAGTAAACTGATTTGTTGACTGTAGTTGAAATATCAACATGTGAACTCTGACTCTGTGTAGAAGCTCAGATGGTCACAGAGAACAGTAAAAGTGTCGTTACTTTTCTGTTTTATTTCCTTTTATTTCGACTCTCCTTCTTTCATGAACACTCATTAACACTTCATGTCTGTCTTATTAAACACGTAGTGATCAGCCTGTAATCAATCTGATTTTAAACAGTATCTACACTAATAGTTCTGCATCATTTTGTCTTTCTCCTCATTACTTATCTTCATCAGGTCAGTTTACAGTAAAAACAGTCTCTTACTGTGTGTCTGAGGGTCCATTACTGAAGTGTAGAGGTTCATCTTTGGACCAGTCACTCTTCATAGACAGACAGCTGGACACAGGAGACTCTGTTCTCCGTCTGTTGGACTGAACTCTGCAAACATCAACAGATTTTTATTCACATCATGTGAATCCTTGATAAATTCTCTGATGACAAAGTCATTGAAGAAGCTCTAAATCAGGTTCTCAACATACGGCCCATAGTGGCCCTTAAACATTTTGTGCCAACCCCGAATGTGACATGAAATGCATACATTATGTTTAAATTAATCCATGTCAATACTGTCCAACACGTTCTCACTCCCAGCTCATCAAATACTGCTGCTTCATCAGTGGCCTACACTTAAAAATATGACACTGTAGTTTTCCCTGTAGTGTCATTTCTGGACGCACAGGTCTCTGCTGTTAACAATGTCTGGTTAAAGTTTGTGTTGTTAACGTTGTGAAACTGTTGCACTTTGGTAGGTTTAGGCACAAAAACTATCTGGTTAGATTCAGGAAAAGATCCTAGGTTACGTTTCAACACAACTTAAGTATGTTACATAAGTAAACTTATGCATGTAACTTACATACCATAAAACTTCCAATAAAAGGAGAGTCCCAAATAAACACAGGTCTCCAATAGAGGCCTGGTCTGGATTTTATAGAAATTAACTGGATGTATAAAACCTCTTAAAGTCTACCGGGTCGCCCGCTTGAGCAAGTTTCAAGCCGCTTAGATCACCAACACCAATATAAATGTTTAAACCTTTGTCAATATGAACATGTTCATGTTCATGTTCAGGTGTCACAGAGAAAAAAGTACGAACTGAAATTCAACCTGTTAGTTGTCAAATTCTTGCTAAATAAAACTCTGGAGAAGCAGCAGTTAGAGAGTATTTCCATCTGTGCTGAGCAAGAGTTTTGTGCTAAAGGAATTAAACACCTGTCCCTAATAAAGGTAGCGAGAGTTCGGAGACTGAAGTAAATAAATGCCAGGGTTGCTATTAAGTTAAGTATTAAGTTTTATGGTACATAAATACATAACTTGTTCCCGTCTGTTGTACTGAACTCTGGAAACACCAACACATCATGTGAATATTCGATGATGTCGCTAATGACAAAGTAATGTAATGAGTCATAAAAAGTTTGTTTGTGTACTTAATTAATACATTTTAATAGAACTTTTAATGTACAAACACAAAGTCCACAAAACAAACGAGCCACATAATTGAGTTAACATCAGTGCTCTTACTGTGTGTCTGAGGGTTCATTACTGAAGGAGATAGGTTCATTCTTGGAACGGTCACTCTTCATAGACAGACAGCTGGACACTGGAGACTCTGCTCTGTCCTCCTCTTCCTCCACATTAACACTCATCTTCAGTCTGAGAGTCAAACAGTAACACTGACTGTGAGTTCAGACTCAGGAAACAAGTTTGTTCATGAGACACACACAAGAGAACCGAGAGTAACACACACACACACACACACACACACACACACACTCACACACACACACACAGTATACGGTAGAATAAACACAGTCAGTTATTATTCAGCCAATCAGCACTTTGTGTCCACAGATCAAACTGTTGAGTTCAGTCCTGTACAGTCCACAGGGAGAAAACTGACTCACACACAGTAAAATAATAATAATGTTGTATTAACACTCACCCTGCCTCACCCTTCTGCTGTCGACACAAAATGGAGTCTGAACCAACTGAACTCACTTTCAGGTTCCCTCCCTGTTTTTATCTACTATCTACCTTGATAACACCTGACAGCTCCTCCCCTCTCTAGTTACAGGAAATCAGCTGTTTATATCTCTGTGTGTCAGTGTGTTTATGAGCGTCTCTTTTTACTTGAGCAGAATTAAAATGAGTTTCCATATGTAGGATTCTGAAAGATTTCACATATTATTTGTATTTATTAATCACTTTTTATTGCCAGTGTGTGAACAGGTTGTAACTTAAAAGCTCTGAGTTAGGACACAGCCACTGCAGTTTCAGTTTAATCCACATGAGGGAGTCGGCCCTCCATTTTAGGGGAGGTTCATCCTCCAAAGCAGACACTGAGTATACAGCACTGGGGAAGGCAGACAGACCACCCCACCTCCAGCACTTTCAGTCCAACACCATGCCATCACGGGGCTGCAGATGTGTGCCACATGGACGGGAGGAGAAAGAGAAAGAGACGGGAAGAGTTTTGGATAGAGAAGTTAAAAACGATAACTATAACATGATTTGATATTGTAAACTTGCCTTCACTTGCCTGTTGCTGCTGAAGGATGAAGAGAAAGTGGAAATCCAACACACTGTAACCTTTAGACCTGAGGCCTGCAGGCAGAATAATATGAGGGAGAATGAAAACGGCCATCTAACCTCCTGTTTGTCTGTCGTCCTTTATGAAATATTGACCAAACTGAGAGCTGCTGACACTCAGTTATATCTATCGATCAAGCCCAATGAAATTAATCAATTACCTAAATTACAAACATGTCTTGAGGACATAAAATCCTGGATGAGCTGCAATTTTCTGATGTTAAACTCAGAAAAAAACGAAATTCTTGTTCTTGGCCCCAAAAACCTTAGAGACTCACTGTCTAAAGATATAGTCACTCTAGATAGCATTACCTTGGCCTCTAGCACCACTGTCAGGAATCTTGGAGTTATCTTTGATCAGGATTTGTCATTTAACTCCCACATAAAGCAAACCTCTAGGACTGCCTTCTTTCATTTACGTAATATTACATAAATTAGACACATACTATCACAGACAGATGCAGAAAAACTAATCCATGCATTTGTTACTTCAAGGCTGGATTACTGCAACTCTTTATTATCAGGTTGCCCCAATAAGTCCATTAAAACGCTCCAATTAATTCAGAACGCTGCAGCACGAGTACTGACAGGAACTAGAAAAAGAGATCACATCTCTCCTGTACTAGCTTCTCTGCACTGGCTCCCTGTAAAATGTAGAATAGAATTTAAAATCCTCCTCCTCACCTATAAAGCTCTTCATGGTCAGGCCCCTTTATATCTTAAAGAGCTCATAGTACCCTATTACCCCACTAGAACACTACGTTCTCTGAATGCTGGGCTACTTGTGGTTCCTATAGTCTCTAAAAGTAGAACAGGAGCCAGAGCCTTCAGTTAGCCGAAGGATCTGTCCTAGGTTTCTGCCTTTTAACAGGCAGTGTTTCCTTGCCCTTGTCTCCAAGGTCTTGCTCATGGTGGTACTGTTGGGTCTCTGTAATTAATGTTTTAAAGAGTTCGGTCTAGACCTGCTCTATTTGAAAAGTGTCCTGAGATAACTTCTGTTATGAATTGGTGCTATACAAATAAAATTGAATTGAATTAAATATAAATAGTAAAAATACTATTTAATACTAAAAGTAAAAAGTAGTTCTTATTTTACAAATTGCTGTAAAAATAAAGAATCGGAACTTTAGTATAATTAATAATAATCAGTTGTAATGTTAAAAGAAAGTAGTGAAATTCATATACATATATTATTTATCTTTAATTTAAAAGTTGCCATGGCAACTGGTAGTTTATCAGATGTTTATCACTTTAATGTTGCAGCTGGTAGATTACCCCCACAGTGATCAATAAAGTCTTATTTTAACTAATAATACATCATCATTTAAAGTGGATTAGATTAGGAACAGGTTTGGGGAGTAACGGATTACATGTAACAAAATTAAAACCAGATTACGGTTACATTTAGTTAAAATGGGGATTATTTAGCAGGATTAGTAATTGGTAGCTGTAATAGATTACATCTTTAAATTACATATTATTAGAGTTAGTGGAGTCAAATGTACAATATTTGCCTCGAACATGTAGTGAAGTAAAAGTATAAAGTAGTAGAAAATACTCAAACTAAAGTAAAAGTAACTAAAAACTGTACTTAAGATACTTTAATGTATTTAGTTACTTTAGTTTTTTTTCAAATGCTTTATTGGAAATTGTATCAAAAACATGTTACAGTGACAAACTCTTGGTATATAACAATTATTACATTAAAATCATGTTCATACCTCCTAATGAATTCTGTTCAACATTTACAATTCATAAAGAGAGACATTTTAGGATTAAATAAAAGCTAAGAAAATAAAAGAAGTAAAACAAAAGAAGAGTATACAAGATGTTGGGCAATACACTTAAAAAAGGATCTTAGCGAGGGGTTAAATTAAATTGTGTTCTAACATAAGAGTGTAAAGTTTCTGGGCGTTTTGTTTTTCTTTATACATTTAATAAGTAAAGAGAAATCACTTTTCCAAGCACTCCACACTGGAGGAGATTTATGTATGTAGAATTTGGTCATAAGTATTATGTTGTTAATTAGGTATTCAGTGTTTTTATCTTTTAATATTACTCCCAGAAAATCTACATTTATTGATTTTGATATCAGCCACTCATGTAGGGATTTCCATTCAGATCGTGTCACAATTATAAAACAAGTGTTCTGTGGTTTCTGCATCTGTGTTGCATAAATAACAATTATCCACTTCAAATTTAAATCTTGCTCTAATGAATTCATTCCAGGGGTAGATCTCATTTATAGTTTTAAAATGTATTTATAAATTCTAAAATCTGTTCTGCTACAGACGGAGTCTTTGAGGATTCTGGAAATATCTTTAAAACTGCGGTAAATGTTAATTAATAGTTAAAAAGATTAAAAATAGCCGGAAATCTTTTTATATAAAATAATATAAATTATATTATATAATATTATATAATATAATATTTATTATAAGAGGCACAAACTGCGGCGACATTTAACGTAAAACAATTATAATGTAAAATATATAATATAATATAATAATAAAGGAGATTTTTTTGTAATACTTTAATTATATTTATATATTTATTATTTAATCTTTATTTAAATTTCTTCCGTTAAAACGTAAAACCGGACGTGACGTCCCCGCTCGGCGCTCTGCTCTCCCGCCTGTTGCTCCGGGACTCCGCGGTGGATTGCTTCTGCCTGCCCTCCGGTGTGTTGTCGCCGTTACCGACTGCAGCTTCTTTCTCTCCGCCGACGTTTTCCCGCGCTGTTTGATCACCAGCCGACCGGCGGACAACCGACCGACCTCCCCGCGGGATAAACGCACGCAGAGCCCGGCAGGAAGCCATGTCCACCGCCCTGGAGAGCTACATCAACCGTATCCTGCTGCTAGCAAGCTAACGAGCTAACCGCCCGTCTGAATGAATGGAGAAATGCTCGTTAGCTTAGCGCCCGAGCTAGGAAGGCTAGTTGTGTTGTTATTAATGGAAGAAGCTTTTTACTTAATAAATACAGTTAGTGTTAAATATTATATATATATTATAGTTTATTATAGTTTATTATAGTTTATTAAAGATATGAATAAATACAGTTAGTGTTATATATTATAGTTTATTAAAGTTATTAGTTTATTAAAGTTAAAGTTATTAGTGTTAATTTAAGATGTTTTATTCAGGTAAAGGTTTGTTTGTCCTTTAACTGTGAGCCAGGTACTGTTGCCATCGTTACCTCCGACGGGAGGATGATTGTGGTGAGTAAACAACCTTAATGTGTGTGTCTGTCTGCCTGTCTGCCTGTCTGTCTGTCTGTGTGTGTCGCGCTGTGTGTGTGTGTGTGTGTGTGTGTATTTGTAGATATATTGTTAGATACAATAATAATTTAATATAATTATTTCTGTTCTTTAATATTTTGTGAGCAGCTGTAATTAAAGCCGAGAGCAGCGTTGGACGGGATCTCGCAACCGGCGCGCGTCGGGGTGCGCCGCGACCGCGTCACGTGCCGTCGTAACAAGCGCGGACCACAACACGAAAATGTTACGTAAATCAGCTCAAAATCGCCACGCAGCACTTACTTCCTGTTGCCACTAGGTGGCGCTATCACTACGTGTTCAGGGCGGGACTCTTATCAGACAAGTGAAGTTTCATTGAGATCGGATCATGTACGCAGAAGTTATGATTAATCCCTCTTTCATGGCGAAGGTTTGAAATTGGACGCCACGGGACGCCACGGACACAATGGGAAAAAAAAAACTTCTTCTATAAATTTTTTTAAATTTAAAGTCCCCACGAACCCCCCTTTAAAATAAAATAATAAAAATAAAAACCGTTTTTTAACAACCATTTTTAGAGTGTATTAACAAATTTTGAAGCAGATCCAAAAAATCTCCAGAAGGAGGGGTTTTTTCAAAAAAGAACCCAAAAAGTCAAAATGACCACAAAATGATGTAAATTAAAAATGTAAATATCAGACTTCCTGTGGGTTTTGGGGCATGAGTCCAAGAGGCTTTTCTGCTTCTTTTATCATGATACACATGTGCAGCAATTTTCGTACATGTGGGCCTTACGTGTCTTGGGGGCTGATTCTGGGGGGCGTGGCTTAGACGTTTGGCGGCGCCCGTGCACGGGGACAATGTCATATCGGTATTTTAGCTACGTTTGAATTTTGTGCACTTTTTCATTCCGTTTTGAGGATGTCGCGGGGGTCAAATACGCGGTCAAACAGGCACCAAATAATAATAATAATTCTAACAGGAACAATAGGGTCTCTCACTTTCAGTGCTCGATCCCTAATTAACACTCCTCCAGGGATCAATAACTGATTCTGATTGAGTCTTAAAGAATTTACTTGGAAGTAAAAACTTCAGGTTGTTAACACACAGAGTTTGTGTTGGTGCCTTACAGTAAACAGAAATATAAATAAAGATACAGTAGATCAATATATTTGGATCTATAAAGAGACAATGTGATATACGAGGTCTTTGTGTGTTCAGGGCACTCTGAAGGGCTTCGATCAGACCATCAACCTGATCCTGGACGAGAGCCACGAGCGGGTGTTCAGCTCCAGTCAGGGGGTGGAGCAGGTGGTGCTGGGACTCTACATCGTCAGGGGAGACAACGTGTGAGTGACCTTTGACCTCTGAACCATCAGCAGACACTAATCAATAAGTTAATCCGTCACGTCGGCTTTATTGTAGATAGAAACAGGTCTAAATATTCAACAGTGGAGGAAACATTCAGACATTTTAGTGAAGTAAAAGTACTAATAGAGTAAAAATACTTCTAATTCTGCATTAAAACTATTACTTCAACTACTTATTGATTGATTATTGATTGATTGATTGATATGTTGTTGGGTTTCAGGGCGGTGATCGGGGAGATCGATGAGGAGACAGACTCCACTCTGGATTTAGGAAACATCAGAGCTGAACCGCTCAACTCTGTCGTCCACTGACCTCCGACCCCGACCCCCCCCCCACCGCTCTGTGTTTCCATGGCGACAGACGACAGCCCGACTTCTTCCTCCAACAAACTCCTGATGTGACATTTTTCTGTTTGTATTTTTTTTATAAATAAAGATTTGTTAGAGTTGTTAGATTCACTTTTTTACGCCTCGAGTCGGTTTTTATTTTTTGTTTAATAAAGTTTAATTTCTCATATTTCCACAAACTCTTTGTTTTTGATATTTTCTAAGTAAAAGTAGAGACAACAACAATGTGGAAATACTGAATAATAAAAGTAAAAGCATCCAAATACCAGTGAGACGGATTTAGTGACACCCAGTGGTCAAACTGCAGAATGCAACTGTTCACATTAATTTATTATTATTGGATTATATTTGAATTATTTTATACTATTTCATAATTTCTAATATAACATTTATTAGTTTTATATCTAACTACAGTAAATGATAATTGTTACTTTCCAATGTTATTTACTGAAGAAAACATTATTTTTATGACTTATTAATCTATTTTTATTGTGTTTTATAAAGTAGCATAAAGGGAATTATATCTAAATTGAACGCTATAATAAAGATGAATATTTTACAGGAGACATTTTTCTCCAGTTAAACAAATCCTCACTTTTAGGAAGCTGGAATCATAAAATATTTTACATTTTTTACACATTTATATTTAAGAATTAATAATAAAATCTGAATATTTAAAATGTTTGAAGGCTCAGAATCATTTATAGTAATTAACTGTTTATCTTAAAACTTCAGATTAAAGCAGAAATTATTATTATTAAAGCTCAATAATGTAAATTAATTAAATTGTTAAGAGAGTTTCAGCGCCCCCTGCTGGTCAGACAGCTGCATCACAACAAACATACTGACTACAAACTGGTGACCAATACGTTAATATATTTAATTACAGAAGATATAATCTATAAATAATCACTAATTATAAACCAACTAAACTTCACAGAATGAATCTCATTCATGATAATTAATGAAAAAGAAATTAATGTTTTTATGTGTTTTTTGTTTTGTGTTTTTTATGATATTTTTGTCTTATTGTTTAAGGATTATTTACAGTTTTAACCCAGATTTGTTTTGTTATTTGTTTTTCATCAATTTACAGTCAAATGTCTTCATCTGTTTGAAAACTTATAGAAGTATACACAGAAATACAGAAATATACCTTTTAATGGGATTCAGTCACTGTTGAGAAGAAGAAACTTTAAATATTTCTGTTCTAATAAACTGATAATGTAATTTAACTATAAACAAAGTATAATTAAACATTATTGTCATTTTTGGACATCTGCAGCTCCCAAAATAAACATTTTCTTGTTACTTTCATAATACTTTAAATACTTAAAGTATCAAATGAAACTAAAATTTAAAAACTGGATCATAAAAAGAAAACACATTAGAGAACTTAAAGTCATTTATTTGTGATCAATTTGAGTCAATAATCAATGATAATATGTGACGGTCCCTGTCTAATGTTGATGTGCTGATGTGGTTGACCAGTTATTGTTTTTCCTATGTGTCCTTGAAGGCACCATCAGCACATTACAACATTTACAGCTCATATTGCTCAAACATCCACATTTACATTACTGATGTTACTGACTGACACACTTCACATTTGTACTTATAAGCTCAGTTGTTTAAGTTAATATAATAAATTCACTCATTAATAGCCATCTATTGTGTCCTATGCCGTATTTGTCATAGCCTAGGAGCCGGGTTATGACAAATTGGGGGCTCGTCCGATCGTGTTTGTTCCTGTTTTTTTGCGCGATTATTTGTAAATGTATTTGTAAATTCGGTGTTTGGTTTCAGTATATCACCAGGCGGGAGGGTGCTGCTAACTAACCGCATGAAGACTGGGGGGGAGTTTAGTTGGCCGGTTGGGTTTCGATAACGGGGAAACTCCAAACTGAATGGAAGTTTATTCCTCTCTGGTGCGCACGGGTGAACGGCGTTGTGACTCTCTGGTCCTTTGGTGTGCGTAAAAGTGTGGTGTTGACCTTGTTTGTTGTGCTGCATATTTTGTAATGGCTGAAGTTGAAGCGTTTATTGCCGACCCATCTCGGGAGTCCCTGGATAAATGCACAAAAGAGCAGTTGCTCAAGATTGCTGCACATTATTCAGTGGAGTTCGAAGGTGACAGACGTCTCAAAGAGAACGTTAAAGCGGCTATAAAGGGGTCAGCACTATGTTCCCACAGCCCTATGTGGTTAGGGTTAGGGCTAGGGGGAGAAAGGGGGATAAAATCTGATAGAAATTTATGAAAAAGGAAATGTGGGAACATAGGCACGCTCCCACTATAACAGCTAATTGACGATGGAATAATGTCTGAGGCTGAGGGGGATTTTTCTCCAGATCCTCCTGCTGTGTCTTTTCAGACTCGTGGATTAAAATTCTGAGCAACAAAAAGAGATTCTGATGTTGCAGTTGGACCATGAAAAAATGAAACAAGAACTAGAAGTTAAAAAACAACTTGAAGTGGAGAGAATCCGTCAGATAGCAGAACTAGATTTGGAGGGATTTCGTTTGTCTCTGGTGAAAGATGGACTATTGTCCAGTGAGGCTGAGAGCGGGAAGCTGCCCAGCTCTTCTGATCGGCTTCACTTCAATAACTTCCGCTTGTTGCCTCGATTTAATGAAAAAAAAGCCTTTTTTCTTGCTGTTTGAACGTGTAGCTAAGGCTAGGACCTGCGTCCTCATGCTTCAGAGTGTGTCGGCGCAGGAGGAATATTCATCTGTGACTGTGGACGATAACTCTAGCTATGACAAAATAAAAGCAGCCGTACTGAAGGCTTATGAACATATCGTCAGCGTTTTAGGTCCTGGGAGAAGAAAAATGGTCAAACACACGCAGAGACTTCTCATTATAGCCGATGGTTAACTGCGCTTGAAGTCACTACTTTTGATGAGTTGTGTGATTTGATGATTTAAAAATAGTCTTCCAGAACGTATTGCAACATACATCAGGGAACGGAGAATGACTACAGCTGCTGAGGCTGCTGGTTCAGCTGAGGAGTACGTATCGCTCCATAAGGACGGGTTCAGAGACAGTTGGACATTTCAAAGCTGAACTTAAAGCAAGGGATAATTTTGACAATGGGAATACCGTAAAACTTCTAATAAAAGCCTGTTTATTTGCTTAAATCACTGAACTCCCCCTGCCTTTATTTGGGACAGGCCTTTAATTCCTTTACTATTTCCGTCTCTCTTGTTTACCGTGTTACCGGTAATTCAGAATGAATTAACGTTAAACTTTGGTATTGATAGTTTTCGTAAAATATATTGAACGATTGAATTGTGGAGAATCTATAACTGATCTAATGATGTTCATTATGTACATACTGACAGAAGTTTAAACATTTATATTTGTGTAGGAGATCAAAACGACTTAAAACTCGCTCAAGCAGGCGACCCGGTGGATTTTAAGAGGTTTTATACATCGAGATAATTTCTATAAAATCCAGACCAGGCCTCTATTGGAGACCTGCGTTTATTTGTTAAAACGTGTAGCCACACCAGGCTTTTAAAAGAGACCTGGGTCTATTAGGGACCCTGCTTTTATTGGAAGCTTTACGGTATCTCTACTATTGTCACGAGAAAGGACATCGGAAGGCAGATTGTGCCGAGTTAAAGGCTAAAACCAGCGGAGTGAAAGCTAATGTGAGACTGTTGCGTTCACTGAGCCTGTTACAGATTGTTTCTCTGAGTTGCGTACCCCTCACACTTGTGAATCACAGGTTTTGGAGGCTTATGCTCCTCATTCGTGGTGGATCTGTCAACAAACGCTCGTTAAACCTCCAACAAACTAATGACTAATTAACATGTTGTGTTCAGGGACACTCAGGAAAACAGAACAGCAGTAATTAAAGTAATTAATTCATATTTTGTGTCATCAGAGCTGGAATGTAAACACATTTAAACATGTAAACAATACGTTGACTTATTTCTTTTAATATTTATATTTACTCCATTACATTTGTTGAAGAACTTAAGTTACTTTCATTCAGATTAGTAATAAAACACAAATATATTAAATTCTGTTATTACAGGTTAAAATAAGATAAAACTTTATTGATGAGGAAATTCACAAACTCTCCAGGAGCATATTAAATAATTTAAATCAATAATTATAATTAATCAATAATAACTTGAGTATTTCTACACTCTGGTATTAAGTTACTTTCTTTTTAGTTTTTATGTGTTAAAATCAACTTATTGATCAAGTAGCTTCAGTAAATTTAAGTGACTTTATTTTGTAATTTTTATATATTAAAAGTTATTAATCAGAAATATTTCTGTAACTAATAAAACAAAGTTAGTGTCACTTTAAATTACAAATAAAAACTTCACCAACAATCTTTTTTAACCTAAAACAACTGAGTTAATCGTTAAAATCGTCTAATAATCAATATGTTTATTGTAAACTGATCGCTCGGCAACAGTAACTAAGGGAGGGCGGGGCTTAGCGAGGGGTCACGTGCAGCAGTTTCTTATTGTTTTATTGTCTAATAAATAAAAGTATTAAAACGTTTAACGAGGTAATAGGAGTTCTTCCACCAGACTCTGTGTTTGTGGTGTTTGTGGTCGGTCACATGGTCTCAGACTCAGGGCGGTCTGGAGTCGCTGGATCTGGTCTGGAGTCGGAACCGGATCCTCGTAGTGGATCCGCAACCAGGAGACGCCTGAAAATACAAAAAAAATCATCAACAGGAGGCTGTCCCTGAACTCACCACCAACACCATCATCATCATCATCACCATCATCATCATTGACCTCTCACCTTTCCCGACCCTCTGACCCGGTGACACCAGTAGCTCCGCCCCCACGCTGTGATTGATAGGCTCTCCGGCCTTCGATCGTCCCGCCCCCAACTTATGAAGAACTTCAGCTAAAACCAAACCGTCGACGCCCTCGAACACACCTGCAGAGAGAGTCACAATCAATGAGTGATCAATTATCAGTCGCAATCAATAACTGATCGATGTTGATGTAAATAATCTGTTTTTGGTTCCTTTAACAGACTTTTTACAGAAAATATCTGACATTAAAATATATCTGCTTTATGTTATTTATTGGTACAAACCATCAACATATATAAATATATATATTATTATTATTATTATATATTATTGTTTATCATTATTATATATTAATAATATTTATTATTTTCATTATTATTATATATTATTTATTATTAGTTCAACTGCGGAACTGAAACTTTTTTAAATACAAGAAATTATGAAATTTACTTAATTCATTTAATTGTTTTTTTTATTTTTGCTGTTGATTTTCCAATAAAATAGTTGGTAAATAAATATGTAAGTTAGTAAATATATAATAAATATAATATAAATATATATAAGTACTTAAGTGAGTAAAAAATTAAAGTTATTAAATATATAATTACATACATATGTAAGTAAATAAAAATATTTAAGTTCATAAGTAGGAATATAAGTTTATAATCTATAAAAAAGTAAACATATTAATAAAGTCTTAATTTAAATAAATAATATTATTGTGAATGTTTTTCTTACATTTGTTGCAATAAATAAAAATATAATTAAACTCATTTGTTGCCATTAATATTTCAACCGTCCTTGAACGCATCAGCCAATATATTGATTGTGATCAATAATCAATGTGTTTCACCATCTGTAGGCGTCTCCAGTTCCCGCTGATGCTCCGACTTCCTCAGGACGCTGTAATAATCTGAGTGGGCGGAGCAAAGCAAGCGGGCCGTCTCCGTGGCAACGCCCTGAGCCTCCATCATGGCCCGGAACTTGGAGAGAGCGGCTCCACCAATCACAGCCTCCGAGATCCGCCTGCTGCCCTCTGATTGGTCGGGCGCCAAGCCCGTCAACATCAGCAGCAGGCCGCCTGCACAAACAACAACAACAACAACAACAACAACAACAACAACACTTTATTCTGCTGTTAATGATCTTTTCCAGTTACGACTCTTTTATTCAGAATTATTGATTATTAGGGAGATCAATAACTTAAAGTTGATCAGTTGTGGAGCGATACTCGTAAAATATGTAACTTTTTATTTATTAAATTATATTTATATACACAGGATGTGATTGCTCCATAATCAATCAATCAATCAATCAATCAATCAATACTGAGTTATTGATCTGATACGTACGCAGGGTCTGGAGTTACTTTAAAAATGTAATCCGAGTCAGTATCAGAGTGTTAAAGTAACTTGATTACTTTCAGTTTACTGTTTAACTCATTGAACGTTAGCTCTTTGATGCTAACGTTAGCGCTTCATTAGAGCTAAAATCAATTAGCTGATTAATTAATTGGAAACTATTGAAGAGCTGCAACCAATCATTATTTTAATTATTGATTAATCTGCTAGTTAGAATCAGTTTGATGAATTAATTAACTAAAGTCAGTAAATATATGGATTTTATATCATAAATGAGAAATTAAAGAATTATTGATTGAAAATATTTGATGATGAAATAAAATTAATTAAAAACTATTTTTATAGTTAATTAATATTTAAGCCAAACTGAACAAACTCTTTTATTCTTATAATTATCGGGGTCGATTATTGGAAATCTATATTATTATTAATTATAATTAAATTATAGCCGACAGATTATCGATCAATAAAATTAATACAAAATTATTTTTAATTCTTCCACAAAACATTCAGTGAAACAGTTTGTTTTTGTTGTGTTAATATTAATATATTATTCATTTTTTAATTTAGTTTTATTTAATAATAAATAACAAAACAAAACATTTTAAGACGTAACCAAACTAATCAATAATCAATAAGGAAAATAATATTGAGATGATTATTAGTTGCAGCCTTTTATCTTTAAAGTTAAATTAAAAGTCAATGAATATTATAGATTATGGTAAAGAATTTACTAACAACAGAGCTGAAGTTATTAATTCATTAGTAGATTAATTGATTAGTAGATTAATTGATTAGCCATCGAGCACAAATGTTATAATAATTTGAGGATTTACAGCTTTTCTTGTTTTATGTGAAAATAATTTTAATATTTTTGTTATTTCAGACAAATTAAGACTTAAATACTTTAAATATAAATATATATTATATTATATATATATATTATAATATTCTATTATATATATATATAAATAATATTATATAAAAATAACAAACTTAAAAACAAGTTTATAAACTAGAAATTAAGCAGATTCGGTAACTTTAATGTGACATCGTTACCCAGAGTCGTGACGAGCTCCATCAGGTCGTCGGGTCCGTTTCCTTTCAGCGTCTCCAGAGATTCAATCACCTCCAGACTGTTTCCCACACAGCGACCGATCGTAGCGTCCATACGGCTGAGCACCGCCGCCGTACGCACGCCCAGACCGTTTCCTGCGTTCACCTGAAACAACATCATCATATTTAAAGCATTAATATACAAAGAAACAGAGTCACATGGTGTCTCTCTCCCTCTGCCTGTGTTGTATCGCAGCCTCTCTGTGGTTTGTTTCCATAGCCGGTCTGCTCCGACTGAAACTGCTGTTTTTATCATCTACGTCGGTGAATTAAGGATTTATTTCCACCAAACCAGAGTTGGTGATTGTTGGAAACACTAACAGAGACGCTTTTAATGAGTTTTATTCTGTTTCTGTTCACTTTAATGAAGTTACAATGATCTGAAGGGAAAATCAGTGTTTTTGTCTCTGGAGTCTGGTGGAGAGTGATAGTGATATTACGGCTGTTTGTGGGTAAACTAAAGGTCTATCTCTGTAGGGATCCTTTCCATAATGCTGTCAGACACTGACAATAACAACCTGAGTCTGTCAGTGGAACAAACAACAACTACTGTTAGTGGAACAAACAACGACTACTGTTAGTGGAACAAACAACAACTACTGTTAGTGGAACAAACAACGACTACTGTTAGTGGAACAAACAACAACAACTAAAAACTGTTAGTGGATCAAACAAAAACTGTTAGTCAAACACCAAACAAACAAACTACTGTCAGTGGAACAAAAACGACTATGTCAGTGGATAAACTAATATAACGATATGTCTCTAAGGATTAGCTAACGTTAAATGGCGGCTGTAGCATCCGGATGTGTGTCTATTTTCATATTTAACTCGGTGAATTAAAAGTTTATATCGACCATATTTTGAGTTTGTGATTGTTGTTGTGGAAAGACAAACAAAGCAGTTTTAGGGAGTTCTGTTGTGTTTCTGTTGTGTTTCTATTGTGTTTGAATGATCTGGTAAATTAGCGTTTTTATGAATGGAGTCTGGTTTTAAATATCTGATACTTACTAATGACTGTGCTAGTTCTTTAGCGCTCTCCAGGTCTTTATACAAAGCAGCTCGTCCAAACTTTACATCGAGCACCAGAGCCGACAGAGACTCGGCGCCTTTCTTTGAGATTATAGAACCTGAAACGACAACATTTTAATTAATATATCGAACGAACAGAAGCTCAGCAGTGCGACTGTTAGCGTTGGTATGTGAGTGATACCGGTAATCAGCGGTAAACTGTCCACGGTGCTGGTGGCGTCCCGCAGGGCGTACAGGACTCGATCTGCAGGGACCAGCGTCTCCGTCTGACCCACAATGCAACAGCCCACGGAGCCCAGGATCTCCCGAATCTGCACATTTAAAATAATATTAATTATCAGAGTACAAAAGGTTCACTTTAATCAACTGACTGACTTCCAACAGCTAGTAGTATTTTCTAACAACATAAACTGTAAATTAACATTTTTTTTGTTAAGTTGTTGTTTGTTGGAACAGTGGAAACACTAAGAGAGACTCTTTTGGTAAACTTTATTTAGTTTTTGGAGGTAAAATCAGTGTTTGTGTCTCTGGAGTCTGGTGGAGAGTGATAGTGATATTACGGCTGTTTGTGGTTAAACTAAAGGTCTATCTCTGTAGGGATCCTTTCCATAATGCTGTCAGACACTGACAATAAAAAAAAAAAACTACTACTGTTAGTGGAACAAACAACAACTGTTAGTGGAACAAACAACTACTACTGTTAGTGGAACAAACAACAACAACTACTGTTAGTGGAACAAACAACAACAACTACTGTTAGTGGATAAACTTTGACGATTTGTCTCTGAGGATTAGTGTTAAATGGCGGCTGTAGCATCCGGATGTGTGTCTATTTTCATATTTAACTCTGTGAATTAAAGGTTTATATCGACCATATTTTGAGTTTGTGATTGTTGTTGTGGAAAGATGAACAAAGCAGTTTTAGGGAGCTCTGTTGTGATTCTATTGTGTTTGAATGAGCTGGTTAAATTAGTGTTTTTATGAATGGGGTCTGGTGGGCTGCAGCATCTCTGTGAACGTTGACGGTGAATACGTGAACCTGCGCTGCCGATCGGTGGATGCTGAATCCGGGAATCGATTCCAGTTTATCCAGAGTCCCTCCTGTGTGAGCCAAGCCCCGCCCACTGATCATAGGCACCTGGCAGACACACACCTGAGGTTATGACATCATCCAGTAACTAACAGTGACTCAGCGGGGTCGATGTGGTCGGCGGGGGGCTTCTCACCTTACAGCCGCAGGCAGCGAGCGCCGGCGCCAACACCAGGCTGACTTTATCTCCCACGCCTCCCGTTGAGTGTTTGTCAACCACAAGCCCCGCCCACTCCTCTGGCCACGACATCACTTCCCCTGATGACATCATCTCCCTGGTCAGGGTCTCGGTTTCCTGGTCGACCATTCCCTTCTGCCAGATCGCCATCAACATGGCTCCTGAACAGACAGACAGTGTAAATGTTTGATGTGATCAGAAACTGTCTCCAGCTCTCGCTCTGTTTCTACCTGTCTGACACTCCTGGATGGTTTCGTTCGCCACAGACTCGATGAAAGTTTTGATCTCGTCGTCGCTCAGCGTTCCTCCGTCTCTCTTCTTCTTGATCAGATCTGGGATGGACATCGTGTCGGTCTGGAGACACAAAGAGTCGAAACTTTACTGGACTCAAAAACTAAGAAGAAATATACAGAAATATAACTTTTATTATGTTATAACCAAGAAGATTATTAGGTAAAAAAAAAACATTTTAGTTAACAGAAAAAAAAAACAAGAACAAAAACTAGACTGAAACTACAAATAATGAAACTGAAACTAAATATAAACAATATAAAACTAAACTGAAGCCGAAACTGACTTTAAAACAAAAATAATACAAATTAAATAAAAAAGAAAAACTAATTAAAAAATACATAAATATAATAATCCTGATACAAACACATATAAATATAAATAAAAACAGTGACTTTCATACATTTATATTAGAATTAAAACTATGACACAAACAAGAAACAGTCAATAAAATGTCAAATAAATATTTAAAATAAAATAACAATAATTAATAAATCAGCTTTCAAACCTTATTAAAGGCAGTTTTAATAATTCCTGAAGAACTCGACTGACTGCTGGAAAAAGGTAAAAAAAAAAAAAAAAAAAAGTGAAATAAAATGATGAAACAAGTAAAAAAGTTCTTCTTCTGTCCTTTAAATCTTCGTCTTTCTTCCTCTCTCTTCTTTGTGGGTTTTGATGTCTCCAGCTGCTGCAGTCTGAGCAGTAACTGACCTCCGACTGCTGCAGTCTGAGCAGTAACTGACCTCCGACTGATCTCAGCTCATTGACTCATTCAGAGGAAGTTGCTCCATAAAAGAAAGTCACAGAATTTTCTTTTCTTGCTCAAATCGACACTTTAGTTGAGTCTCTGTGCTGACGTCCTGTTTATAAAGTTTATAAAACCACAGTAGGTGAGGAGGAGGAAGAGGAAGAGGATGAGGAGGAGGAGGAGGCTTAAACCAACCAGGACTCTGACTCAGGGGATGAAGACACGGCGGGTTTCAGGCAGTATTTGTTTTAGGGAAGTTGGAAATGATTCATTCTGTGTTGAATTAAACGTTGTTCTGACACTTTTTTCTGTTAAAATCTATAAATTTAAATAATTTAATTAATTAAACGACTAGTTGAGGAGTAAAATCTGTAACTGTGTAACTAGTTGCCCATTACTCCTTTAATTACTCCTTTAATTAAAATGTTAAAGTTTAAAGATCCCTCTGATTTTCTGGATTCACTACATATATATTTATGATCAACTATCATTTTTGAAGTTATTTATCTCTTGTATATTGTAACTGGAGCCGACACTGAGCCGACATCGAGCCGATACTGAGCCGATACCGAACCGATACCGAGCCGATACCGAACCGATACTGAGCCGATATCGAGCCAATACTGAGCCGATACCGAGCCCATACCCGCGAGCAGGAGGTTGAGAAAAAGATGGGCGCCCTTGTTGTGATTTTTTGAAGCGACAGTTTTTGGAAACAGAGACGTTGAAAGGTTCAGAGTTCAGAGTGGAGCGAGAGAACATCTTTGATTGAATGCAAGCCGACTGAGCATGCTCAGAAACACACAGATACACAAAACATCCGAAGGAAACAGAAGAATTTAATATATTATAATTAATAAAATAATTATATTCAAGTAAATTCTGCTCTGTGTTTGGATAATTAGATTTTTTTCCCATTTACAAATACTTTAAACATTTAACATAATTAATTTGTCAACAATTCATCATAAAAAGTTGTATTTTTTTATTTTAACAACTCATTAATCTATTGTTATTGTGTTTTAAAAGCAGCATAGAGGGAACTATATCTAAATTTAACTCTACAACCTTGAGTTAAATAATAATAATAAATATTTTACAGGAGATATTGGTAACCCTTCCTTTTACAGTCCCCTAATTACCAGGTATTTACCAGGTAAATATATGGTAATTCATTGCATCTTCTTGTAATACCACCAGTATAAGAAGGTAAATACATGGAAACACAGCGGAGTACAAAGTATTTATCTGGTAAAATATTTACAGTGCACTGATTACCAGGTAGTAACCCGGTAAAACATAGAATGTTCTTGTGTAATTTACACTAGTAAAAGAAGGTCAATACAGGGAAACTACAGTCAAAATATAAAGTATTTACCTGGTAAAATATACTGAAATTACACTGTAGTATTGGGTAATTACTGCTGGTAACAAGTAAGTAAATACTGAGTACCATGTAGTTAACAGGTGTAGGTTGGTAATTACTCAGATATAACTGTATAAAATATGGAATTGTTTCTATTTAAGTTGAACATTTTTGCCCGTATTTACCTGTTATCATCCTGTGCAGGAACGGCTTTCCTCTGCTGCCGTGGCCCAGTATATCTTCTTAAATATTGGGTACGTTCTTGCATATGGTTTTAGAACTTACCCAACATGTACGCTGAAACTGTACTGTAAAAGGAAGCCTTGCTTGTTTCCATGCTATTACTATATTCTTACTAAATTCTTTGTTATAGAATATTCCATTGTCTATGCAATTAAGTTAATTTCTACCATTCATGTTCCATGACATTACTAAGTAAAATGTGACAAATTACCCAGTTAGTAAGATGAACCTGTACTGTAAAAGGAAGCCTTGCTTGTTTCCATTCTATTAACAGGATCTTGCCATATAATTTGTAATAGATTACTCCCTTTTCCATGCAATCAACACAAACTTGAACCTTAAAAGTTCCACAACATTACTAAGTAAAACATGCCAAATTACCCAGTGAGTAAGATGCAACTGTACCACACAAAAAGGAATGTTTAATACCAAGATATAACAAAGGCACAGTAGAAAGTAACAAGATGTACCAAAGTTACCATGAACATTGTTAAGTAATATATACTTATTACTAAAGATTCGGGGTTCAAAGACAACACTTAAACAGAAAAACAAAACCAGAACTCTTCAAAATGTTTAAAATCTGAAATAAAGTATGCTGCCGTACACGAGCAGACTGTAAAGTAGGCAAAGACAAACTCAAAAACATATTACCTTTCAACAACCCTTCTACCCTTCAACTCCCTACCATAGGGAAAGTAGTAATGTGAACCTTCACTTCCTAAATTTGCATTTCATGGGTAGCAGCTCAGAATTTGTTTAATTTTTTCTTCAAGCGGGTTGTTACCCTCCAGGAAGGTCTTGCAGGTTTTGGCGTAGTTTCCTAAAGTGTCCTCCTCAGTGAACTCTGGCAGCAGCCCGAAATCTTCACCCTCTGCAGCAATCCACACCTCTGCAATGATTGCCGTTAAGGCGATTGTATTTCTGTCAACGCTCAGCGATTCACAGCTGAGGCTGATGCTCCTTGTACGCCGAAATTCTTTTAGAACAGCTCTGTATCGGTGTACGACGTCCTCTGGACCCTGAACTACAAGACAGATTATAAAATATGATCTATTAACATTATACCATAATCACACAAACATTAATAATCTTGATTTTACATAACAGGACATTCTAGAGTTAGAGAGGTAAATAACGTATATAATCTAGTCTCTGCACTCCTCTCCTTCACTCTACTCTTATAAAAGTGATTAATTCAATAAATAGTGCTTTATGATAGGCCCAGCCTATTGCGTGTGTGCACACAGACACTGAACTTCTCCCCAAAGAAAATCAGTCAACACCTGCCCTTGTCTTTGCATCTTTTTTAGCGGAAGAGATTGCACAGCCATCTGCTCCAACCACTGCTCCAACCATGGCTAAGTTTAAGGAGGATTATAGATTGCTAAAAGAGGAGAACCGACTTCTGAAAGAGGAGCGGGATTTCCTTAGGCAGAAAGGTCTCAACCCAGTGAAGACCAGTCCTTCAACATCTTCAAAAGGTATCCAGACAGTGCTCTTCCCAAAAACAACATGGAAAGCTATATCTATAGTCTAAATGAGTTGCTTATTTTGTATCCATATCATACAAATAATATAAATACGCTACAATAAGATTTTTTTTTTTCAAGCGCAAAATCAGAAAAAATAATTATTTTTGTTAGTCTGTTTAAGGGTCCGACAAAAGGAGGCTCATGGATTCCTCAGACTCTTCAACATCTGACTCTGAGTCAGACTCCTCCTCCTCTGAAGAAAAGAGGAATAAGAAGAAGAGAAAGAATAAGAAGAAGGAAAACCCTGCAAAATTTGGAAAAAGAGGTAACTTTCATCATTATGAAAAGGATAGCTCACAATCATCTTATATTATACAGTCATATTAGGCTTGTACGTTATCATAGTTCAGGGTATTGCCAAGGGCAGGGTATCGTCAATAACTATGATGCAAGCTGATTTTCAATATTGACCATGTCCTACACAGAATTTAGTACGATCGCTATTTGTTATAAACACTGTATATTAGTTAAACAGAACAAGAACAATTAAGGCCCACAGAGATATTCAAAGTAAAGTCAGAAATGTTTTAAACCCACAGTTTTTGAATGCAAATTATTATTTTTTTTAAAACTTCAAATGGCCTTTTCTGTTTTATATTTTTACGATATCCTGTGCTGAGACCTGTATTGATATGTGCTTCAGTATGGAGTCGGTCACGGTGGGTGGCTAATAGCTTTTCGCATGAAGCCTTCAGATTATTGTACATGCTCCAGGTGACAAAAATGGACCTAGTTTAGTGTATGGGACATTTTCATCTCAGTGTTACAATCTTTTATATTCTTAAAACATAGGGTTAGTTCAGGCAGGCCACAACGACACGCTCTATATCAGCTGTCAGCAGCAAGCAAGCCTAGCCCCATCAGCTGATCACTCAGCTGACTTCACCAATGCTCCTATTGGCTAATCACTTTCAAAGCTCAGTATTTAAACTGCTCTCGCCTGGCTTCTCTTGCTGCTTCCTCCACTAGCCGACTTCAACCCACCGCCGCCCCCAGCTCCCCCTGTTGTGCTTTCCGCCTGTTCATTGTCATTGCTGCTGTCTGCTCTGTCTGGGTTTTGCTGCTGCACTCCCTGCTTATAGTTTCAATGTAGCACCCTTATGTGTTGACTGATTTTCTTTGGGCAGAAGTCCAGTGTCAGTGTGCACACACGCAATAGGCTGGGCCTATCATAAAGCACTATTTATTGAATTAATCACTTTTATAAGAGTAGAGTGAAGGAGAGGAGTGCAGAGACTAGATTATATACGTTATTTACCTCTCTAACTCTAGAATGTCCTGTTATGTAAAATCAAGATTATTAATGTTTGTGTGATTATGATATAATGTTAATAGATCATATTTTATAATCTGTCTTGTAGTTCAGGGTCCAGAGGACGTCGTACACCGATACAGAGCTGTTCTAAAAGAATTTCGGCGTACAAGGAGCATCAGCCTCAGCTGTGAATCGCTGCGCGTTGACAGAAATACAATCGCCTTAACGGCAATCATTGCAGAGGTGTGGATTGCTGCAGAGGGTGAAGATTTCGGGCTGCTGCCAGAGTTCACTGAGGAGGACACTTTAGGAAACTACGCCAAAACCTGCAAGACCTTCCTGGAGGGTAACAACCCGCTTGAAGAAAAAATTAAACAAATTCTGAGCTGCTACCCATGAAATGCAAATTTAGGAAGTGAAGGTTCACATTACTACTTTCCCTATGGTAGGGAGTTGAAGGGTAGAAGGGTTGTTGAAAGGTAATATGTTTTTGAGTTTGTCTTTGCCTACTTTACAGTCTGCTCGTGTACGGCAGCATACTTTATTTCAGATTTTAAACATTTTGAAGAGTTCTGTTTTTGTTTTTCTGTTTAAGTGTTGTCTTTGAACCCCGAATCTTTAGTAATAAGTATATATTACTTAACAATGTTCATGGTAACTTTGGTACATCTTGTTACTTTCCACTGTGCCTTTGTTATATCTTGGTATTAAACATTCCTTTTTGTGTGGTACAGTTGCATCTTACTCACTGGGTAATTTGGCATGTTTTACTTAGTAATGTTGTGGAACTTTTAAGGTTCAAGATTGTATTGATTGCATTGAAAAGGGAGAAATCTATTACAAATTATATGGCAAGATCCTGTTAATAGAATGGAAACAAGCAAGGCTTCCTTTTACAGTACAGGTTCATCTTACTAACTGGGTAATTTGTCACATTTTACTTAGTAATGTCATGGAACATGAATGGTAGAAATTAACTTAATTGCATAGACAATGGAATATTCTATAACAAAGAATTTAGTAAGAATATAGTAATAGCATGGAAACAAGCAAGGCTTCCTTTTACAGTACAGTTTCAGCGTACATGTTGGGTAAGTTCTACAACCATATGCAAGAACGTACCCAATATTTAAGAAGATATACTGGGCCACGGCAGCAGAGGAAAGCCGTTCCTGCAGAGGATGATAACAGGTAAATACGGGCAAAAATGTTCAACTTAAATAGAAACAATTCCATATTTTATACAATTATATCTGAGTAATTACCAACCTACACCTGTTAACTACATGGTACTCAGTATTTACTTACTTGTTACCAGCAGTAATTACCCAATAATACAGTGTCATTTCAGTATATTTTACCAGGTAAATACTTTGTACTTTGACTGTAGTTTCCCTGTATTTACCTTCTTTTACTAGTGTAAATTACACAAGAACATTCTATGTTTTACCGGGTCACTACCTGGTAATCAGTGCACTGTAAAATATTTTACCAGATAAATACTTTGTACTCCAGCTGTAGTTTCCATGTATTTACCTTCTTATACTGGTGGTAATTACACAAGAAGATGCTATGAATTACCATATATTTACCTGGTAAATACCTGGTAATTAGGGGACTGTAAAAGGAGGGGTTACCGAGATATCTGTTTCCTCTCCAGTTATTCAACAAATCTTCACATTCAGGAAGCTGGAACCATGAAATAATTGGCATTTTTACACTAAGAATTACTTAAATGATGATCAAAAAAGTTGCCAGTTAATCTTCTATATGTACTTTTATATCTAAACTGTTTAATAGTTTCATTTTAATTTAGTAACTTACAGGTAAAGAGTCAGATTAATGCAGTGGAGTGAAAATATTCCCTGTGAATGATTCATAAAATGGAATGACTAAATGTATTTGGTTACTTTCCAACTCTGATTAACAAACAATAAAAGGACAGAAACAGGTTGAAACTGCTCTTAATAATCAGATATTTGTCAGTTATTAACACAAACACACAGTCAGTAGCGTACCTGGTCTGCTGTCAGTCAATAAAGTGCCGTCGACCCTGCAGCTCATCATAAAGCAGCCTCGGGTCAACAGTCTGCCGGCCAGCAGGGAGGAGGAGGAGGAGGAGGAGGAGGAGGAGGAGGAGGAGGAGGAGGAGGAAGGTCAACAGCCAATGAGGTTTCAGCTCTTTGTCTGAGGCCAGACAATCCTGTTTAACCTCCGGGTTGAGTTAATGTGCTGCTGCTGTTTGAATGAGGTGTGTTTAAGGTGTTCACCTGTTTGTACTCATTGGGGTGGAATGGGCCTTTGAACGTTTTGAACTTTAACTTGTAATGGAGTATTTTTAGACGGTGATATTTCTACTTAAATCTCCAACAAGGAAGTTTGATTGTGTGTTGATTCTGGCGCCCCCTGTGGACAAAAGTGGTACTCCCTCGATGTGACGGCTCGTTAACAACACTGAGAGATCGTAACTCGATTAAATCTGAACCGATTTTCATGAAATTTGGCTTTTTATAAACGTGAGAAATCGAATCCAATGTTGGTTCAGTCGGCTTCTGAACGTACAAACAGATGAAGTATTCAGAACAAAACAGAAAGCCACAGTTTTCTTTACAGAATACAGAATGAAAACAGTGAATAGTTGTTACATTAGTGTGTGTGTGTGTGTGTGTGTGTGTGTGTGTGTGTGTGTGTGTGTGTGTGTGAACTGGTGCATAAAGTCTCCACACACACTACAAATTAATGTCTAACAGGAAAGTGGCAAGAAAAACTGTGTGTGGAAAATAATTAACCTGTTGAATTATGTTTAATCCTGTAAAGAAATGTCACATTTCACCAAAAAGAAGCAACCAGACAGCTTTAAAACAATATAATACATATAGAAATAAAACGATATATCGATATAATATAGAAATATAACAATATAACAATATAATATAGAAATCTGCATGTTTAGAGAAAGAAAAAGTTGTAAATAATTTACATTCATGTTGCTGTTCATTGAACTAGCAGATCTGACCTCCGCAATATGGCGACTGAGCAGATATCTATAGCTGTTTCCCCCTCTCTCCAGGTTTTTATGCTAAGCTAATAATAATAATAATAATACATTTTATTTAAAGGCGCCTCTCTGGGCACTGGAGGACACCGTACAACAGTAAGCTAAGCCAACCAGGTGCTGCCTGTAGCTGTAGTATACAGACATGAGAATCTTCTTCCGGGCGAACGAGACTTAGCTGCCACAATCTCGAGGTTAAAGTCGTCAGTCATTAACTCGACGTTGAGATTCAGAGGTCAGAGGTTGTAAAAGCTGTTGAAAGAACCACACGTGAAGGCAGAGTTAACTTTGTAATAAATGACAGTTTATTATAAAGATTACAATCTGTTGCGTTGCAGAGCTCATCAGTTGTCATCGTGTGCTCGTTAGTCTTTAGAAAAGGGAAGAAAAAAAAACTACAAGTACACACACGCCACTCACTCCAGAAGAAACTACAAACATACTGTAAAAAGAGGAAGCTAGAAAGGAGGAAGAGGAGGAGGAGGAGGAGGAGGAGGAGGAGGAGGAGGGTAACCATGAAACCATTATAACCAGGTGAATATCAGGAGGAGGAAGGTTTCACACGCACATCAGAAAGCCAGGATTCTCAGCCAATCAGCAGGAAGCTTATTCCATCATTTTAATTTAAATACGATCCGATTCTCAACCTGTCGCCTTGTTAGTCTTTTTCTCAGAGCGGCTATTTTGTCTCCATCTTTCAGGACTATGATTTAATGAGCAGAAGTGGAAGAAGTATTCAAAGTATAAAAATACTCCATTACAAGTAAAAGTACAAAAGTATTGGCAATAAAATGTACTCGTAATGCAGCGAGTGGCTACAGTCAGTGTTATATTATTATGTTATTGTACTTTAATGTTGTAGTTGGTCGAACTGGAGCTCATTTTAACGGCTTCATCTACTTCTGGTGCTTTAATCTGTAACAATGGATCATATTTTATTTATTTTTTACACGTAAAATCTTAATTTTAAAGCTCTTAAATACGTGTAGTGAAGTGAAAAGTACAATATTTCTCTCTGAAATGTAGTTTTAAAGTAAAGAAGCATAAAAAAATACCTCATTAATTTGTACATTACTGTACTCTTTCCACTTTCCACCGCTGCTAATTAGCAATTGATGTTGAGGACACACGTTGTTTGGGAAAAGATGATTTCTTGGTGACAAAAAAACAAAACAAAACTCCATAAAGTGTCGTAATAGAGGAAAATAATAGATGTATATGATGCTAAAGTCAGAGGTCTTCATGGGTCCCCTTGGTTCCTAACAGACACCAGATTTTCAGACGGTTTTTATTTTGGGTTCGACATTTAGAGTCGAGGAAACATCTGGAAATACTGGCTGCTTCCACTTGCAAAATGGTGGTGATTATTATTAGTAAGCTTGTTTAGCATTGTAGTTTGTAAAAAATAAAAACTGCATGTTTATAGATTGAAATGATCTTAAATGATCATTTTTAGCAAACTTATTGCCGTATTTTACGTACTCTCCGCCTTTTAGCAGAGTAATAAGTGTAATCCAATAACAGAATTTGAGTAGAAAGAGTCTTTATTGACTTCTCTCCGACAGTCTTTCTATCAAGCTTTTTAACATTTTATCAAACAATGAGATATTTCTGAAAACAGTTGTTTATCTTCTAACTGTAAGAATTTAATTGTGGAACCAGAGGCGCCTGAAGAGCCTCCTCCTTCATCACAACGCTGTAACACTATAAACCTTATAATGTAGATCAGGGCTCAGCAACCTTCACTATCCAAAGAGACGTTTTTGACCAAAAAAGCGAATTTCTCGCTCCAGATGAAGAACAGGTAAGCAGTGAGCTAGCGGAGGAATCTGTCCACTCCTCTGAGATCTATAGATAGCTCAGCTAGAGACTCAAAATTAGCAGCTCCCGTTGTTAAGGGTTGCCAAAAGATAGAGGAAAAGGCGCCATGTCAAGATGTTAAAACATTTGTTTTTAATTCTGTGTAACAGCTGAACATTTTCCTCAAACATGATAATAAAAATGTTTCATTTCCATATAATTGTTTTGTTGAAGCCACAGAGAGGAGCTGCAGGTTGCCTACCCCTGATATAGATTACAGAACGGGTTATGGAGGCGTGATAAAGCTGAAGGGAACTGGACTACATGGTTGCAGTCTGGAGATAAATAATTCGGGACCGGGCGAAAACAAAACTTCACTCGTGAGTCACCGAACTCACTGAACCAAACAGAACAGATGGACGTGTGATTCATGGATCTGGAACCAGGATGGTCTCAGGACAGAACGAGAACCATGTTTTCCACAGAATAAACCTCAGAAGACCTTTTATAATCTCTGTTAGCTGATTCGATTGGCGGCAGACAGACGGCAGAACTTCAGGGGAAGGAACTACTTTCCCCCGCGGAGGAACGCCACTGACCTCACTTCACGTCACCGGTGAGATTTTCTTTTTAGCAGCAGGTTTTGCTGGTTGTGTTTTCTGATTGGCTGAGAAATCCTACAACAAGTGAACGACCTCATGACTTTATTAGTGTACAGAGGGATTCCCAGTGGGGGACCTGAGGTCAGAGGTTAAGAGGTCACATGACCTCTCCATCACTGATTTTCTTTGTTACACTGCAGAGAAAGCGACAGCCCACGTCTCATTCTGTGGTTGACTCTGTACAGTAGACTATAGTCCATTATAATATATACTATACATACAGTATCTGATAAAGGTGATATTTTACTGTAAACAGCTACACAGGCACTTTACTTCACCTGTGAGACCAGAACTTTGTTTGTTCTGGAGATAAAACACTAAAAAGATGTTTGTGCTGTAAAGTTTTCACTGTTTTTTATCGATCTGTGAGTCAGTATCATTGAACAGTGTCTGAAACTTCCTCCGTTTACACCTTTTCCCGAAAGTTTCCCAAACCAACAATCTGTCACACGTACGTCACGCAGCGGTCGAATGACGACACGGCGCCGCCTTCGAGTGTTTCCATTCATAACGTTTACATTTTTTGTACGAACTAGTTTGTTTCAAGCATTCTCTGGACTTTAATGTGAGCAGGTTTAAAACCCTAACCCCCAAACTCCATCACACACGGGTTTGCCGCGGTCTGGCAGGAAGTCGGACACAGAAACAGCATAGAGAATCAGGTAAATTTTCAAAATAAAATATTGCTGTTTCAACAATATGGCACCAGGATAGAAGTCAATCAGAGGCAGATTAGAGGAGATTTTAAGCGGTGAAACAAACTGTTTTGTTTCCTTTTTAAGGACCAAATACAGAAGTAAACAACAAATGGTCTCAGTGGGATTCGAGGGCCGTCGCTGTGCGTATTTATAGCACAATATTTAGAATACTTTGCACCAAAACGTCAAGAATTGGACCTGAATCGACTAAATTCAGATGTTTTCAGCAGGAGTTGTTTGAGGGTTTAGTTAATCAGCTGTAGCAGATATTTTACCAACAGCCCTTTTTAGCTTAAATACACTCCCTTCACACTGTTTGAACCCAGAGCACAAAGACCTCCAATGATCAGTCTCGATTTTACTCATTACAGTATGATGCTTTCAGGCAGCCGGCTTAAAAAAAACAAACAAACAAAAAAATTCAGTTTTGCGCAACTTTTTTACTGTTTTTAACATTAGTATCCGGACATTGTGACTGTTGTACGAACTGACTGTCTCAGTGAAGACTTTCTCTCTAGTCAGAGATGTAAAAACTTGTTGTGTGGAAGCTTTTTAAATGCAGGAAAGAGTTTGGGGAGAACATTTTAAAGGATTTAGATTCACACGAGAATTTGGTTTCAGTTTTTATGCCTTGGTAGGGGAGTGTTGCTCAGATACACTTTACACTGCGACTGGAATAAAGTGATAGTATGATTATCTGACTGTAGATATATTAACTCATACGTGTATTTAGTGTTAATTTACTCTTTAAAGATGCATTTTGTCTCCTTCCAGCGTTCATTTCGAAGTTAAACATCTGATGTGTAGCTGTTTACAAAGGCTGAATATCACATCTGGATAAATACTTTATAGATTACATCTACCAAAATATTACAGTATAAATGTTATTGTCTACTATACTTTATATATTACACTATAGCTACATTATCATAATATATATTATACAGACTATAATGTCTACTGTAATGTGCTGTACATACACTATACATTCTTGTCACACTTTGTTTCCCATAGGAGGAAGGAGGGCACCGTGAACTTGTACAACTTTGGGATTCATGATTGTATTTCGGCTCGTGTTTCGGGAACGTAAGTCGGGGAGGAACAGCTGGATAAACGCAGTATCGTTGTGGGAACAGGCACTGGAACGTTGATTGTGCTTCAGAGGGGAATCAGGAGGAGAGACTGACTCGTTATGTGTGAGATTATTAAGGAAACAGGGAGCTGTAGCAGTAATGGGAAAAGCACTTGAAGATGATACAACATTAACTTTGCTTCCTAATTCCAATTTAAAGAGAGAAAAAGTGAAAGAAATACACTTTCCAGATACTTCAAATATGTCTGAATTACGTGTTGTTTCTTGTTTATTGTACGGAAAGGAAATTAAATATAGAATAAGGGATGCATGATAATTATCAGGACAGATAAATTATTGTGATAATTAAATTACAGCTGATAAATTTATCGGTTCGTATGAATAATAATTCTTGAAGTTCTATTAAATGTTTGTGAAGTTTTTTAAATAAACTTTAGATTTGTTTAAAACAGAGTTAAGACTCATTATATCTCAGCCTGGTGTATAAAAACTGCCGGTTATGAACACAAAACTGTGAAGATTATCGGTTATATTACAGGTATCATCCATCCATAACTATCGGTTATTGTTAGCAATGTCCTCATGATGTCTTAATCTACTGTTAACTCGGCTGGATAAATGTGTGACGAACCAGCAAACAAAGATCGGTTGGAAGGTGTAATTTTTTCATTTTTCATGCTAACAGTTTCCCCCTGCTTCAAGTCTTTGTGCTAAGCTAGGCTAATCACATCCTGTACAGGACGCAGAGATGTGAGTGTTCCTGTTGCTCTCTGGGTAGGATGGCGAAAGGAGGACAGTTTTCTGCGATTGTTGTGTCCAATAATGTTGTTTATGAGGCGGTCAGACCGGATTCTGCACACAGAAGTGTAATGTGATGCATAGCATTCAACGAACTGTGCTGCTTTTTATCAAACGCTCTAATGTAGGGCTGGGCGATAAAGGAAATGAGTGTGATTGACTCAGATTTTTGTTGCTGTCTGCAGATGTTGGGCCGATGTTTTGATATTAGATCGTATAATTAGATGTTCTTGGTGAATAATTTCCCCAGAAATTTTAAGATTAAGATAAGAGTAAGAAACCTCTGTATTTGATAAACATTTGATAAATATCGCCTTTATTTACTGTACTTTATTTTCATTTTCTACTGGATCAAAACACGAGCTGCCATCATGTTCCCTCGCTGCTTTTAACTACATTTCAGTAACTGACTAGCGATGGTAGCAATGTTTGAACGACTGTTTGTGCACATCCTTAATATGGGATAACCTGTATTTACTGAATATGCACAACAATGACTAATTAATGTTTCAATCACGCTGGAAGGTAAAGTTATTTAATAAAATCATTTAATTGTCCTCGAGCTTGAAAAAAAGTTTGTTCCATATCGCCCGGTCCTACTTTAATGTCATCAACCTGTAATTGTGCTTGGACTCATATAAAAAGGATTAAAGTAATATTTCTGTAAATTATGTGTCAGTTATTCTATCAAATTGGCTTCGGTGTGACCGCATCTTGACTCATAAACACAAATTTTGTGACTGCACATGAATTGTAAACTGTAACTGGGAAACTCTATATATGGTCTGGAGGAAACTCCACGTATGGCAGGGAAGAAATCCCCAATATGGCAGGGAGGAAACTCCATATATGGCCTGTTCCTGGCGAGTTATACCTTTACTGCAAGATGGTTATGGCGGGTACAGCCACACTCGATTGATTAATTTAGAGAGTTAAGAGGGGGTGGGGGGTTGACCTACGTGTTTCAGGTGTTAGTGTGAGGAAGGTATAGGAGGGGAAGGAGAAAGGTATTTTCTGTACAGATGGCTTTAAACAGATAGCACCATGTACAGTAAGCCCTCGATAAGCAGGTTAGAAACCAGAGAGGTTTACAGTTGGAGCTCTGCTGCAGCTCTCCCTGAAACACACAGCACATCAGCACAAAGTCACGCTCATTGACAAATCATTATGAATTCCAAAACATCACCGAAACGACCTTGAAATTCAACTCATTGTCAAATCATAAGGAACTCAAAATCATTTTCCAAACTATTATAAACTCTGTAAGTCATCACCACCACATTATTATTACTTGTTATTCATAAATTCTAAATGATTCAGTATTAAGATATGAACTCAAAATAAACACAAATTCTTCATGAGTGATATTTGGAAAAAGAAAACCCCCAAAAAACAAAAAAAAAAAGTCACAAGAACTTTCTGTAAAATGACGGAGAAATATCGTATCTCCGTTAATCTCCCGTTGTTAAGGTAGAGACTCCCAGTAGCTCGCTAATCGTCCAGCTCTGCTAGCAAAAGTCCAGCTAAACTCGTCTGGGGAAGCAGAATGGCACGAGGAAAAGAACCCGTCTCATTATATTTGTAATCAGTTTGACGGATCAGCTCTTCGATCGATGTCCCTTCACCTGTTGGGATTGGCAGCAGAGCTCTGTGTCCAGCTGCGTGGATGTTGTAAGCTAGCTTTAGCAGGGTCAAAACTCTATTTTCTAGTGATCCAGATCAACGATATACAGAAAACAAACAAAAACAGAAAGTTATCGGTTTAACGTCAGGATTTGACTTGCTAGCTAGCACGGGATGTTAGCAATTCTAGGTAAAGTTTTAAGTTGCAGACACTCCAATCAGCTGATTAGCTTGTTGATTTATCAATTAGTTGATTGAGGAAAAAGAAAAATATTGGCAACAATTTTAATAATCGACACAGCTTACAGCCTCTAAAATATTAAACTTTGCTTGTTTTCCTTGTTGTCTGTGATAGAAATGAATATCTTTGGATTTTGGATCATTCATCAACTTTTATTTATTTATTAAAAAGTTAAATTAGAGTTAAAACTGGATTTTATATACATGTAACTGTCAGCTTTGCAGCTGTAGTTGTATTCACAGAATGTGAATTATTGCCTCCAACTCAGTACTGGGACACATTTTTCTCATTTGGTTGCTCAAAATGAAGGCCCGATGCAAAACAGGGTAAGGCTATATTCCAGGTTTTTAAGTTTAAAAAGTGAAGCCTCTCGTCTTGTAATGTCTGTATTCTCGTAGCAGAAAACCTCAAAAAGGTTTTTTTATGTCATAAACACTGCGCACTAGACGTTAACAGAGGTAAAATCTTGGAGGTCTAAAACACTAAAGCTAAATACTGGACACAGATCCTGTTGCTACCAACTCCTTTTGAGTTGACCAAAGAGCTGATGAGCCAAAATTTCACCGAGATCACTCAGAGAGCTGGGTTCCACGTTGGTAAAAAGGTCTAAAGATTCAGTCACTGCTAAGATATCCTAGTCAAAGAGATGGCCTAGTGTCTGACCAGAGGTCAGGGGTTATGAGGTCACAGTTCAGGATGTCTAGAGGTTAGTGGTCAGAGGTGAGGGGTCAAGTGGAACCATCCAGCAGCTGTCTGAGTGCCCTCTCGATGTTGATTCGGTGTCCCAGTCTGGTGACGCCCAGCTCCACGTAGTCGTCTTTGGTGAGGGCAGGGAGATGGGAGCCTTCGATCTCGTGCTCCTGGAAGCGCTGGCGGTGTTCGGCCAGGCCCACGCTCTCCAGCCAGTCACCCACGTCGTATTTATTCCACAGGTTAAGGGGCCGCTGCCTCCATGGCCGAAGGGCCAACAGGGGCCCGCTGAGGACCGGGGATGGGCAGGGAGAGGCGTGGGGTGAGGGTGAAGGGGAACGGGACCTGGTTCGCGCACTGGCACTTCGCATCACAAACCGAACCTCCTTTGGTTCTGAGGGGAGACTTAGACTGGATGACTTTAGGATGGTTAGACCGCGACCTGAGCTCAGATCTGGCCTTTCAGAGCAGGAGGAGGCAAGCCCTATTGACCTATCAGATGGGGAGGGAGAGGGGGAGGGGCTCCGGCGGGTGACGGGGTAGCGGCTTCCTGGTCGGACTGTATAGCTGGCGCCGAATCCTCGCTGGGAGATAGTGTGGAGTTCACCAAGACTAGAGAACAACCTGCAACACATTAAACAGTATCTAAATGAAATAAACGCCACAGTTATCAATGAACGTGCAAATGTACGTCGGTTTCCTTGATTGCTAGTAATCAGTATCTGTATTGACCCTGAAAAAACCTTATCAGGCGATCTCTAGTGTCGAAGTCCTGTTCCCTTAGTCACTGTTACTACTCCTGTTAAGGCAGTTGCTAGCTAGCTAATTAGCAGTAATTTAAACAGCATAGGTTCGTTGAAACTGTCTCCAGCTGACTTGTTTTAAAATGAGAACCCTGTTAGGCCTTTGTTTGTTTCATCTGTAATATAATTCTAAAAGACTAAAGCTTCTAGTTAATGATTCATATAGAAAACGTGGAAATAAAAGGGACGCAAGTCATCACTAGTATGATAGAAGAGTATCAGATAATGTTGTTATGATACATACTATAAAACAAACCTGGACTAGCAACCAAGACGATTGATTTGTACTAGCTAATGATATGCTAATGGATATGCTAACATTTGCAGCTTTCATTAGAGCAGATAAACACATTATTGAAATAGTCCTTGCACTTTTGCTCTTGTGTTTTTGGTTTTGAAAAAAGACACCAGTCCCGAACTCGTTCTATACAAAGTATCACTCTTACTGCCGTGCATGCCACATGTTGAGAAATACAATGATTGACAGGGATTATTATGGTTACCAAGATTTAACAATCACTTTTCAGGGGAGGTGTTTAGTAAATGTTCAGCTCCAGGTTTTATCCAAAAGACGGACGGGATAGTAATTTCAGACATTTAGTAGTTAGTCATCTGCAAAGAAAGGTGCGTGTTAGTGTGTTGTTAGCGAAGGAAAATCATCTCTTAGCGATAACGAGAAATGTTTACCAGAGATAAAAACCTACGATTTACTCTCTCCATTGTCCACACATCTGGAACAACACAAACAACAGATTCTGTTATAATACGTGCACACACTACACACACACACACACACACACACAGTAGTGCTATCAGGTCAGTAGTACTGCAGAATTTATAACAAAAGTCAGTTTTATGTACCTGGCGCCTCCTACTGGTGATCTCCGGCCTGGATCCAGGGGACTCGGCTCCTCCCCCAGAGAGTGACTGTCTTTGTTGAGCAGCTGTAGCCGATTAGCGAGATCCAGTCCGGACCCGGCTCGGCCGCTCAGCTCCAGTGCTGATGCCGATCGGCTGGTCAGATCCACAGCCGAACCCGATCCCTGACCTCCCAACGCTGCTGGACGGCCTCCCCCTTCCTCCGGGCTGAAGCCCCGCCGCTCGTCCCCACGGTCGTCCCCACCCCCCCACAGCTTGGACCTCCTCTGGAAAAGATAGCGTGGCTGTCGGCCACCGCCACCAGTGGGGGAGGAGCAGAGTGGGGAAGAGGGGGAGGAGGACGATGCAGCAGACGGGAGGAGCTCACTGTCTGATGATTGCTTCAGCAGCGGGTCCCGGAGCGCAGAGCGGCCCCGCCCGATAGGTGAGCGAAGGCGTGGCTTAAGAGCAATTGGGGAGGTGGAGGGGGAGGAAGGGGAAGGGTGAGCAGCAGGAGGGGAGGAAGGGGAGGGTGGAGCAGGAGGGGAGGCCAAGGTGATGGAAGGAGGGAGCGAGCTGGGGGAAGAGGAGCTGTCGTGGAGCCGTTCGTCACCTCCTTCCTCCTCATCTCGTCTACCCAGGGAGTCAGGAGCACTCTCTCCTCCCCCTCCCTCCCCAACTCGCCGTGGCAACAAGGTGAGGGAGGATGGGGGAGGAGGTGCGGGTGTAGTGACGAAGGCAGGGGGTGGAGTTACCAGGCCAATTCTCCGGAGCTCCTCCCTAGTCTCCTCATCGCTGGATGACAACAAGGCTGGTGGAAGTGTAACTGTGTAAGCCCCGCCCTCCTCCTCTGAGCTGCCCACTGTGAGGCTTCTACGCCTGTCAATCAGAGCAGGGTGACTCTCATTGGCCAGTTGTGGCAAGGGGGTGGGTCTCCAGCGCTCAGGGGAGGGGCCGGCAGGTGATGTCACTCCTCCCTCTGTTTCTGGACGCTCCACCTGTCCATCAGGGAACAAGGGAGGGGTTATGCGTTTATGCCTCAGCTCAGGACTGGTCTGGGGAGTGGTGCGCTTGGTTCGCTGCTCTGGGCTTGTTTGAGGGGTGGTGCGTTTGGATCTTGGCTCTGGGCTGCTCTGTGGGGTGGCCAAAGGCGTGCGCTTGTGTCTGCCCTCTGGGCTGGCAGCTGGGGTGGGGATAGGTGTGGTGGAGGCAGATGCGTGTTTTAGTCGAGGCTCTGGGCTCGGTGTGCGAGCAGTGAGCGCTCTTTCTCGTGCAGCGAGTGCCAGGGCGAGTGGAGACGAGGGGTCTGAGGAGAGAAAAGAAAATTAAAGATGGAAATGAACTGCCCTCAAATGGGCTAATACTCTCTAACAGATTGCTGGGGCACTTTCACATCATCTAAGGCTCTTTTGTAGAGTACCCAAAATCTCAGTCCTCTGTCCTTTTCTATTTTGTGTACCTCAAGGCTCTGTTCTAGGTCCTCTTTTAGTTTGTGGAGTACCTCAAGGCTCTGTTCTAGGCCCTCTTTTAGTTTGTGGAGTACCTCAAGGCTCTGCTCTAGGCCCTCTTTTAGTTTGTGGACTACCTCAAGGCTCTGTTCTAGATCTGCGTTTAGTTTGTGGAGAACCTCAAGGCTCAGTTTTTGGTCCCCTTCTGTTTTAAGGAGTACATAAAGTTTAGGTCTTTATTAGCGCTCCAACTTGGCCAAATTATGTATAATCATAGTATTTATTTTTACTGCTATGCTGATGACATCCAACTTTGTGTATCTGTCACATCAGGAACCACCAGCAATCTGATGTCCTTAAGAAACTGTCTAACATCAAATGTTGGGTGTCTTACTTTCTTACTAGCCCCTACTTTAATACACTACAATACAATAAAATAATTCAAATTTAATGATACATTTGATACTGTGGTACCCATCATTGAGCCCAGTGTCAAAAATCGATTTATATCGTTCTCTGCTTTGGAATATGTTGATTCTTTAGTCTCTTGAAAAAATGGATAACTTGATTATTGTAAACCACAGAATACATCCAGACTCTTAAGAAAAAACGACAGAGTTCCCATAACATTGTGCTGTCAGACTGACCCAGAGGTTTCCCCGTCAGTGGGTGGAGGAAGGTGTGAGGTGTTGGTGAGGGCGACAGGACCGGAGCTGGAGGCGGAAGCTCGCCGAGGTCATCCATTGAATGGCTCTGAGTCAGGAGGGGCGGCACCTGGTTTTCCGTCCCGGATCCCTCCACAGACAGGAAAAGAGACGACCTTCGGCCCTGAACCCGAGCGCGCTCTGAAAGAACCTGTTGCTGGTACAGCTCCGCCCTACTGGGGCTGCTGGGTACGTCTAATTTAGACGAATCATGATCTTTCATTCCGAGTCCTAGAAGAAAAATGAAAACAAGCAGTCAGACAGATACAGATGATGAGTAAGAGTCTACAGCATAATATTTGTGTCACAATCCTGAGCACGTAATTGGACATTTTAAGCACATGAAAATGTTTTTTGCGAGCGTGAGGAAGGAATAATTTAATTTGAACAAACAGAAATCAGTTTTGTACTTGTTTTGCTTGTTTTCTATTGACCACGTAAACGCACAATAATAACCTCTCAGTTTTACTTATTAGCTCAAATTCACTTCCTGGTATTGCACTTCCTCCAAAGAGAACTGGCGTAGGTAATTTCTGATTGGCTGTTTTTTCTCCAGTTTGATTATTGGTATGTTATTGGCCACTATGGAAGCACTGGGAGAATGGTAAGCAAGTATACCACAGCCATACGTAAGTATAGCCCTGATTTACACAGCTCACTGAGTTACTATTAACCAGCTGCTAGCATCGAGTCGTTTGCTAATAGCCGATGAGCAATAGCCACATAACAATGTATGCCTTTAAAATGAGATGTAACTCATCATGTCTTAGATTTTACCAAAGGTCCGTCTGTCAGTTTTTGAGTCAGCTAACTAGCATTACTAGTAACTACTACATAAAGGTAGTTAATGAACTACAACACACGTCCGACAATGCACTCAGGAAATTAGGCAAAAATAAAACTCCACAGAAATCAGAAAGATGACAGGTGTGTCCTAACCCTGCTCCTCTACAGGAAGTTGTTTCAACAAAGGTGACTTCCTCCTCTGTGGCTTGGAGGGCGGAGCCTGCTGTCCCACGTTAGCATATGGGTTTTCTATTGGTCGTCCCCGGCGGCGTGACAGCGGTGAATGACCGAGGGCGGGGCTGGTGCTGTGGAGAGACAGCGTGGAGGTGTGTGTGGCGGTGTGAAGCGTGTGTGTGGCGGTGTGTGTGGCAGTGTGCAGCGCGTGCGTGGCGGCGGCGTGTGCGTCAGGCTGCAATGGCGGTGGCGTGTCCTGCAGGATGATCATCGACCTCGCTTTCCTCTGCCGCTCGGCGTGGGCGTGGCTCCTTGTTGGTGAATCAGAGAGCTCCTGGAGCCTCGGCTCCGCCCCTGGCTTGAAGCTGGACCGGGTTAGCCCCTCCCCTCTGGCCGGGGGAGGCGGTGGGAGGAAGGACGGGGGAGGGCCCGAGTCGAGGAGGAAGACCGAGGAGGTGGAGGAGGCTGAGGGAGGAGGGGGTGGAGCTGTCTGAGGAGGAGGAGGGATGAAGCTGTCCGTCAATGAGGAGCTCCGTGGAAACCGACTTTCGTTGATCAGAGCCGTGATCCTGTCGTCATCAGGTGTGCCTGTCGTGGTAACCATGGAGACGTTAAAACAAATATGATAATATATTTACTTTTGATACTTTAAGGATATTTTGATGTTAATACTTTTAGCATTTTACCTGTAGGAGAGTATTTATAATGTATGTATAGTACTTCTCCCGCCACCGTCCATATTAATATTTATTTATACAAAAACGTGTGCGTCTCACCAAAACTCTTGGTTCTGGACATTCCTCGGGGTAAAGCCATGGTGCTCTTCTCTGGAGCTGTGGGGGGCACCAGACCCTGACGCTCAAACAACGACTGCACACAAACACACAGATTAACACATTTAATTCAAAAATCCATCAAAAAGCCTGAATCTAACTTAGTCCTGTTTCTGAAGTAGGTTTCTGCTTATCTACACGCACGATTCGTAATGAGAAGACTAATAATACCGTCAGTGATGGTACCACTTTAACACTGTTGTATCAAGCCGTGTCCTGTGGTTAAAAACACCCACAAACATCTGGCTTTTGTCTTCAGAGGGTACAATTAACAGTCACTTCCAGGTCAAATGACTGATGTTTGCAACGTAAACAGCCAGGGACATCATTATTGTTTTATTCAGTGTATGGGAACAACACTTTTGTGATGTTTTACTTGACAACAATGCAAACCTGCACTGGCCTATACACTAATTATGGTGTAAAAACAGTATTATTCATATAGCTACAGAATAGGAGACTACTGCCATGTTTACAATAATTCATTGGCTCGGATAGAGAGCAGTGAAAGGTTTTGTTGGATGAAAATAATGTACATATATAATCTTTTATCAACCATCAGATGCAGAAATCATCACCAGCTGCGACTGCTTCAACCAAAACATCTTATGACTGTTTCTGAATACTTGTCTTACATTAATCTCAGCCTGCGTGATGCGCCGGCTGGTCGGTCTCTGTTTCACCGTCGCCGCTCTGAAGTCGTCTGATGGGCGGCCCCTGAGGACAACTTCCTGTTGACCGCCCGCCAGCATCTCATCCAGTTTCTCTGGAGGGGAGGAGACATAATAAAAACAAGGTAAACAAACAAACCAAATAATGAAACACAGCCTCATGACATCACAACACGACCACAAAAACAAAAACAACAACAACAACAACAACAACAACAACAACAACAACAAACCAACATGTACAGCGACATCAGTCAGAGCCGTAGCCAGGAGGAAAATAAAGCATCTCTTAATTCTAATTTAAATAAAGGAGTCTTAATTCAAGAACCTGAGAAATTTCTGACAAACTATCAACATAAATATATAAGACATACATTTTATTTATTAATTAAGGTGTTTGAATGTATTTAATGTAAATTATGTAAAGTTTCAAAGCCATCTTTACTATCAGCAGTATATTTACTTAAATACCTAATTAGGTACTAATTTGATGTACTTAACTTTACTTGAGTATTTCCAGTTAATGTACTTCATAGTTCTACTCCACTACATTTAACTGACAGCTTTAGTTACTTTATGATAAATGTAATATAAATTACCCAACAGTTTGCAACTCCCTTGCTTCACCCTCCCAAAACAAGGAGAGCCAGTGTTTGGTTTGTCCGTTCTGGGCTACTGTAGAAACACAGCGGTTCAACATGGCGGACTAAGGTAACAAAAACACAACGATTCTTATATTTAGGTAATAACCGTAAAACTTCTAATAATAGCCCGGGCATTTATTTGCTTAAATCACTGAACTCCCCCTGCCTCTATTGGGGACAGGCCTTTATTTGGGACAGGCGTTTAATTCCTTTAGCACAAAACTAAACTAAACTCTAACTGCTGCTTCTCTTGAGTTTTGTTCAGCAAATTTGACAACTAACATGATGATTATGATGCTTCAGAGGTTTTTTTTCCGTCTCTCTTGTTTACTGGTAAGTCAGAATGAATTAATGTTAAACTTTGTTGTTGATAGTTTTCATAAAATATAGTGAACGATTGAATTGTGGAGAATCTATAACTGATCTAATGATGTTCATTATGTACATATTGACACAAGTTTAAACATTTATATTTGTGTAGGAGATTGAAACGACTTAAAACTCTCTCAAGCGGGGGACCTGGTGGGTTTTAAGAGGTTTTATACATCGAGATAATTTCTATAAAATCCGGACCAGGCCTCTATTGGAGACCTGCATTTATTTGTCAAAACGTGTAGCCACACCAGGCTTTTAAAAGAGACCTGGGTCTATTAGGGACCCTGCTTTTATTGGAAGTTTTACGGTAAACACTAATGAAAACATAAGTATGAATATTATATTTCTGACCATAGATCCTCCTCAGTGTTACACACAGGACCTTTTAAATAAAGGATCTCGATACTTCCTACTCTATTGCGTTCGGTGTCCTCCGCTACGGCCCTGGCTGTTACATCACCGCGACTTGACATCACCGAAACACCATGACATCACTGCCACACCATAACACAACCAGTCCGACGTCATGCCATGAGACCAACAGTGTATCACTGCAGTGTGACAATCGCAGCAGAGAAAACAAAAAAAAGCCACGACAACAACCATGACCATCAGATCCACGTGACTCACCGATGCGTCTCCTCCTGGCTGCAGACAGAGCAAAGGTCAACAACACACACTCCTACAGTTTGACTTAACGCTGCACTCACTGTGTGTGTGTGCGTGTGTGTGTTTGTTTTACCTATCTCCTCCAGGTCAGCGGTCATGGACTTGGATCGGAGAGTCAGCGAGGTGCTGGGGGCTCGTTTTGGAGGGGGTGGAGCTATAAGGTGAGAACCAATCAGACGACAGTGAGAGAGTGAGCAGGAAAGAACAAAAATAGTATTTTATTAGTGCTGTCAAACGATTAAAATATTTTAATCGCGATTAATCGCATTAATGTCATAGTTAACTCGCAATTAATCGCACATTTTTATCTATTCTAAATGTCCCTCGATTTTTTTTTGTCCCATTATTTTTTCTCATTTTCATGCTCTTATCAACATGGAAAAGTGGATCGGCTTGCTTTGTGCAAATGTTGTTTTTATTGAAAACAACATTGGCATATACTGTAGTGTTTAATTTCACACTAACATTCTCACTTGGAGCAAGTGATCTTTCACACAATGTCACACTGTCCATCAATAAAAGGGTGAAAAAAATACTTTGTCACACAAAACGTGGTATTTCCGACTGGACGTGCTGCGATGATAGCTCAGTTCACAACGACGAGACACACAGATCACTTTGGTCTTGTCAATGGAACCATTTGGCAACCTTTTAAAAGTAAACTTTCCATTCAGAATATTATTGGCATCCATTTCGGCATCTTGCGCTCGCCATCCACTAAAAACTTAACGTCTACTACTCTTAAACAAGTGTGTGCGGCGTGCCTGTTGTTTTGTTTCTGGTCTAGCTAGATCCGGTGTGGTGTTGTCGTTTTCCTAACGTTACTAGTTGTTGCAACAGCATGTGAAAAAAACTACAAAGTGTGCTAGGCCAAAAAGAAAGTTAATCTCGCGATATAAAAATTGACGCCGTTAAAATGGGTTTGCGTTAACGCCATCAATAACGCATTTAACTGACAGCACTATATTTTATATGTAGTTTTCTTCTTTATTGAACACAGAATGCAGTAAAATCACCTTTTTATATCTGTTTTTGTGATCTTATGGCAGAGCAGAGCCACAGGATTGATCACTAATTTTGCTTAAGAAATGTATTATTATAAAATACAATATTATTAATCTATTGTATTATAGAGTAATTGTATATTTTATTTTATTTTATTTATTGAATTATTGTTTATAATGTATTTTTCTGTTGACCGACGAATCAACTAATTGTTTCTATTGTTTTTATATGAATATTATTAATATTAGATCATTATTTTCTCAGTATCAGTATGTATTTAAAATTGACTGTGTTACTTAAACTTGACTTATAACAAACTGGTGATATTTTGTGACCAAATAAAAGAAAACATCTTGAAGTGAAGTGAGTGAATGAAATAAAGAAGGTGGAGAAACCTTTCTTCCTGACCAGGTTGGATTCAGATTTTCTGGAGACGGATACGACCTTCATCAGCAGTCGACTTCCACCCTGACGGATCAGAGAGACGACCTGCCGATGACCCACCTTCACCACATCGGCGCCGTTCACCTGGACGACAGACAGACAGACAGACAGACAGACAGGTTGTGACAGTGAAGGTATGGAGAGCTTTAAAGATCTGTAGCAGAGATCTAATGAGAGCTGCAGGAAAGAGTCCTAAAACCTGGAAATGAGCATTTTAGCCCCTCTGGTTCCCTCGCCTTGAAGTCAGTGGGTTTTTTTTAAATGTGTGTGTTATTTTGTGAGAGATTTTCGCAATAAAATACGTCAGTAAATAACCCTCCTGTGAAGTATGAAGCTTTTATATGTCCTAAAAAGGCGGTTGCTAACAAGAGGTTAAATGAAACTACAGAGGAGACGTATCTACTCACTGGTCTGCCTTTAAAGCCTCGCTGTGTTCATACTCAAACTCCCAGCTTGTTGATTTTAAGATTGAATTACAAGTTGGAAGTTTAGTGGTGCTGACACTTAAGTTTGTTTAGCTTAACGTTAGTTTTTTTACTTCTGCCGATCGTATTTATGCTTCAAAAACCATAAAAGTGGAGCTTATGTTCAGCAATCATCCGAACTCCAGTGGAAGAATCCCTGGGGGGAAACCAGGACGATGCTAACTTCTGGGTTAGACTACAATAAACGCCTCCTCCCTGCAGCGCTGGATGAGAGCGCCGCCGTTCCTCACCTCTATCAGGAAGTCTCCGGTCCGTAGCCCCGCCCTCCAGGCCACGCCCCCCTGGTCGACTGACTCCAGGTACTGCAGCGCGGGGAACGCCGGGGTGGGGGCAAACTCCTCGATGGGGGTCTCAGCTTGAAAAAGAAGCAGAGAGAAAGGTGGAAAACATGTTTCTAGAACAAACTGAACATGTTTGCTGCTGATGGCGACTTGATTTCAAAATTGGTGAAGAATTTAAAGACGAGTCACAACAAGATTTAACTTTGAAGGCTCTGCCCGCCCACACAGGTGATTGTCTATACCTGAAACCAGGACTGTGTGGGTCTGTACAGACTGCGTTTGATGGACGGTTCCTTTATTCTCGCACACACTTCTACACTTTTACATTTTTATGTTAGTACTTTTGTTTGACAGTTGTTTTCTGCATTATTCTTCTTCTGCATTAAGTTCTGCTGCTGTGACGTGCAAATTCCCCCCTGTGGTTAAATAAAGTGTTGATCCATTAACTCACAGGATTGTTGGATTATCCACTGAGATCATTAAACGTACAATATGTCATTAATGCCACTAGGAAGTCTCTACAAGAATAAAAGAGGAAGTGTGTTAATGTGGCGAAGCAGCGTGGGATCATGGGAGTTGTTGTCTTCACCACCATTGGCGTCATTGCAGTCAGCTTCTCCCGCTTAGGATTCCTTCAGTGTTCATGGTTCAAAAAACAAACAGACCCGCTGATTAAAACCACTAAATACACTGAATAAAGCAGTTCCACCTTAAACACACTGAATAAAGCAGTTCCACCTTAACAATCACTGCTTCTCCCACGCTGTTGGACAGACAAAGGACGTCCCGGAGGGGCTGCGAGCCGAGCTGCTGCTAACGTTAGCTCAGCTTGTTTCTCTGATAACTTAAGATCCAGACGTCCGATGACTAAAATCCTTCATCCGGTTTAAATCTAGAGTTAAAAAGCACCAAGATCTAAACAGTGGATGGTAACAATGTGGCTTCAGACTGGATCAACAGTCAATGTATGACAGCTTCTGGCAGACAACCACAACGCTGACGCAGGCACAAAGGGGATATGACGCCATCGACAGGCGACCGGTGAAACGCAGCGTTACCTGAATAAAATGACAGATTTCTCTGAGTTTGAACATTGTTGGAAACATTTGGGATAATGGAAGAACTCAACTACATATAGAACATAGAGCCAGAGCTTATACACTGTATAATGAGGACGTGTTTACAGCTTTAAAGGAACATTTTTAAAAGAGAATTATACGAGCAGAACCAGTGGATTCTCCCACTCTTATGATTCCCAGTTGGAGTTGCTAGTTTTAAACCTGCTGTAATAATCCTGTCAGGATCGGGGGGGCGTAGTCTTTGTTACTTTCAGGGAGAAAGAACAGACTCAGTGGATTCCGTCGTTATTATGAAACAACACAGCGAGGAGTTTTAAAGCTTTCTGCTCTTCCTCTGAAGACTTCACTCCGTTTTAAATATCCTTCTTTTTTCTTTCCCCAACACCTCCAAACACCCACCACTCCTCCATCCATCCATCCATCCATCCATCCATCCTTTCTACCTTTAGCTCCTCTGAGGACGAAGCCGAATCCCTCGCTCTCTCTCTTCTGCAGCACGGCCGTCTTCTCCTCGATCACATAGTCGCTGCCGCAGAGAAAAACACGAGCATACGTTCATCACATTTATCAGAGTGAAGAGAGTCGTAGAGTCGGTGCTGAGGCTGTAACATGGCCTCAGAAATACACAGGTCACTACAGACAGCGCGGGAGGAAGTGTTCACATCCTTTACTTCAGTAAAAGTACCAACACTGGAAATACTCCACCTCCTGCATTCATAACCATTTTAACTACTTTATAGACTGTTGGAGGGTTTAATCTACAGCAATGCATCATAATCTATGAGATCATGTGCCTGTTTTCAGCTTTCTGACACTCATTTTTAAAGTTTTTAAAAAGTTTTAATTTTGAGCTGATTATTTCCTGTTTAGGGAACTTTTTTATACAATTCTCTGTCTGTATTATGTATTTTTAATCATATTTAACAATCATACGAACATATTAGGCCTCTTTTCTGACAAATTCAGTGTTTTCTTCTTAGACAATATACTTATATTTACTATTCTTCACAGAAATTAACCAAATACTGAGCTATAGGCCTACTGGTTTCTTACACTTCTTCAAATCAAGAAGGCTTTGCGACCCCCTGTGAAGCTTTGGCGACCCCTAGTGGAGGTTCATCACAACATTCGACATCAACACATCTGGAGATGGAGTAGATAGATAGATAGATAGATAGATAGATAGATAGATAGATAGATAGATAGATAGATAGATAGATAGATATACTTTATTGTAGAGCTATAAAGTAGCAGAAAATGTAAATACCCAAGTTTAGTAGAAGTACTTTAAATTTGTACTTCCTGAAGAGATTAAACTCTTACTGTCAAACTGAACATTTATCTGTCCTCTCTGTACGTGTTTCTGGAAGATGGAGGCGTTTCTCTTCCTTTTTATGTTTGTTACAAAGACCTTTTTCACAGCAGCCATTTTGTAGTAGGGTAAAAAAGGCTCTGTTCCATTTAGTATATCAGAGCCTTTACGGTGAGCCACAACAGCAGCAGCCTGACTCTGTTTGAACGGGACATTAATTAGTATCTTTGGTAACACCTGTGTTTACCCTACTGTTTCACGTCAAAATGGCCGCAGTGAAAAAGGTCCATTGGTGACTCTAAACTGCCTGTAGGTGTGAATATGAGACCTGAACCCTGAAAAATGTTTACTTATTAACCTCTTTATATACTAAACAATGTTTAAGTCAGACATTTGAATGTGTCTGTAGCCTATGTACCTTAATTTGACAATGTAAAGGTATTTCATATGTTTGTATTTTGATATTAAAGCCAGTAAAGTAACTAAGTTGGAGGTGTAATGACGGTGTATTACCTGTAGGAGGTGTAGTTGTCATAGGAACCTACAGTATAATGTCTGAACAGTCTCTTGGTGCGGTCCTCTCTCGTCTCTGAAACACACATAAATATAATATAAAGAATAAAGTTTATAACGAATGTGTGTCATATATTAAATCTTTAATGTCTGTATGTGCATCCAGTGCGTGCGAGGGGGATTCAGTTGTGATTATTTACCCAGTCGTGGGTCGTATTGTCTCATCTGAACTTCTTCAACACAGTCAGCAGGAAACCAACCAGTTCTTCCTTTAACGCTTCCTTCCCAGAATCCTCCTTCGCCTATAGACAGAACTGCAGATCCACAACAAACAGAGGATCCAGAGTCAGACCAGAATCACAGAACCTGCTTTTATTGCTTCAATGTCCTTCCTGACCGACCTTTGACCCTCTCTCCTCGGTGCAGCTGGATCTCTCCGGGCCCCTGGGGGACGTGAGACCTGGTGGCGATGAAGGTGCGTCCCGGTACGGCACTGTACAGCCTCCTCTTCCTCATCTGGGGGGTTGGGGGAGGGGAGGAGGGGGGGCTGTTCTCCACATGACCTCCACCGCTCGGGCTGCAGACAGACGGGTCAGAGAGATACAGACAGGTTACAGATAAAGGCTGTCGTCATGCCAACACCATCAACAACACCGGTACTGATGTCAACAACACCGATACTGATGTCAACAACACCGATACTGATGTCAACAACACCGGTACTGATGTCAACTAACTATGTGTAGTACAGCCTACATAGACTCTACTACACATAGTTAGTTAATGTGTGTGTGCGTACCTGAGGCGGCGTGTGTGTCGTCGTAGCGAGTGTGTGTGCGTGTCGTGATGTGTTTCCAGGCTTTGCAGGGAGGGGCCAGGAGAGGAGGCGGGGCTTTCCAGAGCGTTGTCACTGGCTGAGCGAATCAGAGAGCGCGGAGAAGACAGACCGTTCCCAGCCGCCGTCCGGGTCAGGCCGGCTCTGCGGCGCTTCGTGTAGGACGGAGTTTCTCTAAAGGGAACTACTTGTGCACATATACACACACACACACACACACACACACACACACACACACACACACACACACACAGGCAGAGTTAACATCACCAGCCGACATAAGAAACACACACACACATTTCCACTATTCAAATGTGTTTCCACTCTCAGCCAACTCACCAACGTCAGAGGTTTTGTGGATCTTAATGATTTCTGCAAGATCAAAGTTCCCAGCAATTATCGCCACCTACACGCACACACACACACACACACACACACACACACACACACACACACTCATTATTAGAGCATCAGCTAGATCAGACATGAGGCTTTGATATACGTCCATTAAGTAAGGTTGGCTTTATTTTATATTTCTCAACAATGTGTACGTCTGATGGCTCTCAGCTCCGAGTCCATTAGTACCTACTGGGGACGTTAATCACCACAAACAGAATAACACAAATATATTATTTTATTCTAAGAAATCAAGCTGGGGCTCCCGGTTAGCTCAGTGGGTAGAGCTGGTGACCCATGTACTGAGGCTGAGTCCTTGCTGCAGCAGCCCAGGGTTCAAATCCAACCGTCAGCCCCCTGCTGCGTGCCTGCCCCCCCCCATCCATCCCCAGCTGTATCCATCAAATAAAGGCAATAAAAGGCCCAAAAAAAAATAAGCCATCGAGCCAGAGGAAATTGTGCATTTGTTGGGGACTATTTTAAGCGGCAGATTAATCCACATTTAGCGCTCTGTGGAGTATTTGGGGCAGCGGGACGGTGTATGTCGGTTCCCTTATGAGAACCTGCCAAGATACATAACAGCTCTGTTTTTACCATGACTGTATTTTGGGAACTGGTCTCCTAGATGGCGCCTCAGGGTCCACTTCAGTGCTGTGCAGCCCCCGACTGCACATGCTCATAAGTGTTTCTCTTTCTGGGCTCTGGGAAATGATTATAAATATTAAATCACTGTGGTTGGAAACTTGGCCATTGGGACAAAGGAAGTCTGGTTGTTGTAGTTTTATTGTTATTTTATCTGAAAGGAAGTCTGGTTGTTGTAGTTTTATTGTTATTTTATCTGAAAGGAAGTCTGGTTGTTGTAGTTTTATTGTTATTTTATCTGAAAGGAAGTCTGGTTGTTGTAGTTTTATTATATTTACCTGAAAGGCAGTCTGGTTGTTGTAGTTTTTGATGTCTTTATTTGCTCCTCTGAACAGCAGCACTCTGGCACAGCTGTCCTGCAAAACGAGCAGCAATTATTTTATTCACTTAAATAAATAAATAAACATTATGTACAACATGAGAATAATTGAGGAGAAAAATATATTTTTTATGACTAAAACAGCTGCACTGAGTGTTTTATTGTGTGTTACCTGGTTGTAGAGAGCACAGAGGTGCAGTGCAGTGTTCCCTGATGCATTTTGGGAACTCATATCGGCGCCGTAGAACAGCAGGTGCTCCAAGTGCTGCACGTTACCATAGCGACATGCCTGAACACACACAGACACACACACACACACACACACACACACACACACACACACACAAATATCATAATTGTATAGGGCAAATCATTTAGCTGATTGTATCTGATTTGTTTGTGTGTGTGTGTGTGTGTGTGTGTGTGTGTGTGTGTGTGTGTGTGTGTGCGTGTGTGTGTGTGTGTCACCTGGTGGATTTCTTGCCACCCGTTCTCATCAGTCATCCCTGCAACCATGACAACAAGAATTATTTCAGCGCTGAAGTGTTTTTCTCAAAAAAGACACTAACAAAGTTAAATAATGAAAGCAGTCACACACACACACACACACACACACACACACACTCTGGATTGACCCTGTGGGCCTCCGTACCGATGGTGGCGTGGTCCTGCAGTAGTAGTTCACAGCAGTAGGGGGCGCCGCCCACCATGGCAGAGTGATAGAGAGGAGTCAGACCTCGGCTGTCCTTGTAGTCCGGAGACGCTCCGAGGTCCAGCAGAGTCTGAAGACCAGAACAGGACAGGATGAATCAAAGATGAGGAGGAATAATAATAATAATAATAATAATAATAATAATAATAATAATAAATAATTTTTTCATGTTGAGGTTAAATCAATAAAATATTATAAACTCCAATAATTGGAGATGAAGATGGAACCATGATGATTTCTTAAACCTCCAGTATTGAAAAATCCAAAATGTATGATAAAAACAAAGTCATAAAGCTTTAAAGGGGATTTATTATTCTTTTCCTGAGTTTCTGTCACATATAAGATATATATACTGTCACACTGTTGGATGTTGATATGAAACGAGGCCAAAGTGTCGAATAATGAGGTGTGAAAGTAATCTCAGCTCAGATCGCACTGGCAGGTCAGACACAGTCAAAGACCCTGTGCAGACTGCGGATCGAATTTCATGCAACATCGACAGACTAGAAGTCGATCAGTCAGAAGAGATTTGAAATTAAGAAACACGTTTTGTTTTCTTTTTGAGGACAAAATACACAAGTAAACCACGTCAGGCAGGTAAGAGGCTTCGCTTATGAGACGCTCTCGGTGGGAGTTATGGGGTTCGTTATCCAACCGCTCTGCTCAGGATTCAGGACTGTCAGGTGTTTGTATGAAGGAAGTGTTTCTCTGGTTGTAGTTTATATTATTAAATCTGAATCTAAAGAGTAAATAAAAGTATCACATAAACGCAGTAACACTGGGACAAACGCAGTACGTGTTTTCTTACAGTGAGAGAAGTGCTGTTCCTGCAGAGGACGGCCCGATGCAGAGCGGTGATACCGTCTCTGGTCCTGAAGTCCAGGTGAGCGCCTCCACTGCGAAGGACTTTAATCAACTCACAGCTCTCCTCCAGCTGGACCGCCAGAGTCAGAGGACACTCTGGGACACAAACACAACAACAAACATGTTATTATTGTTCCAAAAATAAACCCAATAAAACCCTTTCTCCTGCGCTGAAGACTCCCAGGTCGTCTCTTCAGTTTTGGTTCAGGGAGTGTGCAGGTTCTAATTACCTGAGACACACGTTTTACATAATATACTATAAACCACATTTAAACCATCATATAGGACACAGGAAGGCAACCTGCAGCTCTTTAGCTCCTCTGCAGCGGCTCCACTTTGACAAGAAATGATATTTTTGAACATTTGAACTGATTTAAAGTGATTCTTACATTCTCCAATTGTAAAAACGTGGATCATACATCATGACCTGCTGCCTTTCCCTCTATATATTGCAAAAGATAAAAACGAAGACAATAAAGACAAAATTCAGTGTGATGAAGCAGCGTGGGATCATGGGAGTTGTTGTCTTCACCACCATTGCAGTCAGCTTCTCCCGGTTAGGATTCCTTCAGTGTTCATGGTTCAGGAGGTTTCTACCGGGAGCCCAATGATCCACAGAGGTCTCCTCCTCTCCAACACAAACAGACCCGCTGATTAAAACCACTAAACACACTGAATAAAGCAGTTCCACCTTAAACACACTGAATAAAGCAGTTCCACCTTAACAATCACTGCTTCTCCCACGCTGTTGGACAGACAAAGGACGTCCCGGAGGGGCTGCGAGCCGAGCTGCTGCTAACGTTAGCTCAGCTTGTTTCTCTGAAAACCTTTAAAAAGTTAAAAAGCACCAAGATCTAAACAGTGGATGGTAACAATGTGGCTTCAGACTGGATCAACAGTCAATGTATGACAGCTTCTGGCAGACAACCACAACGCTGACGCAGGCACAAAGGGGATATGACGCCATCGACAGGCGACCGGTGAAACGCAGCGTTACCTGAATAAAATGACAGATTTCTCTGAGTTTGAACATTGTTGGAAACATTTGGGATAATGGAAGAACTCAACTACATATAGAACATAGAGCCAGAACTTATACACTGTTTAATGAGGAAATGTTATATATAAGAGCTTTAAAGAGCTTTATTTATTTCTAGTATTTAACAAACTGAAGTTGCTGTGTTTCCTCTTGCTTCCAGTCTTTGTTCTAAGCGATTTCAGAAATATCATTTTAATATCTGTGTGTGTGTTCGTGCTCACCCCCGCTGTCAGAGTCATGGAAGTTGGGGTCCAGGCCCTTTTCCAACCATTTGGAAACCTTCTCCACATTCTTCTGATGAACATGTTCCATGAAGCGCTTCAGGTTGGCCTGAAAAACACCCAAAATCCTGCTTTTATCTAAAGGAAACAGCACAAACTCTCCTACAAGAACCCTTTACATGGAGAACTGAGCAGTTTATTAAATATATTCACTGTTATAAAATGAGACACACTGCTTGGTGTTATTATGAACAGTGGGAGTGCACATACATTATTAATGGATTCGTGTTGTCTAGACTTAAAGACACAACGTTGGTATCTATAGCTGTGATTCATCCGTGTGTGTGTGTGTGTGTGTGTGTGTGTGTGTGTGTGTGTGTGTGTGTGTGACCTTGGTGTGGAGCTTGGCCAGCTGTTTATCGTCCACGTAGCTCTGCGTGTAAATTCTCCTCTTGTAACGAAACTGGAGAAAGGAGGTGAAAAATGTTATTAACACAAAGACATTTAACTAATAAATAAATGAGACAAAATGTTTAATTTAAGCATAAATCTATAAAATAATCCATTACATTCATACGTTCTTATTTACAGAAGTTTTATGACTTCAGATTTGATTTTGACTTTAACACCAACGACTCTTTTTGAAAATACTTGATAACTTCCCCCAAACGCAAAGATTAAAAAGTCCTTAGTGGTTATTTAAACTATTGATAATTAAATTATTTACTGAATCAGTTAACATTAATGTTATTAACTCAGATCCAGTTTGTCTGAATCAGTCCAGTTCGTTCAGTTGTTAAAATGACTGATTACAGTCGGTGAAAATAACATTATGACTTGTTTAAGACTCAAAACTCAAAGTTTGAGACTCTGCTTATTCATCTACTTATTATTGAACCGCGAACACACACCGCTGCCCCAAATATTCACTAGAATACCAACTGTGGATTAATCCGCCGCTGAAAATAGTCCCCAACAAATGCATAATTTGTGTGATAAAAACTACAGTGAACAGCTGCTTTTTTATGGAAATGACGCTGCTTTTAATTTGATTTTAAAGGTCCAGTGTGTCACATTTTGGATGATCTAATAATAATAATATCTAATAATATTCATAGGTGTGTTTTCATTAGTGTTTAATCACCTGAATATAAGAATTATTGTGTTTTTGTTCCCACAGAATGAGACGTTTTTATCTACAGACACAGCAGGTCGCCATGTTTCTACAGTAGTTTACAGTTCACAGCCCGTTCTCATTCCCAGGTCGTCAAATACAGACGCGAGTAGTGTTCAGTTGCAATCGGAAACTTCACTGCTAGATGCCACTAAATCCTACACACTGGTCCTTTTTGATAGGAACCAATGAGCTTAGAGCTGAGAGCCACAGACAGGAAGTCACGTTGCTGGTCTTTTAAAGGTCCACTGTGTCGGATTTAGTGGCATCTAGTGGTGAAAGCTGCAGATTGCAACTCTTTCGCTTCACCCTGGTCTTCCGAGTGTGACGGAGAAACTACGGTTAACATTAGACCCAGTGTGTAAGGTAACAAAAACACAAGGATTCAATAAATGCTCCTAAATGTTACAAACTGGAGCTTTTGATGGGGTTTGTTTCCAAAAAGAAACATAAAAATAAACCATATTTATCCTTTAAAATAACGATCCGTACCTCCAGGTATGGGATGGGCGTGATGGGAGGGAGAGGATACTCCTTCAGCAGCCGCTCCTCGTCCAGAAACTTTCCGGCTCGGCCGTTGAACGCCGGCTGGAAGAGACCATAGTTCAAAACATCCGACAGAGACTGAGTCAACGTCACCAGAACCCTCTGCTTACTGGTCCAAACTGGTAACTCTGGGTCCAACCGCAAACACTTCTGAGAGAGCCAGAGACAGAGAAACAGACAGACAGAGAAAGAGACAGACACAGACAGACAGACACACAGGTTTGTCCTGCTGATTCATTCATTGTTTTATCCTCTCCTCATATATACTTCTATACAGTATATATATAAAACCACATCTCTCTATATATATACTGTATATATATATGTGTGTGTGTGTTACCGTCTGCTGCAGGTCCGGGATGCCAATGCGGACGACAATGCTGTTTCCAGGGGGCGTGTCATCCGCGTCGTCGTCCCTGGCAACAGCAGAGCCTGTCGGGTTGCCGTTAGTAACCGCCTGTTGCCGCGGGCGATCATGTTTGGTGTCAGCAGCCGGACTCAGAGGCATGTGGCTAAAAGACACAGAGAGAGAGAGAGAGCTGTGATTACTGTCTGCAACAGCACAAATACTTTACTTTAATCACACAACGCTCTTTAATGTGTGGAAATTATATTTTTAAAGTTAAAGTTAAAGCTGTTTTAATTCCCCCGAACTCTGCTGCTTGTTAGCAGCTGAGCTAATGTTCACTAGGGAGCTAAACGCACTGATTTCTCCTCGTGTTAAAGCGATGTGTCTGCGCAGTAATGCACGATATAAGCTGCAGTTGTTAGCGTGCCCGGCTGACACAACCTAGGGGGTCGGGACCCCCACTAGGGGTCGCCAAAGCATCACTGGGGGGCGAGGCCTTCTTGATTTTAAGGCGTAAAATATACACAGTAGACCGATATCTCAAAGTAAATATAAGTATATTGTCCCATAGAAGAAGCATCAGGGAGAAGAAAACAATGAATTTGTCAAAAAAGAAGCGTATTAAGTTTGTATGATTGTTAAAAATGATTAAAAAATACAAAATACAGACAGAGAATTGTATAAAAAGTTCCCTTAACAGTAAATAATCTGCAGATTTTCCCACAGCAGCCTCAGTGGAGCTTAAATAACAGTTAAAATCAGGTAAAATTTATTTTATTTCACAGAAAATTAATCTTCTTAAGCCATTAAAGACGATGTAGAGAGTGTTCGTTGAACTCTGTCTTTTGATGTATTCACTGTAATTCATAGAACATAATATTTTGCTAAAGATTAGTGAATATGATTAAATGAGTTTCAAGCAAAATGCAAAATTTATTACAATACAAATATTTTCCAGGACAACATATGTCCTTAATTTCATGGATATTTGGTCATTTTAATCATTTTCCAGGTGTTTCCTTAACTTGGAAACGAGTCTCTAAATTTCCAGGTTTTCCAGGATGTGTGTGAACCCTGGAAAACAATCCCATTGGCTTGTTGTTGAAGAAACCAGGGCGCTGTATAGAAACTGTACAGTCCCTGCGGTTCCTCTAATGGCCACTAGAGGCTGGCTCCAGTAGTGAGTCTCCATAAGGCAGAAATAAACAATCTGTACAGGAGGTGAATTGTTATATAACTCACCTGTTTAAATTATATTAAAGATTAAAGTTGTGTATAAATAAGAGGACGCTGCTGTTTTCAGCAACCAAACCATCTTAAAATGACATTTTCTATCACATCAGTTGACACCTTGTTTATTTTGTGCTAAAACAGTTAAATCTCTTCCACAAACTTCACTTTTTATATTGAATTAAGAGGCATCCTTTAATGTTTAGGAACATTAACAGGTGGGTATGATCTGCACTTTGTGTCAGAGAGACTTCCGTGGGGACGGAGATATTAGCATGAATCTGACAGCCTCCCACAGACATTTCTCACAGCAGACATTTTGCATTTTCAGAGGTGTAAACGGTGATAATGGCTGCTTTTCATTTAGGAGAATAACACAGTTAATGTTAATATAATTAACGACACGTGTGAACGCCAGGAACGATCACTGAGAGACTCTACCGGGGCTCATGGTCCAAACCGCGCTGTGCTTTCGTCTGATTGTGGGACGACATCTTATTCAGATTGTCTGCTGACTCTGATCTGACCTCCACCTTCTCCAACGCTAATAATGGACTCAGGATGTTACATCACATCCTGTTTTTCACCCAGAAAGAAAATGTGCTCGCACACACAGAGAGACAGATAACACAGAGACGAGTCTGATTGTTCTGGAGAACTGAGGAGCCCCCACTTTTACTGCAAGTTGAGGGACTGTATGAACATTATTAGAGAGCTAAGGAGGGTCATATATAGATATATTTATATATATTTATATATATATTACCATGATATTTAATTTTATTGCCATGTTACCTTCTAATATCGATCGATTCAGGTGCAAAGTATTTGAATTCTACATATTGTTCTATAAATGTGCCCAGTAATCGCCCTCTACTGGTAGAAACTGGCTATTGCAGTTAGTTAGAGCCTTTATCTATCAGTAAACTGATTATAATCAATAAATACAGAACAGCTGATAAACTGTGAACTCAATAACTGCAGGAAGTTTGAGTAAAACCAGAGATTTGGATGAATTCTGATCAGAGACGAGTTTTTCTGATATTTTTTGGGACATTTTATCTAATTGTTCTGATCAGGTCATCAAACTTAGATATTAAATAATAAGTTGTAATGAAATAAGTAATTTTTACTCAGAAATATTATTAAAAAACAGGGTTACATTGAAAACTTAACTCCATCTTGTAAGTTACAAAACATTCTTGATTAATTATAACAAATAAAAAAAAGACATAAAAATGTCAAAATGAATTCAGTGTCACTTAAAATTACTAAAGTTATTTGATCATGAATGTATTTTTAATTTAAAATATTTAGTAGTTTTACCTAAAATGTTCAATGTGATCAGCTTCAACTGTTTTTTTTGGTTAATTATCTTATAATTTATCTGTTTTTAAAATGGAATTCAACCTTTAAAGATAAGTTTATTCACAGAAATGAACAAGAAGCTGAGATAAAGACCAACTGTGTGTAATCAAGAAGACCCCATTTTAAAGCTTTATGGACCCCTAGTGGGGTCCCGACCCTCAGGTTGGAGGTCAGGACAGTAAAAGATAAAACTTCTCACTCTGTTACAGGATATATTGATTATGAGAGTGACGGGGGAGGAGAGGGAGGGTCCGATATAAAGTCTCTCTTACCGCTAACGCTAACACGACCTCGGCTACTGCTGATGTTATTTTCTCTTCAACGCAACGACATCATCTCGCAGTTAATTATCATTTGTATTAATCATCATTGGGGATAATTAGCAGTTGATTACCACTCGCGCCAATAAAGAGGAGCAAGGATTCGAAGTCAAAACTTAATGGCTGCTTCTATTGCAGCTGAAGATAAAAGAGAGGGAGGGAGGGAGGGATGGGGGGGAGGTAGAGAGAGAGAGAGAGAGAGAGAGGGATGGGAGGGAAAGAGAGAGGGAGAGAGAGAGGGAGAAAGAGAGAGGGTGAGAGAGAGGGAGAGAGAGAGAGAGAGAGAGAGGAAGGTAGAGAGAGGGAGAGAGAGGGTAGAGAGAGGAAGGTAGAGAGAGGAAGGGAGGGAGAGAGGATGGTAGAGAGAGAGAGAGAGAGAGAGAGAGAGAGAGAGAGGGTGAGAGAGGGTGAGAGAGAGGAAGGTAGAGAAAGGATGGTAGAGAGAGAGAGAGAGAGAGAGAGAGAGAGAGAGAGGGACCGGGGGGGAGGGAAAGAGGATGAGTTGTGAGTTGTCATAGAAACTGGAATAGCAGGGAATCCTGTGCTAACCTCACAGTGTCACTGTGTGTTTGTGTGTGTGTGTGTGTGTGTGTGTGTGTGTGTGTGTGTGTGTGTGTAGAGTGTGTGAGTGTGTGTGTGTGTGTGTGTGTGTGTGTGTGTGTGTTAAAAAAAGCCCCCTGATCTACATGCTCGCTGTTGCTATGGCAACGCGGTTGAACAATTTTCGCAGTTCCCGTTTTAAAACTACCATCCTACCTGCTGACTCTCTCTCTCTCTCTCCTGTCAACCTCGCTCGGCCCTGCTGCTGTCTGTCTGTCACACACACACACACACACACACACACACATCTGGAGCACTCCACCATGATGATGGGGGGGGACATCATCGGGTATTGATTTCCAATATGAGATCAAACTGAGCACTTTAGATCTGCACTCATGTTTAAAGGAGCAGTTTGTAACATTTAGTTTTATTTTTTATCAAAACATGTAATATAATATTCATATCTGTGTTTCTACAGTAGCCTAAGAGGGTCAAACCAAACACTAACTCTACACACTGGGACTTTAAAGGACCAGAATAATGTTGGTTTAATCAAATCTTTGCCTTCAAAATTACTATTAACAAAATCTTCTTGTGTTTAATTTGTACAAAAAAACTACAAGACAAATATCTATAACCATAAAAACAATATAACAGTTTCAATACAAGTAAATACATTTCTTTTTTAAAACGCAACCTTTATAAATAACCCAAACAAACGTCCATCTACACTTCCAGCTTCTCTCAAACACATAAAACCCTCTCCTCAGGAAGTCCTCAGACGCCTCCCTCCTCAGAAGCAACATCTCCCCCGTCTCTCTCCGACCAACACAACGTCTCATTTACATACATCTCAGAGACGGGATGATTCACTTCCATCAAATGTGCTGCAATTAGATAAAATCTCTCTTTCTCTTCCCTTACAGCCAGTTCAGAAACACAGAACTCATTCGTTCTGGATGGAAATGTTTCTATATGAACACAACGGGATGTGTTATAGGAGCTTGTAACGCTAATTGTTTGAATCATTTCCGAGAAGTTTCCTGAAAAGAAATCTTTATTTTGGAACTAATTAAAGGTAAAAACAGAGACAGTGCTCAATTAATACACTTCAAAGCCATTAATTCTAATTAAATATTAACCCGAGAGTCTTTTAGTGAGTGCAAAGCCGGTCGGCTCAACAGGAAACAGAATCACATTTTAAATTAAACGTTTCATTCAAAACGATGTCGTTTGTCTCCTTTCTTTAGGTTTTCTCTCTTTTCTCTGAGTTGTTTCAATCGACGTCGTTGTGTGTAAATAAATGAATACATTATTAAAACTTAACTTGACGATTCATCCTCTGGAACCACGACTGTCATTGTGGTCCCGGGGTCGGGTGAATATATCGGCTATCAGAGATTGTTTTTTGGGGCTAATTTAACGGGTCTGCCTCTGAAGAACGAGGCAAACTGAGCCTCGAACGAGCGAGAGGAAAAGCAGCTGTAGAGTCAGAGTATTTTCAGATCTAACTGCAGTGAATTAAGGGTTTATTTTAACTAGTCTGCAACAGGAAAATACAGTTACAAGGTGACTTGGAGAGGCTCAGCAGAAGAGTCTGACTCCGGGGACACAGCAGGGACAGGAGAGGCATGAAGCGGGCAGAGGAGTGAGGGAGGTCGGGGGTCAGCGAGTAGAGCCAGAATATTTAATATTTAACTTA